GCAAACAAAATAGAAAATCTGGAACTACAATTTATACCCAAAACCCAAAAAAACGGAACCATTAGATTTATGACCGTTTCATTGTCATGTTAATAAAATCATGCACCTTTTGTTTTACTTTTGAATCTGTGATTCAGCTTCTAAAGCTTCGTATCTCTTGAAAAGTTTCTTCTGCATACATAACTTTTAAAGAAAACGGGATAAAATTCGAGAGTCATGGTGTGTGTGAATTTTTTAAATGAATTAATTGGCCGCAATAAGAGGGGGTCCTCCGAAAATTTACCAAATTATTGGCTTTTATGCTCCCCAACATTTCAACCTGTCTAATCCCTAACCATTTGGCTTTATTGTTCCTTTTTGACACTTTTATTGCTTCAATCCTAATGTTCACTAAGTTTTTTTAGTCCCTTCGCAATAATACCATTTTCGAAAGCCATTTCATGAAACTAGGTGAATGTCCAAAACGGTGTCGTGTCTCCGTCTATTGCTTTCTTTAGTTTATTTGTAAAACGAAAAAATAATTGTTTCTTTCTTCCATGGCTTGGGGGCAAATAGACAAGTAGCTAGGGTTTGCATTTGTCACCTACCTATTATATTGTTACAACACCGCCAAATTAATTGACACATTATCTTCTTCCTTTTCTTCTCTTTTTGATATATTTTACTTTATGTAAGGGAATCTAATATAATTGTTTGAATTAGAAATCATTCACCTAAACCAAAATTATAGAAAAATCAATTTAGACTAGTATACAAAACACTAGAAAATAATATTGTGGTATAGGCATTTCTATTCGCTATTTAGATACTAACAACTCACGATTTGATTGTATAAAGTTTTGACACTATACAGTAACGATAGTGGTAAAAGCGGTCAATTATATATTTTCCCACAGGTTTGAGTGATCCTCTTTTCACACATTCACACATTAAAAGCAGATGATATATCATTATTAATGTGATAGGAAAATATGAAATACATAATGTTGAACCTTTCAAACCCTAGAAAAATCTTAAATGTTAACCGCATCGATCTTATTATAGAATAAAGTTTTTTTAATAGGTGCCCTAAGTGGCCTATAGTTTCCACATCGGCTAGAGGCGAAGTAGCATGCTTTTGCGCGAAAGTGAAACTAAAATCTGAACTCTACTAAGATGGGTCGATGTTATGTACACATGCATGCCATAATTTTTCAAATTATATTGATAACTATTATGCGGTAGGGCCTTTATTCATTCGTACATCACCATAGTATTCCTACATTGATTATAAATTCGTACGTTATAATAAATAAAATGTATAGAATTTCATATGAAGGTACATATGTAAACAAAAAATTATAGATCGAAATACGAGCTTATAGTGTTATTAATGGCACACCCAAAATATGACTAACTTATGATCAAGTATTTCATAAATGTCATAGATTACAACATCAGCCCTCGGGATTAATTATATTCTACGATCCTTGTTTATATGAAAATGTCATGATTCTCGTTAAAGCAACATTTGGTTTTTATTGAAAAAAGGGAAAGTTGCCTCAACCATGATCTGTTTTATACTAATATATTTTTGTTCTATCATTGAAGATCTATCTCTTTATTTTGTTAACAAGATCTATCTTTCCATTGTTGTGTATGAATCAAAATATTATATTCCACAGCAATCATATCGTTCAAAATTTAAAACTGAAAGACATTCTTCTCACAAAGTTGTGGACCCTAACGGTACCAGAAATCATGAATATTCAAGGGTTTATTTCCAAACAATGAACAGTTTCCTTTACATTAATTAATAATCTAATACTAACTTGACATGAGATTAGCTAGATGCCGACAAATTCATAATGACCACTCTGGATTTATTTTAAAGTGAAGATGTAATTATTTCTTAGAAAGGAGTCAAGGACAAACAAAAGCAACATATACAGTTACAATTTGTTTCAAATCCCTAAAGATATTACAGAAATAACGAGGTGTTAACTGGTGTGGAAAGAGAGATGCGCAATCAATTCCTAACATTACAAAAAAAAAAAACAAAAATCGAAATGAAAGCAGAGTACGTAGAGAGTGATGAAATCATGGACAGTGTATAGTAACTGTAAGAGAAGAGAGTTCTTAATAAGGGAAACATGCTGAACAGAAGAATCTCAGTCTTGCATACTCAGTCTTTTGTCTTAAGCCCGACAAATAAATAAATATATTAAAATATTAATAAAGAGAACGAAAATAGTTCTTAAAATGTTTGCTAACTCTCTATAAACAAATGAAAATAATATAATTAAAGAGGAAAACTATTAATGAGAGTGTCTGAAACTCAGAGTGTTCAGACCTGATGACTTGCTTTTCACGTAGGTAGACGTTCGATTCATGCAATGTACATACAAATACGTATGTTCATATGTACACACACAGTGTTCTGTAATTTCCACCATTATTGCGATCTCGAATAGTTACTTTATTTTTCGTTGCTTAGTACAGAAGAACAAGTTATGAATATGAATTGTAAATAAATAACAACTTCTTTATCAGAAAAGACAAAGAAACAATTTTGCAAAACAACAAGAAAAGCTTGAGTAAAGCCAAATAAGTTTTAGAAAAAAAACACAAAAAAAAATGTCTATCTCTGAAAGAGAGTGAATGCTGGAATTGGTTTGAATTGTTATCGATTTTTTTTTCAGACCAAAACCTAACCCGAATATAAGCTAATATTCAATAAACTGGAAAACAGTTTTTTAGCAATTTCATCCAAATACATTATATTCAACAACAAAAAGCTTATATACAAACACAGAGAAAATCAAAATTATGCTGGTTGGTTAAACATTACTAGTAATTCATATGCAGAACCATGTCTGAAAACTTCATTTAATTTCACGTAAACTCTCGAAGAACATCTCTACATGAAGCGAGAGTATAAATTGTGGGGAAAAGTTATAAAATTGTATTGGCTTATAGTCGATGTTTGATAAGAGGGGTACATTGATGGATGTCGACAAGAATGTGGGGTCGCACCCACCAGCTGGATTTTGATTTCGAGGCTTTCCCCTTAATTTTAGTTTTGCCTTTTCCTTTTAGAATTCTTTTCAAGAAAAAAATCTCAGGAAGGAAAGGAAAAAAAAATTATTATAGTGCGAAGGCCCATGTTGATGGAAGGTTTGAAACGACGGATGCATGCATTTCGGAATCCTGAAAGTATATATTATATACACAATTTGGTATCACAAGTTAATTTCCGGAATGTTGTGATCCCAACCAATAAAATTTATAGTCAATAAATAAAATTTGATTCATCTGTGCTCTCACATATCGTGTTTTCTTATTATGTTGATCCATAGTTCAAATGTTCAATCGTATCAGTTTTCTTTCCCTTGTGATCACAACATATCGTTTTAAAAAAAAAATTATTACTATATAAGTTTTTATCCGTAAAACGGACAAATTAATTAAACATGTTCTATCATTAACATTTGGCCTCAAGAATTAGGTGGAGAAGCCCCATATATGACAAGAAAATTGAATCCGTAGGAAAGTTAGGGGTCGTGCCAATTTCAAAAGCTAAAAGCCTAAAACGTTGAAACAGTAAAAAATAAGAAGAAAGATATCTCAATTATTTTGAATTTTTCTAGTGTGTATTATTTGTTAAAGCATAGCCCTCTTTTTGATTGCCTTTTTGAAATTTTTCCTTTTATAGATCTTGTCAAGATTTGTCAATGTAGAACTAGAATGTATCAAGTTTCTTATAAAAGTCTTAACATTCATACCACAAAAAAAAGTTTCTTATAAAAGTATATTTTTCTTTTTTTGGGGGATAATTCTCAAGTATGAACACGTTACTTGATACTATAATGAAAGGTGAAACAATTTTACTTGACAATAATCTGGGGAATAAGAGCTTATCGCATGGAATATTGGTCGATTAATTAACTATTAGAGATTTAAAATATACTGGTTTTGCTGTGGTGGTGGGGGACCGTTAATTACAATTAGTGTACATCAATATATCCTTACATCTAACGCAAATTTCAGCGACGTCGTGAAAAAAAAAGTCTGGTTATCATTGCTAAAATAAAAAGAAACTTATCTTTGCAAAACAATTGTGGCGAAATCACGCATTTAACCTTGAAGTTGATACTTGGACTTATAAATTGATTCTTTGTAACTTTTATTCGAGGTGTCAAAAACTAGAGGAAAATAATAGTGGAGATGTCTTTTTCAGAAAGATTATGTAGTATTTAAACATGCGAACTATATAGTTGATTAAAGACTCTTTTTGACTAATTAATTATAGTAAAGCTTAGAAAGAAGAGTAACGAAGACGTACTCTCTCAATGCGTGGAAGGCATATATGTCGCAAAAATTACTGAAAAAAAAATTCCTAAAATCAAGTTCTTACATATATAACATTTAGATTGACATTTAATCCAAATTTTCTGTCGAATAATAATAAAAAGAAATGTGCTAAATCAGCAAATAACTCCGCTGTCGAAGATCCACATGCTTGACAATTATGGTTTATGTTAGTTGGAGTTTTTAATCTGACAACAATGGACCACACGAATTACTTTGGACACCCATCTAAAGTTCCTGTTATCATCAGTTTGTAATAATGCTGATATCATTGGGTGTATTGGCTCAATCAATAAAGTATTTTTTCTTTTTCTTTTTGTCAAATTAAATCCTAGTTGGAGGCTTGGAAACATTGATTCGGGCCTTTTGGGTAACAAGGAAATATAAATTTTGAGCTTTATGGGCCTTTAATTCCAATGTGCCCATTAGATTTTCTCTAATCAAAACCTCGACCCAATTCGAGAACCCAACAGGGTCAAAACCCGACCCGAGAGTTTACGAGAACTTCACCGATCGTATGAATTTCTCAGTTCTCATAAGGAATTACACAAATCGTAACACTCTCCCATCCACCAAAATTTGTACATACATCCACAATCCATTTTTAAATACGCAGGTTAGTCGTCGTTACTTGTGACGGAAGCTATCCGCTAATAGTCTTCTGATAATAATTCTTCAACCAAATCCTCAAAAATCTCAAACTCGATATCCAAAACCTCTTGCGCGACATCTGCATCGTTCTTTGATCTCCATAATCCCAAACTCTCTGTTCTGAAATCACGTTCGACCATCATATCGATTGTGTTCGACTCCACATCTCTCCACGATCTCAATCTCTCGCATACTCTTTCGGCTACTTCGGAGTCAATGTCAAGCAAAACGCCGTCGTTTTGTAAATCCTCTGCCACAAGGTCTGAGATCAATGCTTCTATGCCTTCGGGAACTTCCGTCATATCTTCGAAATACGTTTTCAGAACTCTCTGAGTTATAATATCACAACGATCGAAAAATTCCATCTCTTCTTGATCTTCTTCCCTCTCCTCATCGCTCTCTTGATCTGACAGTCTTTTCTCGAGTTCCATGGGATCCAAACCCGCAAGTTGCTCAAATCTACAAAGCTTCTGTAGAAGCAGATGCTTTGCTTCTGTAAATTCAGATCCAAACATTCAAAACATCAGTCTAAAATCGAAATTATCGAGTTTGTGAGAAATCAAAGGCGTATTAATGTTTTTGTTCATACAAAACCCTAACTTTAACCTAAAAATCTTTACAAATATGAGAATAGGAATTTACCAAAAAATGTTAACTTTCCATAGTCTAAAAGAGAGCTAGTCACCAAAATACTCCAAAGAATGTCAGCGATTTACTTTGAAGGAACACTATGCAAGCAGTAACGTGTAAATGTCAATGGAAACATTTTTTAACAAACACTATTCGTGCAAGAACATGTTACTGTTCTGTTTCGAAAACATATCTTCAGTACAACAGCTTTTAAAATCATGTAATAGGAAACATTAAATGAGTAGGGTAAACTAATAAGATCCGGAAATATCGAAATAAATGAAATGAAAGTTGATAAATTTGAGACAAAAGAGTGGTTCGAAAACGTACTTTGTACAGATCTGAAGCTGGAAGTGATGTTATTGTCATCCATGTGAATGTCTTCGTCATCGTCCTGAAATGGAGGGTCCAAAACTGAAACTGGGCTGCTCTGTTCCTTTTCTTCTTCTTCTTCCTCTTCCTCTTCCAGTTCTAGTTTCTTTAGCTTCTCTACTTCATAACTCTCTTTCTTCATCATCTGTTTGATTTTATAAACAAATTAAGTAACTACAGATTAGATGCTAATTTGACTAGTTATTTTAGTTTATTAATGGAAATGTACAGACGGAGACAAATTTTTTGGACTCTATAGCTAAATAATTTTTGAAGACAAAAAAAAAACAAAAAACAAATACATGAGAGAGATTTGCATGTCAGAGACAAAGATCGTCTTTGTTTTCAACATCACAAAAGGCTGAGTTAATTTTCGAAAAGACGAAAATACTTTTGTCTTCCACTGTTAAGTCATCTTCGAAAAGAGCCAAGGAACGCGTTCTCGGGGTATTTTTGTCATTTACCGTGATTATTCTTACTTTTCCCGCTAATTCAAACGAGTCAAAACCAAGTCAAACTACCTTTTAATTAAAACTCTTACACCAGTTTTTGGTAAATATCTATAAACAGAGTATTTTATATTTTTCAAATCTAAATAATTTAGTACCACCATTACTATCGAGTTTAATGTACATCAATTGTTTTCACTATTTTCTTTCTGATTTCTCTAACTAACGAATATATGATCAACAATGTAATCATTATTTAATAATTAATTGGCAAAGAGACAAACCTCTTGACAATCGTGTCGTGGGGAAGCTGCAGGCGACGAGAAATTCGGCGTTCTGAAACCGCCGGGTGAAGGCATTGGTTGGAGAACAAAATGAAACGGGCTTTCACAAAAGCGTTTATCTTCCGAGTAATCTGAACCATTCATCAACTCACACGCAAACTCATCTAAGCCGTCTGATCCGTTGCTTGAGCTAATCGACGTTTCGAAATCGCAGTCCCAAGATCTCTCGCCGTTGGTGAAGCTCTCTGACCAAACACCACTACTACTTGACCTACGTGAGAACTGCGTCTCAGACGCGATTTTCTGCGTTTGGGAAGAGTTTTGTTCAACTTCTTTACGTTTAGATTTTCTTGTGACTATTTTACGGACAACCGGAGATTCCCATCTCAACATATCCTTCACCGAAGAAACTCGACCGCCGCTGATTTCGCGTTTCTTCCGGTGCGTTAACTTCTTCAACACTGAACCAAATATCCCAAACGCGTTTCCTGCGTTCCGCGTCCTCGTTTTCGAACCTTCCGACGACTGTTTCTGTATCCTAACCGCAGCTTCTAGTAACATCGACGCGGTTCTTGCCGGTATATTGACGAAAATCGCGTTTTGGCTCCGAATAGGCGACTTGGGTTCGAACAGTGGAGACTTCTTAGGGTCTGGCGATTCGTGGAGGGAGAAGAAACAAGCGTTGCGGCAGAAACGCGAGGGAAGTCCCGCGGTTTGAGAGATGGGTCTGCGTTTCTTGACCTGTAAGTGCGTTACGGGAGGATTGATTTGGCAACGTCGGTCGGAGATGTAACTCTGTAGCTGAAACGGCTCTTGGTCTTCTTCTAGAAGATCTTTTAAATGCCTCTGAGAAGCCATTTTTATCAAACTCCAACAACAACAACAAAAGGAGAATGGAATGAAAACAGTACTTCTCGTGAGTTTCTTCAAAGGTTTCAAATTTTCAACTTGTAATATAAAGTGAAAGTCTCTTGGACTCTGGTAGAGAGAGAGAGATGGTGATGGTGATTCAAAATTGAGGAATGGTTTAGAAGTTCGAGGCAAGGGGCTAAGTAAATAGTTGTAGGTAGGAAGAAACAGCAAAACAATATCATAAAAAAAGTTTTTAGTCTATAAAACCAAAAAAAAAAGAAGTTTTTAGTCTATTTTCTTGTTTATTTTGTTTTGTAATATGTAATTTAAGAGCACACCAACAAAAAAAAATGAGTAAAATATTTCAAAATTCAGAGGGTAACCTCAATGTTATTGAATGCTAGTTTCCAAAGGGGAACAATAAATAATTTATTTAATCGAATTGGTCCCCTTGGTTTTTAATTGTTCTTTGTTCTTTTCATGCCCACAAGGCCACAACTTATTTCATCTCTAGTTATTCTTCTACATATTTGATGTGTACTTGAGAGTTTTCTGTATATTTCAACTCCACGTATTTTACATAAATAGGAAAAAATAGCCAGCATTTGTATACACGGTGGCTTATTTCAATAATAGCATCGAATTGTTGTTTTCGTTTTTCACATTTCCGTGAAACTATTATCTTTTCCTCCAAAGGCAAAAGCGTTGACGATCTCAAAGAGGGAAAACAAAAATAAAGATAAATGAAAAATTAGGGTTAACCAAAAGAAATCGTGAGAAAAATGTATACAAAACGACAAAAGAGAGAAACACGCATGCCCAATTTATTGTAGGAACTGGATATTGACTGGAACCACTTTTTTGACAACCCTTGTTCTCACCATCTTCGTATACCCTTCTTTAATTTTTTTTTTTCACGTCGCCTTTGTATCATCAGTGAAATTTTAGAGGGATACATAAATGTGGTATCACAACTTATTTGACCTGAATATTACTACAAATTTTCCTCATTGAAATAAAACTGCGATTGATCTAGATGTCATTTGTGCTTTACGCATTAAAATCAAGCTGTTTAAAAAAAAATCGTTACAAAAATGCTTGATTTACATCGGGGTATCAGTCATATTGTTAATTTCTCAAGATTTTTTTTTTTTTTTTTTAACGTCTCTCAAGATTATTTAAACTTAAGAATACATATGTAGTCTACATATAGCAAAAATATAAACCTTGATTTATTTCTAAATCGATGGGGATATTTCCCTGGTACAAGTTAATGTAACTATCCGTTTGACAGTACACGTAGATGAACTTTAAAATATAATGAACTAATTTTATATTTCAACCAAATATAGTGAACTGATTTAATACTCCTCGAGTTTGGGAAAAATCATGAATCAAATTTTGGGAACTTCTCGACTACGAAAGTAATTAGTATAAATTAAAGCATATTGTACATCAAACAATCACATGAAACAATTTTCTGCAATGGAAATTCAAAATTTACAATTCGAAATGTAGCCGAACAAAAAATGGGTTTTACAGTGCACCTCGTGCGTAGAGATTGGCCAGAAAAAGGACACGGTACGACATTTTATTACTGTCATCTGATTGGTTAGTCGACAAACACATCAACTTTAATTTAAATAAAAAAGCCTTTTGTAACTTTTGTATTTTTTTTGAAAAGAAGTAATTATGATTATGTCTCTGAGAATGTTATTTTTTATAAAGGTTGGATACAGTTATTTCCTAATATAGTTCCCAGATATATATCAGGTCAGAGCAACGCGTGCCTTCTTTACTTTCCTTCGGTCACTTTCTGCTTCTAGTGGTGGGGTGGGGCTTCTCTATCTCAATCGAATTTGCTTGGATGATCACTTTTTTTTTCAAACTGAAAGTTTTGTAGGTTAAAAGTTAAAATAGTATGATGTATTTTCAAAACGATTTTTTTTTTTTGCTTTGAGTAGGAGTGAGTTTATTACGAATTAGTAAGAAATTGTTATTAAGAAAAGTGTCTCAACATCAAAATATCTAGTCAAAACATATCCACCGACGTCTGATTCATTGTGACCAGTGATTTTGCAGCCGGTATGCTTAATTTAATGTTGAGATTATTTGGTAAGATAGAAGAAACTGCATGGACCAATGTCTTTTCTTGCAAATAGATTTTACTGTATGGAGCCACTGGGTGTGCGTGAAATGGTGCAGCTTTTCATAATGGTCTTTAAGATTCGCATAAAATAATCATAAATTGTGGTAATAAACACGTTTAACTACCCAAGAAAACCTGAGATAAACGAATTCCCATTTCCATTAAAGATAAAGTTCACAAGTTGAGAGAATCCTAGACAGGAAATAAAAAAAGTTAGTCATAAAAGAAGTCAATTAGGGGAATAACCAAAACAAAACAAATTAGTAGCAAATATTACAAATTTTAGCTATATCGATTGTCAGAACTCAGACGTCGGAATTACATGTACCAATCGCAATCTCAGAGTAATCTCGCGAATGAAATGTAAAACATGGTCTTTAACCAGTAAAAAAGGTATTATACGGTCCATGACAGTGAATTGAGAGTGTGAAGAACTAATTATGTCACTTTCTTTCTATGATTACCGAACGAAAATTTTCAAATGTTCCAGACCTCCGCCACTATATCTTTATTGGCGTGATGATAAACTTTTAGATTGGGTCACGATCACAACCTTTTTATAAGATATATGATAATCAATCTCGAAATGATTAGTGAGTATGGGAAAAATGATTATATACATATGTATTTCTTTCAATTATACCAAAAAGGTATAGATCGGAATGTTAAATTACATTTACAGAAAATAGAAAGAAACATTTCCAACTTTTTTTCACAAAAAAAATCCTAATTATTGTGCTTAACTGGCATAGACAACGACACTTCTATGATGGGGACACTTTACTAGAAAGCAAGTCATTATTAATGATACCAGTGTTTATAAACAGTGTTAATAAACGCAATAAAAATCATACAAACACTATATTTTACACAATTCTGTATAAATTTGTATTTAGGTAAAGGTTGGTGCTAGTGGTTGGTGTTTGGTAAGTAGTTTCTCAATATTCTTCTTGTTTTCGCATATCAAGACAAACTTAGGACATACTTAGTTTTATATTGTTTTTCATTTGTCGAAACGTTATTTTCTTAACAGTGCTTTCTCAATTATTAGTCTAACCAAATGGTTTATCTAGTCGTACTTTCAACTTATCTAGGTTGTACCGGGTAAAAACCAATCCGAATCGTATTTTAACACGGAGAACGAAGGATATTAAATACATTAGTTTATTCGATATATCGATACAAAACTACAAGTTTTACAGACAGTGAACGATTGTACTATTTCATTGCTTCAATAGTTTTAAATTTGCAATTGGTAAATTTTAAGTACTTTCACTAGCAAAATAAAGTTATAGTAATTGATTAGAAATGTACTTATAAGACATGAGGAGACAATAACATCGATTCATGAATATTAGAAAATCAAAGTGGGACCCATCAAAATAGCACCGCCACATAAAGTAAGGACAAGCTTCGTGTGCGTCCACGGAAAGTCACACGTGCGTTCCGCTACACACTGCCACGTGTCAATTAAGGTCGGCGTTTTGGTCAGCCCCTAATACGATACGCCGTTTGTTGACGTGGCCGTTTCCCTCATTGGATTCTTTTTCCGCGTTTTCGTCTCTTCCCTCCAGAACTCATGCTAACAATTTTATATTGTACTGTAATGTTTTGTTTTGGATCAAGTTTTTGTAGATCCGTATCACTATAAGTTTAACATTAAATGATTAAATAGATATAGAAGAGGAAAATTAAATCTCGACAATTCGATAGTTCAACATTAAATTTCAAACCAATAGGAAAATATATTTAAGGCTGAATTTGGAATACCTTCAGTTCGACGTCACTTCCCCTTCGGTTAATATGTTTCAAAATGTTCTGACTATCGGTTGAAACATTTTTTTTTATGACTGTTTTTCTTTCTTGTTATTCTTGCAAGATATTGTGATTTCGTTTCTTTGAGAAGGTTCGAAGCAAGAAGACATTGAAATGATCTTATTATTTTGATTTAAGATAGTTAGGAAACAGACAAGAAATTTATATCAGCATGTATAACCATAAACGATGTTGGATATACTAATATACGAATTATTGTATTATATATTGACTGAAACTCACATTGTACTTATACGGCTATTCATAATTCATGTGAACCGGTCGATGAGATATTGAAGAGAGATGGGCAGAGCGAAAGAAGCACGTCCCAATACAATTTATGTAGAAGATACAATAATAGCTAAAATATAAGTATACGGCAACAAATTTAATAAAGCCATATGATCGATATGAACAATTATTGAAACAAAATTTGGTCCAATTTTTTTTTTTTTTAAGTATGTGACTTTGACTTGTTGCGAGACAGTATGTCTCCATATGTATCTTAAACTTGGATCGTGTCGCTCGATTTGTAGCTTTCCTCCATGCTCATGCACGACTGGTACTGATACATTTATATTTTAGACTCTCATTCACGCACATCTCATGTCAAGAATATATATTTATTTAACATATACAATTGCGGCACGGCGGCACCGAACACACACGTCACAATTTTAGAGCACACATATTTTTTACACAGAATATTGATCTGATTGAAAGACGATGACAATACCTATACAGCATTTGATTAAAGTCTCCACCATTTATAAATCGACAAAGAAAAAGCATCCAAATATGCATTAGATATGTGTCTATTCGTGCACACATATAAAGAGAGGCAGGGATATCTCTTGATGGATAGGTATACAAATTGGCACATAGTAGATGTGCTAAGTACGTATAATTAACTATTGTAGATTCATGTACATTGAATATAATAAAGTAAGTGATGCTCGTACAAGGAAACACCGTTGATAATTCCACCAAACCAAACGTTTGATTATTCCAATTTCATTTGGATGCTATAAAATTTATGATAAAAAGATTGGTCCCTAAATTAAATCCCAACCTTAAGTATAACCTAAAATAATTGAAAATTTAAAAATGTGTTATATTTAGAAGTTAGTTCAAACAATCATAATTGATTAATTTCGCCCGTTTGATAAAAAACGACAATTGTCGCATTTATAGCTGTGGGCTTGCGAGGTTTTATGATGCCGTGCCTTCAACATCTCAACTGAAAAACCTCATTCACTTTTTTTCTCTGCGTCACTGACTTCATCGCTTGCAATAAAAGCGATTAAACTCATGTGCGAAGTCACATTCCAATTTTGGCAAAAGAAGTAAACATTCCAATTCTGCTTTTGTATTCTTCTCTGAAATTAATTAACATCATATAAATGCTCCTCCCGTTTCATATGAATGTGTGAGTTCTTATAATTCCTTTTTTTCTTTCTTAGTTTAAACTGGTTTCTCAAGCCATGGTTTCACTGTGGTCTTCGTACATATAATAAATGAGAATTGAGATGGTTCGTTATACAATCATGCATCACAATGCCCCCAAACAAACGTAGTTCTTTACATTGATATCACAAATTCCTTTGCAACACCTAGTTCAAAACCATGTCTTATCACAATTTATTTTATTTTTATATATAATGGTAGAACAACAACGAAAATACTCTAACCAGTTATATTTTAGAACTTTAAACAGCCCAATCCCAGCGACATCTGCTCGTCCAAGTCCAACACTAAGGTTTGGTTTGATCGATGTTCTTGCTTAGCTCTTCCAGCTTCTTGAATCTCAATTTCTCGCTTTCTCCTTCCAACTGCAAAGTTTTCATTCAAAACGAAATCCGTTTAGTCTCTCTATCTCAAAACCGTCACAAGAACACAATCAAAGTGAATATAAACAACACTTTCGATAAAGCGGGTTTGGCACAGGGCACGCAAGTGTTTCAATTCAGTTACATACAAGAAGTCCAAAAAATGCATGATTGTTCTTTTGGGTGACTAACTTGCACAAAAGAGGTGTCTAAAATCACATGTTGCATCTAGTTTGGAGACACTAATTGCAAACACAATGCAGAGCACCCAAACATGAGGCGTCCTAATATTGAGTCTCTATACTGATCTCGCTTTTCAAACTGCTGAAACCCATTTTAAAGCAAGGAATTCAACTCTTGAAATGGCAAACTTGAAGACTGGATTCTGAAATCCGTAAGTCTTGGAACAAGTCTACGGGACAAAAATGTCTTTATCCACATTTGTAAGGTTCTAAAGAAAGTCCCAAAACAGCTAAGAACCAATGATTTTGATAGACGACACACTAATTTGTTGGACCAAAAGCAGACTAGATACATGTGACATGATCAGAGCAGCTATAAAGTTCATTCAAACACGACCCCTAACATAATTTGCCAAAAAGTAGAGAGAAGCGAGATCATATCGAACTAACCTGCTGTAGCTTGGTGATCAGTTCCACCTTCTCCTTGTTCTTTTCATTGAATGCTTCAAGAGCGTCCTTGTACTCTGTTTCCTGCACTTATTTCAAAATACCAGCTTTAGCTTCCCAAGAATCTTGAACACAATTTGGTAATGATTTGTGATGTGAAGCATTTTATCTCGAAGCGCAGAGTTTGGTTACAAGCTTGTGTTAGTTCTTAGCATCCCAGAAAAAAAACAAGCTTTATGATTCTCAAAAGGAAACCCAAACCTTTTTCTGAACAGTATGCCCCAATGGCTTTATTTCTTTATCGAGAGTATCAATCTTCTTCCTCACCAAAGTAACTTCCTTCCTCATGGGATCAGCAAAACCTTCAAGTTCCTGATACATTCACCAATCAGACTTTTTCCTACCCAATCAAGGTTTAAGCTTGAGAAATATTTCAAAATTCCCACAATTCTACAACCTAGAAACTGAAAAACCCTAAAAGCAGTCTAAATTTAGATTCTAATTTAAGATCACTTAACTGCTAAATCCGAAAACGAGGTTGAATTTTTCACACATTTAGACTCTCTAATCCAATTGAGAAGCTGATCTATTTTACACTAAGATGAAACTTAAAGCAGCAAAAGGCGATAATCGTGAATCACACAATTCACACAGAAAATTTTAGAATCAAACCTCGCGGATCAAAGCGAGACGCTTGGTCTCGCCTTCAACACGGCCGAGCTGAGCTAGAACTCTTTCTCTGATCTCCATCTTCTTCTTCTCGATCTCATCTTCTTTGGCCTTGAACGACGACAAAGCTTTCACCGACAACTCCTCGTCTTCCTTCTTCATTTGGCTACTGAAGCTCATACTCTCCGATAGCTCATCTTTAAGACGACGGCTCTGATCCGCCGTCGCCGGCTGCGACGCATCTGTCGGCTGCATCTTCCGTCTTCCACTTCCAGATAAATCTGCTTTTGAGCCGTTTTCTCTGATGCGCTCTACGATGACCGTTGGATTCTTTAATCCCAATAATGGAAGCAAAAGTGCGTGACTCTTTGTGACCCGCAACAGCTTTGTGTAAAACCGGATCTATTCATCGGAACCAAATCAAATTAAACCGGTACACACTGTAAATTCTTTTCCCATTGTATATGGTTTCTCATTTGATCGGTTGATTCCGGTTATTGTATATGGTTTGCTTAGCTAATCAATTGCTACGTTTCCGGTGTAGTGTTAGATATTTTCGTTTCCAGACTTTAACCACACTCTCTCGGTGACGTCACATTATTTGAATCTAAAGAAAGTTGCACATATATATTTTTTTATTTTCATACATTCTCTTCTCTGATTATGAGTTTGGATCTAAAAGCTAAACATCGTCACCGTGGTTTGCTAAAGCGTAAACCACGGCGGTTCTACAAGGTGCATAGACCATGAAGGAGCAGGGCCGTCCGTCGTATGAGCCATCCTGCATTGGCATGATTTTGGTGAATGAGATTTGAACAGTGACAATGAGTTCATTTAAAATTTTAACTTGAATGGTTTGACTTTTTCTTACATTTGTGAAATACTCTGCCTTGCGATCGAGTCTACTGAATCCACCAAACAGAGGATCGTCCGAGTCCAATGCGATCTGGAACGTGAAAAATCGTAGAGAGAGAGTAAGATTCTATTAACACCATCAAAGGAGAGCTATTAGATGTGTATAGTACATTGTATTTCCCGGGCTTGGAGCAACCAATGCGGTAATCAAAGTAGCTGCTGGTCCAGTGGAAGTTGAAGACGAAGACAAGATCACCTCTTTCGAATACGATTACTCTATCTCCTTCGTCTTTCCTTGATATGAATTGATGCTCCGAAGTCATAAACTGCTCACAATGTATAATCAGAATAGAAAAGCTAATCAAGATATTAGCTTTGAATATTGATCACTTACGCCGTATTTCTCTTCAAGATGTTGCATTGCTTGATCAAATTCTTGCAGTCCATGGTATCTGAGATAATCCGCATCTCCCTATACATAATTGAATTATTATTCTGAATCAGAACACAGCAAAAAAAGCATTTCTCTTGAGTTAATGTTGTACTTAAGAACTTACGAGATCAAATCTGCGACGGCATTTGTCATAACTGAAATTGTTCCCAGGAATCACGCTCCCATCAGAAAGACGCTGCTCGCCTCTGGGAAAGTCAATCCACTCTGCAAGTTGCAGGAGAAGATCAATAAATTTTACTCTCAAAGCTTGAAATATGAAATAAAAGCTTGTTTTGATATAGTACCTGGATGTCCGAATTCGTTCCCCATAAAATTTAAGTATCCCTCACCTCCTAGTCCCATTGTTATAAGCCTAATCATTTTGTGCAAAGCTATTCCTCTGTCGACGAGAGGGGTTGATGGTCTGTCTACTGCCATGAAATCGTACATATCCTTGTCCATTAACCAGAAGGCAATAGTTTTATCACCAACAAGCGCTTGGTCGTGACTTTCAGCATAGGCAATACACTTCTCTGACCACCTTCTGTTGGTAAGCGTGTAAATTATGTCACCCATTTTCCAGTCTTCATCTCGCTTCCTTCATAGTATATAACAAAGAGGAGAGTAAGACAGGACTCACTAGTCACTTCACAAAACTTTATAAAGCAGATGCTACTTCAGTCAACGAAAAGAAAAGTGCAGCAAGAAAGAAGAACGAAACTCACTTGAGAATTTCTATCCACTTATCAGCTATGGCCATGTGTAAACGGTAGTCAAATCCAACGCCACCGTCTTGGACAGGAATGCAGAATGTTGGCATGCCACTAACCTGAAACGAATTGATCTTATAAACACAGAGCACAAAATAGCCAGCACTACTGATAATTACCTTATGGCTCTGTAGAACACTTTTTATGTTGCAGAATTAATCAATAACCAGGTAATCAGATTAAAACTCACTTTGTTCTTAATTCAATAAATTATTTCAGATTGGTGGTGAAAAAGATGGCATTCAGAAAACTTACATCTTCACCAACGGTAACCGCTTCAGGGTAGAGACCATGAATCATATCATTTACCAGCATCAGATAAGTCACAGCATCCACATCAGTTTCCAATCCAAAGTACTCAGTGTAATTTCCAGTAAATCCAACCTGTGAACAAGCCAAGGTCAGGCAAGCGTAAAAGCAACAGTTTCTACAAAGGTAAGCCATCCATTGTAGAAGAGGTTGGAAGTACCGAGAGTCCATGGTGAGTATACATCATTGAGGTAACACCATCAAATCTAAATCCATCAAACTTGTATTCTTCTAGCCACCAGCGTGCGTTTGAAAGGAGATATCGTAATACCTGTTTAGGAATGAAGACTGTTAGAACTAATAGTGCTCAAGGAAGTTGTTTCTTCACAATATTGTTTTTATAAGAATCCGGGAAGAAGTTACATACTTCCCAGCTCCCATAATTGAAAAGACGTGAGTCCCACATCCAATGGTAACCTCGAGGTCCAGAGTGGAAGTAGTGAGCATCAGTTCCATCAAACATGTTCAGTCCATCCAACGTGTTTTTTGAAGCATGGCTGCCGAGTTTAGAGTCACAATGTTAAATAACTTGCATAATAACCAAAAGGTGGATCTGATTGTTTGCTTTCATGAAAACCTTTTACTACCTATGAACGATATCCATCAAAACGAGCAGGCCTAACTCATGAGCTCTATCTATCAGTGATTTTAGTTCCTCTGGGGTCCCACAACGGCTGCTAGGGGCAAAAAAGTTTGTGACATGGTACCTGCATTCGTAATAGAAACAGGGATGATCCTCAGTGAGAAGCAGAAAAAAAAATTGAGATCCCTATACTACTAGCTGACTGCAGAAACAGGTAGCATCTTATATTAGAAGAATACCCAAAACTGGCATAATATGAATGTTCTTGTATAGCCATGATTTGAACAGCATTATAGCCAAGCCTTTTGATCCGTGGAAGCACATCATCTCTGAAGTTAGCATAAGTATTGATCATTGGTTCCTACATAACGAGTACACTGTCATCATTCACTTGATAACGAAAAAATTCCAGAAATGGAGAAGTGCAAAAACCATCATTCACATTGTGGCTTATTGATACATTATAAAGAAGTTTGACACACAGCCGTTAAAGACCAAAAGACAGAATTATTTAGGACGAAGAGGCAAACACGCACCGTGCTACTCATGCCAACATGTGCCTCGTAAATCCTCAGCGACTTAGGTCTCTTTGGTTGAGGATGTTTGAATACGTACTTCTCCTGAAAATAAATTTAGAACCGTTAAGGGCAACCAAAATAATCTGTTGAGCAACAAATTTATCTGTTGGTGTTTCTAGGAAGCATGCATTTTGACTGGAAAGTAGCATATGCTCATTCATTTTACATATCATTAAGAGGAATAGATGACCCAATGTGTTGGTAAATAATAGACATATGTGCTTGGAATGAGGACTGCAACCTTACCTCTTCTGGAGGATCATAGTATATACCATTGAATGGGATTTCACCAGGAGCTTGCACCGAGAACTTGATCCAAGCAGGAATTGAGTCTTTAATGCCAGATGGTGTATCCATACGAATCTGCAGTTTTGTGTATCAGAAATTACTTTATCGTCATCGAAGTTTGCTTGCAACAGTGAGACCATCTCTTTAAGAAGTAACATGCAATAGTTGATGGAGACAGAAAATGATTGAAGCGACGTATTATTTACCTTAACACGTGAGCCGTGGGGAATAGCAGGCGAACCATCAGTGTTGTTGGGCAAAAAGATCTCCCAAACACCAAATTCATTCTGTATAACAATTTGATGAGATAATCATCGATCAGAATTCACTACACTATATGAATTTACAAAAGCATAAGGAATTTCAGCTAAAGTACATAGCCCATACCCGAGTCATGGTATCTGCATTAGGATTCCAGTTGTTGAAATCTCCTATAAGTGATGCAGACTGATACAAGCACAGAAAAGAACAACCAAACAAGTTATAAAATATGCACACGCAAGGATTCTTCCTACAGATCTAGAAAACTAAAAGAGACAAACCTTAGCTCCAGGCGCCCACTCTCTATAAGTTATACCAGCATCACTGATAATGAAAATGAAAACAGTTAGAAACAGAATGTTGTATGGCCATTAATACAATGCATACTAATAGCGTCAAGAAAGGAACATATCGTATAAAGACTTTAAAACAAACAATACCAAGACCATTCCTATCTAGACTAAATCAAGAATGAAACTCGGCTAAAAGACATTTCAAAATCATTATCTAATGACTTTTCTTCTTTGTTGCAACACATTCAGCCTGAAGTTGCTAACTTACTGAAGAGTGGAAAATAGTTACCTGCGGCAAAATCCTAACTTTTCATAGCCACGAGAGAATGCCTCCAGACCACCCTCAAACTTGTCTATTTCCTCACGCAATCTTTTGTACTGTCCATAACTGTAGCCAACAAAAATGCAGGATACTTTAAGCGCAATAAAATGAAACAACACGTCTAACCTTCTGCAAACTTATACACAAGAATAGTCCTTAAATATATACGATTTGGAGGCTTACATATTAATTCTAAAGCAGGTATAGTAGTACAAAACATTTTTACCGGTAATTAAGATGATCCTTGTAACTTCGCAACATGGGGTCTATCTCATATATTCTCTGCCCATCACCAGGTGGAGGAACCGTTCTTGGTTTCCCTTCTTTCTCCTTAACGAGTCTCTCATTACTGTAACCTTTACTCGAATCAAATACAGAAGCTTGGTCTTTTGTTCTTGCTCCCCCATTCTCTTCCATTGTTTGACTTTCTAGATTCAATATCTACAAAAGGAAATCAATCAAATCATTTGGTTACATGTTACAACGTCTGCAAATATGTTCAACCTCTTACAATTTGCCTATGCATATACAACTCACAGATTAAAAAGCAGAGATGACAAGATATCCACCTGTGATTCTTCTGAGAAACTGCTAGGACCTTCAGTCACCATTGAAGCATCATCATCAATATTACCAGGTACTAAGACTTTCTCTGACGCAGCGAAGGCTTTTGACTTAGAGTCAAACTCCGCAGATTGATTCCCAGCAAAGATCTTCCCTACAGACATGGATCTAATCAAGCTATCTGGATTACCAAGAGTAGAAGCAGCAGTAATCATTTTTGCTCAAAAGCATGTCTTTTTCTACTCAATTTGATCAAATGAAGCCTGAAAAGCAGCTGATCTCACTCCTAGTGTTAACCGTACTAGGCCATTAAGAACATTTCCGGGATAATAACAGCTCATAAAACTAGTCAAAAGCACGAATTTTGCTTATCCCTCTGAGAGATCAATTATTACACTCAGTACAACAGTGGCGTCTTAGAGCAGAGCAAAAAAGGGAAGGGAAGGAGAGAGAGACGTACGAGAGAGAGGGCGTTTCTTCAGGAAGAAAGAGACACTTGAATTTCCATTAAAGCCGGTGTTGAGAGGTCGCGCAGAGGAAGAAGAAGAAGACAGAGGAAGAGGGAAGCGTGAGACGACGACACCTGGAGTCACAGACACTCCATGAACCACCACCATATCCCCTCACCTTCTTCGGTTTCTCCGGAGATTCCTAGAGACAGAGAGAACAGAAAGAAAACCCAAAAGAGAGCAGAGATCTGGAAGAATAGAGAGAATCGACAAAATGAAAAATCTGGGAAACCAATAAACGAAATCAAATGAGTGGCGGGTTTGCTTAAGCGTGATTGAGAGAAACGGAGCGATTTGCTTAAAAGATCAGTGAGGTGGGGTCCACGCTGTGCTCGCGTTTCAGTATTTCACGATTTCCCATCGTTCATTTCGCTTTTCGCATTTCCTCTAATTTAAAAAAAAAAAGAAGATCTATAGACTAATAGTATATTGTAAATTAACGGTCCAATTTTTTATTTTGGACAAACTCTTGTTGTCAATAAATATATCAGAATATGCCTGGTCGATTAGCGAGACAAATGCATGATGTACATTTTCATTCACGAGCTAGTCTTAAGATAGAAACTAAAGTAAAATAAACATTTTCGATAACAGTTATCACCTGGCAATGGAATTTTTTTATTTAAAGATTTCTGAATTAGTTTTATTTTCAAAAAAAGAAGAAGATAATTTCCCTTTTTATCGTCTATAGAATTTTCATACTTTTGTAATTAAGGGAAAACGTTAAAAGAAAACAAAATTTGCCAACTGGGCTCACGGTGTAAAGCTAGCCCCCCCAACCTTACAAGGCAACAAATAACCAAACGTTACAAAAACATAAACAGGCCTTTAACATACGTTGCTTTCTGTTCAGTAACGCTCTCAAAATCAATTGTTTAGACAAAATATCATTTGCTAAAAAAACCAAAAAAAGACAAGTATAATTAATTAATCACCAACCAAAAAAAAATCCAATATAAATTTCTATTTGAGGAAAAAAATATTTAAAACCAAATTATTATACATCGTACTTTGAACAAAACGAAACAAAAATAAACCCAAAAAAGTAACTGTGAAACTTGAGAGACAAGCAAGAGTTATTTGAAAGGCTTAAAATAACACGTCCGCTTCTTCGTCTCCCTCTCTTTAATCGTCATCACTAGAATAACTCAAACTCAAGGTGTTCTCCAACTGCCTTGCAATCCAAATAATTGCTTTTCCCTTCATGATTCGGAACTCCGTAGTCATAAAAATCCGGAAGCTCAGGCGGAATCGCACACCGGATCAAAGCCCAGTTTAACCCTTCGAAGAACGCGTGCCGTTTTATCTCCGCCGCTCCTTTCTCTGTCCCTAACCGATTTTCAGGTTCCTTGACCAACAATCCTCTTATAAGATCCTTAGCCTGGAAACTCACATTAGGGTTATCAGGAAACTTCAAACTCTGAAGCACAACATTAGCTATAGTCTCTTCATTCGTAGCCCCTTTAAACGGAGTCTTCCCGTAAAGCAGCTCATACAAAAAGATCCCAAAAGTCCACCAGTCAACCGCTGCACCGTGCCCTTCACCTTTAATGATCTCCGGCGCGAGATACTCGTGTGTTCCGACAAATGAGTTTGATCTTGCATCCGTTGGTTCCGCCACAAGCTGAGGCAACGACTTAAACCTTGCGATTAGGTCAGATTTCTTGAGTTTCTTCATCATCATGCGGTGTTGTTTGGCCTTTTTCTTGTTCCCAGATCCGCGGGAGAGTTTAGGGCGGAAACAAGATGGCTCGATGCAGTTAGATCCATTGCGGCTACCGGAAGAGAGTCTTATCGCATCCGCATGGAGCGGTGATGATGAGTTTAGAAGCGTTGGGCTCACGGTACACCTTAAAGAGAGATCGAAATCAGTCACCATAATGTGTCCATCATCGCGTACCAAAATGTTCTCTGGCTTCAAATCTCGGTATATAACCCCGAGCATATGCAGATACTCCAACGCAAGAAGCACTTCCGCGACATAGAACCTGTAAAACAAGATTAGGGTTCACATCACAAATCATAAATTAGCATACAAGTTAACTGCTAATTCGTAAGAAACAAATTACAAACCTAGCCGCTGGCTCTGGAAACCACCTTCCGGGCTGCTTTTGCCTCAAAACATGTAAGTCGCCTCCAGGACAACATTCCATGACCAGACACGACAAGTTATCGGAAGTGAAGTGAGCGTACAGCGTAGGAAGAAAGGGGTGATCAAGCATTTTGAGAATGTCTTTCTCGGTTTGAGCCCTAGACATCTTGTTCCTTCTCTCCAAGAACTCGTTATCCATCACTTTAATAGCGAACAAGCAGTTTGTTCCGGTGAGCTCAGCGAGGTAAACTGTTCCTATATCTCCGCAACCGAGCTTCTTCAGAAGATTGAAATGCCTAAGACCCAACGAGCCGAGCCCGTGCTGTGCCCTAATATGCTGAATAGCTTCCCATCTCACATCCTTAGACATATGAGGTCTGTTTCCAAAGCTAGACCTTGTCATTATGTTATTGCTCTGTTCTTGCTCTTCCTCGCTGATACTCGTGCTTGAGCTGTTGTATCCGATGCATCCCTCTCCTTTGTTTTCGATTTCTGAGCTCTCGTTGACATCTTCAGTAGCTTCTCTGTCTAAGCTGAGTTTGTTTGGAGGACTATCTGGATTCATCACAACAGATTTCTCACTGAAAGAACCAATCTCCACACTCTGTTCCGACATAAAAACAGAGTCTTTATGATCGTGATCATGATCAACTTCTTTGCCGGATAGAGAATCTTCCTCAGTGATCTCATTGTTTTTGTATTCATTCACATCTTCCATGTTTTTATTACCGAACGGAGAAACCTGAGAGGTCTCTGAGTTCATCAATTCCAGAGAGCTTCTTATCTTATCAAGTTTTGTCTCTGCATTAGCACCGATCTCATGAGAGCTCTCATAGCTTGAGCTGGAGAAATCAGAAACCAATTCATCTAAACAGCCTTCCTTAACGCTCGGATTCGGCTCAAGATCCGCTGCTACAAGCGATGGCTCTTCTTTAGCTGCAGCGTTCTTCAAAGCGAAATGGCATCTATGGCAGAGAAGTTCCTTTGCGATGGGATCATAGAAGCCATCTACTTCATCATACACATTAGTTGCCTTCTTCTTCACGGAACCTTTGCTCCTTAGCACCGGTTTAGCTCCTCCTCCACCACGTGGAATGGTTCTTGTTAACTTAGCCACTCTCTTGCCGTTAACAATGGTGGAACTTGGTGTATTAGCGTACAACAGCCTCACTTTCCTAACAGACTTCAGTCCAACCACTGTCTTATTGCTCCCTGATCCTGGCGATGACGAACCAAAGCTCCTCTTTGCGCTAACCAATTCCTCCTCGTCAAGAGACAAGTTCTTGTTTTTCTTTGGTATCGTCATCTCATCGCCGTACCGCTTTGACGCCTGAGAGTTTTGGCTCGCGGAATGTATCTTGAGAAGACGAAGCTGCTGCGATATGCTCTCTGTCGAACTGCTTTGAGCCTCATCGAGTAACTCCACAAGAACCGGTTTACCTTCTTCGTTGCTAGCGCCACTTCTCGGTTCGACCAAAACTGAACCGTAAACCGATCCTCCGCTGCTACTAGTCTTAGCAGTCCGTCTGCTAGCTGCGGTCTCCGACGCCTTTGTGACGCATAAATCTCTCAAAGCCTGTTTTAACGTCGCTGGCTCTGCATTTCTCTTGCTCGGTGATCGTGGTCCCGGACTTTTCAAAGCGTTTCGCTGTAACGGACCGTTGTTGCTGTTGTTGTTGTTGTTTCTACTGCTACTGCTTGCACCAACTTGGTAAGATGGAATCATTCCGGAAGATCGAATGCTTATAGACTCGAAAAGCTGGTTGATGTCATCTTCTAGTGAACCTCTGTAACCTAGTTTCAGTACCGGTCGCTCTAGATCCTTGTCGTCTACAAGGCTTGATCGAGAATGTGGAATTGTTGTTGTTGATCTCGCTGAGTAACCTATGGAGTTTTGACGGTCTTCTTTCTCTTCGACAATTTCACACTTTCCGGCAAATGAACCCATAACATTAAAGCTCAGTCACATAGCATTTTAGTAACCGAGAAAATGCGAGTAACCTAAACCGGTTTATACATCTTTTTGATCCCACACTCACCTGAAATTATCTGCCACAGATCATATAAATCAGTCTTAAAAAAACAGGCCGAGTCTGGTAAAATTCTAACTCTACAGAGAACATAGATTCGTAAAAACAGAACAAAACAGAGCAATCTGAAGATTATACATATAAAGATCATAACAGGCCAACTCAACCTATAACGCAGTCACATACACAACATGGAAAATTAGGTTCTACAATGTCTCCATAAAGATCAGGTGAAATTAAAAAGTGTGAAACTTTTACTTACAAATATGACTCATCGCCAATTCAAAAGTTGGATTTTTAATGTTTTTTATAATTGAATGAATCTTTACATTTTGTTTTGGTTTTCAAAAATCTATACGTTTTATCTATACTTTAGGGATACACGTGTTTCTTCGGTAATATGATGAACAGACATGTATTAATATTATTGCATAACAGCCTAGAACAGAAAAACGAAAATTCATGGAAAGAAAAAACAAAATTTTGATGAAGATGATGATGATGATGATACTCTAATTTCATCATTTGGATTCATGTATGAACAAGAGTAAGACAGTACCTGAAGAGATTATTGAAGAACGCTATGAAGATGACTGACGAAACAGAGAGACCAGAAAAGCTTTTGTTTCTTCTGCTAGCTTTTATTTTGTTGGGTCTTTTGTCGGTATTTTGTTGAAGAGGTTTCACAAGGATTCTGCATTTCCCTGGGCAGTTTGAAGAACAAAAGATGGGACCCACATCAGATGTTTGTGGGTCTCATGTAACAACGAAATTATTAAATATTTTAATTAATTCGATGGAGACTCTTGACATGTTGATCACTACTGATTTTTGGCGTGTCAATTTCGTTGACATGTGTCTTTGAAGTTTTTGCCCTTAAGCAAAAGAGTTTAATTTTATTTGGTATGCTTATTATTTTAGTATCATAATTGATCTATCAGGCTGTACATTAGTCTTATAATTCTGTGTTTAAATTTTAAGAAAAAGGCGATGATGATGACCTTACTGTCCATTTGGCAATAATGCTGGTCTTGCATCACTAGTAAGTCTACAATATATCACTACGCTCGAGGGAAACTACGTATTTTTGTCCCGAACATTCAAAAGTTAAAACTATATTAACTTATTAGCAACTTTAGTAGTTTTCGTAAAGCTTGGCTGATTTTTAAGCATATATTATCATTTGAAACATATGATAGTTTTCTTTAAGTTTAAAATGTTCGCAAATCCAGGAAGATCCATAAAAGGAATGGACCACTATACATAATTTAGGGTTCTTTTATTTATTAGTTAGGATTTAGGAACTTAAGATGGCCATCATCGTTTTTTAGGTAGAAGTAGGACATACGCATAATATCACCGAAGTATATACATATTAAATATTGAGTATGTCCTCATGTAATCCTTAAATCGAAATGAATGTATAACCATGAATATATAGTATCATTTTCCTCCATGGTAAAAAGAAAATTGAAAATATTTTAAAAGGTTAAATTGTATATCATGGATGGATCAGATTCTCTCTTGCCTGGTCATTGTGCATAGCACTACTCATCTACACTAAGACTGCAACTTGTTAATATAGGTACAAATGAAAGACATGTCTGCATTTTTTAATTTATTTTTCGTACAACAATTTAGTTGACTTGGGATGTTAAAATTTAGGTTTTAATTTGTGTAAGGATCACACAAATTGGAGTCTAGAAAAGGAAAAACAAAAACAAAACAAGTTTACAGATGTTTATCGAAATCTGACAGATCGACTCGGCCTGGCCCATTAACAGAAGCCCAGCATATTTATAAACTTTGTGCCACATATACATAACAAAACATACAGTTTGCTTAGATACATAAATTCCATATTCTAATGAATGTAACAACTCCTCCAATAAATATTACCATATTCCTTCAAGATATATTACTTTATTCGCCAATTTGAGTCGTGTGGTTGCCGACAAAGTAAAATTTTTTTTTTGGTGATTCCATTTGTAATGACTTTTTTAGCTAAATTTTAATTAAAAAACCTTCAAGTATGAAAGGTATCAAATAAACCGGGTCATACCGGAAATTAATAGCCGAATGTCCGTTTCACATCGACCAAATGCGTCACGTGTCAAGTAAGACCGGGTCAAGAATGTTGGACGCCTGACTTTGATTTTGATTTCTACACTAAGAGGAATTATCTATCGGCTTAAATGAAGCCACGTGTTAAGATTCTGTCTATACCGGACAGGTCCCTATATAAACCGCTGACCCAATCACATCTCTCGAACCCAGAAAGGAAAGTTAAAAAACAAAAAGTCATAAAAATCGAGAAGGATTTGATCACAGCAATGGCGGAAGAGCAGAGTTTCAAGTACGTGATCGTCGGAGGCGGTGTCGCCGCCGTAAGTCACTGATCTTCTCTCTTATCATAAGAATCATCACTCTGTACTGTTCTCACTGTGTCGCTTTTTGAATCCGCATAATTCGTGAAGCTTTTTTACCGATCATTTGTTAGTTTTGAAGTAGTTGACTTGTTTTCCTGTTCATCACTTAAGTAGTTTCTTAGTTTGTGTCTATAGATCTATTGAACATAAGAAGTAAGTACTGAGAACGAAGACGATTGAGCTAGTACTCTGTTCGAGAGGTTTCCAATTTTAAACAAACGAATCAGAAGTTTCCAAGTCTGTATTCATTTTTGTTGTTGTTGACTTCACAGGGATACACGGCGAGAGAGTTCACAAAGCAAGGTCTCAAACCTGGTGAACTTGCTATCATTTCCAGGGAAGATGTAAGTTTCCTGATAATTAATTGACTTTTAGATTCTTGTTTTGCTTCTCTGTGATTTTTATCTTATAGGCAATTCTGTGTTGAATAGGTGGCTCCATATGAACGTCCTGCACTTAGCAAGGGATATATCAACCTCGAGAGTAATAATTCGACTCTGCATCTTTGTTGATAGATCAATAGTTTGAGTCCATGCTCTGTTCTTAATTAGATGAGTGTTCTCGTGGTACACAGATAAAGCTTCACTTCCAGGATTCTATGTCTGTGCTGGAAGTGGGGGAGAGAAACAGCTCCCTCAATGGTACCAAGAGCAAGGGATTGAGATGATTCTCAACACAGAGATCGTCAAAGCAGATCTTGCTGCAAAGACTCTTGTCACTGCCACTGGACAAGTCTTCAAGTACCAAACTTTGATAGCTGCAACTGGTTCTTCTGTGAGCACAAATCTCTCTCTTTCTTCTCTCCTCTTGTCTCTTGCTTTGCAACTTTCTGTCAAAGTCTCTTCTTCTAACGAATCCCTTAAAACAATGTGCAGGTCACAAGATTGTCAGATTTTGGCGTGGAGGGAGCAGATGCTAAGAATATATTCTACTTAAGAGAAATGGGTGATGCTGATGAGCTCGTGAATGCGATGAGCGTGAAGAGAAACGGGAAAGCTGTGGTTGTTGGTGGCGGTTACATCGGTCTTGAACTCAGCTCTGCTCTCAAGGTCAACGGCCTCGAAGTTACCATGGTTTATCCAGAACCTTGGTGCAGTAAGTCACATACTTTTTTGCCTAAACATTAGTGATCTCATTCCTCTCCTCCAATTGCTTAACATGTTTCCTTTTTTGTTGTGAAGTGCCTCGGCTTTTCACCGCTGGGATTGCTTCGTTCTACGAAGGCTATTACGCCAACAAAGGAATCAACATCGTCAAAGGCACCGTTGCAGCTGGTTTCAGCACCAACTCTAATGGAGAGGTTAGACATTATCACACAAAAAACGTTTCTTTGTTTCCTCTCTGCTACTTCAACATTAGTAAACGCTCTTTTGCTTTTATGATTTGCAGGTCAGTGAGGTGAAACTGAAGGATGGAAGAACATTAGAAGCTGATATAGTGATTGTAGGCGTTGGTGCGAGACCTATTATATCACTCTTCAAAGGTCAAGTGGAAGAAGAGAAGGGTGGTTTGAAGGTTTTGAGACTTACTACATTTGTTGCATTATTTTTGAGATGGTTTGTGAAGTTTTTTATAAAATGTAATCTTTCTTTGAAATGCAGACGGATGCATTCTTCAAAACAAGCGTTCCAGATGTATACGCCATTGGTGATATAGCCACCTTCCCGATGAAGCTGTACAACGAAATGAGACGCGTTGAACACGTTGATCATGCTCGTAAATCCGCTGAACACGCCGTTAAGGTAAATTATAAAAATGGCTTCTTCTTCTTCCTTCTTGTGTTTTTAATGGTAACACTAACGCAAATGGGGTTTGTATGATTTTTGTAGGCGATCAAGGCGGCTGAGGAAGGGAATTCGATTCCGGAATATGACTATCTTCCGTACTTTTACTCTCGAGCCTTTGATCTGTCGTGGCAATTCTACGGTGACAATGTTGGAGAAAGCGTATTGTTTGGGGACAATGACCCGAAATCGCCTAAGCCGAAATTCGGGAGCTACTGGATTAAAGATGGGAAATTGATTGGAGTGTTTCTAGAAGGTGGGACTCCTGAAGAGAACAATGCAATTGCTAAGGTTGCACGAACACAGCCTTCCGTTGAGAGCGTTCACGTCTTGTCCAAGGAAGGCCTTTCTTTCGTAAACAAGATATGAAGAAACATAGAAAAAGAAAATCCAAGTTGCTACTAGGTTGTGTATTAGCATGTGAGCTTGTGTTATTTGTGTCTTGAGTTCGATTGGCTTTATGTCATTTTGCTACTCTCTATGTTGGCAGAGATTTCAGTTTGTTTAAACTGTGTTTGTTTTAGAGATAATTGAAATTTCTTCATTGTTCAAACAATTAATATAAATATTTTCGTAGAGTTATTTGGATTGTGAAGGTTTTTTATAGGAGAAAATTGTTATTGTCAACTTAATCATGTTGGCAGAGATTTCGGTTTGTTCAAACTGTTTGGTTTAGAGATAAAACTTTGAATTTTCTTCATTGTTGGAACAATTAACAATTTCTCTAAATATCTTCCTACAATTACTTGGATTGTGAAAGAGGTTCTTTAAACTCCAGGAGAAAATTGTTATCGTCAACTTAATCGCATAAACTAAGTGTAAAAAGTACAACGAACAATGTCATCTCTAACGATCTAAAAGACTGGAGACACGTTCGAATTATTTACACAATTATGCTTTACCACTCAATTTCAATTTTTTTAATTACATTGACAATCTAAAAATCTTCTCCTAGAATTTTTTGGGCCGTACAGGTTGTGTTGGGAAATTGAATTATTTGGGTTGTGAAGGAGGCTCTTCAAATACTCTTAAGAATTTTTTTTATTGTCAACTTAATCAAAAACTAAGTGATGGCATAATAGTGTGAAAGTACAACGAACAATGTCATCTCTAACGATCAACAAAGATTGGAGACATGTTCGAATTATTTACACAATTATGTTTTACCACTCAAGGTTTTAATAAAATTGACAATCTAAAAAAGCTCCTCATTTATTTGGGCTGTGTTGGTAAATTGAATTTTGCTAAATTGACGAGAAACTGGGTGATTATTACGGTATTTAGACATTCCTATAATCCTATATGTACTGTTGCCAGATTTACTAAGATCTAGACTGTTGAACAATTATTCCATGTAAAATAAAAAAGGAAGTGAGAACAAACCTGAGTTTGCATTCCAAAAGCCGAGTACTCATCACTGTCCTGACGCCAAAATTGCTTTCTCAATCTTATATTGTTCCTGACGCCAAAATGTTGCCCAAAACACAATTGTCATCAAGTGGTATATTGCATACTTTCTATTCATGGACAGAGAAACAAGATGAGCAACAATCAGATTTGAATTTCAAAGATAGAAACTTAGAAAGAGGACACAGTTCAAATCCCAAGCCTTCCTAGTGTGAAAAATTATTTTCCAGATTCCACATCCTAAATTCCACAAACAAAATCACCATTACTCAGCTACCAATTGAAAGACTAAAGGAAAAAGCAAAAGATCTGTCTATATAAATTCCAAGGAAACATCAACAAAATCCAATTGAATCTATTCATTCACTCAATTATCGTATCAGCTGACAAGAGTGGAGAGAAGAAAGATTTTCAGCTCACAAGAGTGGAAGAAGAAAGATTTTTGATCAGTTTCGAGCAAATTGAGGCGAGACTTACTTGAGATAACACAAGACCAAACAGCACCATTGCGACCACGGTAGGTTCCAAGGCGTTGGCCATTATCGGCGAACCAGACAGTGGTAGTGTGATAGCTAGCAGCTCAGAAGCTTGTTACGAACCTGTACAGAAAGAAAATGACAAATTGTACTTAGTTCAACAAAGCATGTTTCACTTATACTATGCTTAGTTATATATATTCTGTAATCCTAGCCGTTAATAGTCTAATCGATCTTCTCTTAGGAAAACCGAAAATTTAAACGCCAATAATATAGCCGTTGGAAACTAGTGAAGTTAATTAAATAAATTGATTTGATTGACACTTTTGTAGTATAAGTGAAATTAATTATTATTTTAGTCAGAGGTTTTATCTTTTTTCTTGTGGACCCTCACATTAAAAATATGACGTAAACACTATACTCAAATTTCTTCACCTAAACTTATAGAAAAAAAAAAAGAATAATGATTTAAAAGTCTTGTCTATTTCTAACTGTCATCGTTACCGGACTGAAACAAAAGAATGGGACTTCTCACAAGATGCCCTCTCGAATCATCCCATTCCACAGAAGCCGAAATAATCCCTCTCATCGTCTCTACCCAAACTCCATCAACCGAAACTTTAAAATTCATCTTCTCTCCAGGCTTAGCAAATTTCATAGCCTTAGGCACAACCTCAACTCTAAAACCCTTTGGCGCCCAAACCCTAGCCACGTAGATCGACTCTCCGTATCCGACATTCCTCACCGTCCTGTAAAAAACCTCCGACACTTTTGTCTCTGTATCACTCACTTGCTTATGCATCGACGGATAATTTAACCCGTCAGAACCTAACCCTCGCTTGCGATCCACGCATCTGTATTCTTTCTTCGTCTTGTCGTTACCGCCGATTAATAGTCCTATGCTTGTGCTGTTATACCCTTCTTGACAGAGGAATTCTAAGTAGGAGCTTTCGTCTATGTCGTAGACTAGACCAGGGTGAATCGCTCTTGTCGGGTTAATTTGACCCGACCCGTAACTTAATTCTGCTTGGTGGCCTTTGATCCTCATTGGAGTAGCTGTAGTGGAGTGTAAAGATTGGAAATTTCAATACTTTTAAGAACATTTTGAAGCTTTGTTTGAAATGGTTTGATTTTACTTGCCTGTTGTCATTAGTGCGGATTTGATTGCGGCTGGAGACCAATCAGGATGGAAAGATTTGACATAAGCCGCTGCAGCTGCTGCGTGAGGACAAGCCATTGATGTTCCTGACCTGATGGAGAAAAGTGTTTGTCTTTTATCGTCTGGATAATCGGTTAACGATTCTAGCCTCGAGAGTGCCGCAAGTATGTTTAGTCCGGGAGCTGAAATGTCAGGCTGTCGGAGAAAACTGAATCATTCACATGCAGTGATAGATAGAGAGATATAGATAGATAGAGAGAGAAAAGAGAAACCTTAAGAATGCTTGGGCTGATTCTTTGAGGCCCTCTTCCTGAGAAGGTAGCAACCGAAGGAGCTAACATTTTGCTTGTTTGTGTCTTAAAGATAACCGCTTGAGGATTTCTGTTAAACATCAATGGTGTGAGGACCAAGAACAAGAGCTAGAAAGTAATAAGAGAGACCGAGAGAAAGAGACAAGGAGATTGATTACTTGGTGGAGTTGATGTATTCAGAGATCTTTGTACCGTCTTCGAAGAAGACATAAGAGCCAGGAATGACAGTTACAAAGGCCATATCAGTCGGTTCTTGAAGCTGAATGATGACGCCAGCTCCTTTTAAGGATCTCACAATATGGTCTTCACCTCCACTGCCTCCTCCTTCTTCAGGTGCTGCCTCACAGTAAACCACCTTCCCCATCACTTTATCTTCCCCCATTGTTCCAGCCTCACAAACACTGCATTGATTCACAAACAAGATTTCGAAAAACAGAGAAAGATTGAGGTTTTTATTTTTATTTTTTTTCTTGAGATTTACCTTGGCTCTCCATAGCCACCTGCAGTTACGTTAGACGCAAGCAAACCGCTCGTCAGAGGATAAATTTTCTTCGTTGGAGAGAATCCGTTTAGAGAGATTCCCTGCAAAAGAGATCTTGGACTATTAACTTTACTTGTCATACAAGCAACAAAGATGATAACTTGGAGTTTTTGAAAGAGAAATGCTTACAGATGCGGTTTGGCCATCTCCGAGCTTGAAAACAGTCTGGAACTTCCGGTCGATTGAGTTAGCCGCGACGGTCATTACCCACGGCGCGAGGTTGGACACCGTAAATAATTCGGGACCGGTGTTGCCTGCGGAACACGTTGTCAAGATACCTCTTTTCATGGCGTGAAACGCTCCGATCGCAATCGGATCTGAAAAAAACGGGAGCGAGGATCCTCCGATCGAAACCGATATCATATCAACCCCATCAGAAATCGCATCGTCGAACGCCGCCAACATGTCCATGGCCGAGCATCCGTCCAACTCCCAGCAAACCTTCATTTGAAAACAGAGTGTCAGAGATTTACTCTGCTCCAAGAAAACAGAGTAGCCAAAAATAAAGAAACAAACCTTGTAAGTAGCTATTCTTGCAGAAGGAACACCGCCTCGTGCTGTCCCGTTGGCGATTCCGAAAAGGCTAGCGTCAGAGACTGAAACACCGGCGATTGTGGAAGATATGTGAGTCCCGTGACCTTCGTAATCCGCGGCGGTGTCTCCATGGTCATCGACAAAATTCTGTTGGTCGAGGTGGAAGTACTTTGCGCCTATCACTTTACTGTGTTTACACATTCAGTCCAAAACAAAAGTAAGTTAAGAAACGAAGAAAGAGACGTTGCAGAAAACAGAGGAATAAGAGGAACAGAGCATTTTGTACTTATTGCAACGAGTTAAGTTTTTTCCAGTGACACATTTTCCTTTCCATTTAGCTGGAGGTGGTCCAAAGCCTTTGTCATCGAAGCTCGGTGACTCGATATCGATTCCTTTTGACAACAAACAAAAAAGGGTTATAATTTATTAAATCAGTTTTTTTTAAGCGAATAGTTTCAGATTCAAGTTCCAAGTTTACTTACCTGTGTCAAGAACTCCTACAATAATATCACTCTCTACTGCTACATTTCTTTTGTATTTAGACTCAACAAAGCCTAGAAAATCCCATGATCTTGTCGTGTGAAGCTGTATTTGAGTGTTCTTAAACACCGATATAACTCCTTCGTCGCCTGACAAGTAACAATCCATCCATTAACACATTTGAGACAAACTCGAAAGTTTTGAAAGATTTGTATTTTTGACTAACGTGATAGCTTCTCTGCTTCGTGAGGAAAAAGTCTTGCCACAAATCCATTAATGTTCTTTCCATAGCTATACATTTTAAGTTCTCTTGCTTTGCTCTCGCTGCAACAACCCCAACAAGAAAGATATAAACTTTCGATAAATTAGATAGAGAAATTGAAAGAGAAAGAACTGATTCTTACTCTCCGACCACTGTCAATAGAATATTATGATGGTCTTCGGCGGCTTCAACATGATAATTCTCACCCGCATCTCCCATGTACACAATGTAAGGCTATAAAGAAAGAGAAAAACAGAGCAAAAGAAGATGAGAGATTCAGTAATTTAAAACCACACCTAACACAAAATTCACTCTCTTTCTTCACTCTTACATTATCATTACCTTTCTCTCGTCGTTTTCATCTTCCGTAACTGCTTTAAACGCGGAGTTTGCAAGGCAAAAACAGAGGACCAACATCCATAAACGGAGATTCCGAACCATCTTTTGATAACGAGATTAGTTGAGATTTAGGTTTGCTTCTGGTTGAGAAGAAATCTACAGACAGCAGTTAATAAAACGAAGAAGACAATACTTTTACAGCCACTTGTCTTTTTAAACTGTCTTCTTTGGCTAAGTCGTTAGTATAACACTGAGAGTTCCTTGCCTTGATTTTAGGATCTTTTTCCACCCTAATATTCCGGTTTATTTGTTACTTAAATATTTAGATTTTCTGTCCTTAATGAAACCAAATTGTATATCTAGAATATCTTGGAGATCCGTAAATATATTTATTCCTAATTAGTAGATTTGTAACTATGGAAACTTGGAAACTAGGTTTATTAGCTCTAGTATCCTCATGAGAGTAAATATAATTCTTCCATCACTCTAATAAATAGAGCGTGAGGATTAATAATGTAAATGAACAAGTTTAGAGTTTTTATTAGTCACACACAAACACATAGAAACACAAATGAATGAAGAGATTCTAAAAAAAAACAGAGAAAGAACAAACACTTGTTTCTCACGCTTCATCAGAAGAAACCTAAAAAAGAAGTGTTCTTTGTTGTTGTTTGTTTCTCACGCTTTGATCAAAGACGCGGCAAGACTTTGGCGTAAAACAGAGTAAACAGCTCTCCAACCTTCTTCAGTAGGGTGAAGTCCATCCCAAAAGAAAGCAGATTTAGGATCATCGCATATCATATACTTCTTCACTCCCTTCTCATCCACACTCCCACAGCTATACTCGCTGCTCACGCCAACACAACATGGCTTCAACGGACTCTCAAACCTCGTACTCCCTGGACTAGCTCCTTTGTTCTTGAAGACGGTCAAGAAAGCGCTGTAGAGATCGAGTATGATGAAAGTAGACTGCTTGGTCTCGTTGTTGAGCTTTGCCACGGCTTGTTGCAACAAGTTGTTGTGAAGGTTCACTAACAAGTTCTGTGACTCATTGCAACTCTGGAAAGAGGAGGCGAAGGTGATGCGAGGGAGGCATCCGAGTGGTTGCAGCGATGGTACTGCGATCTTTTTAATTCCCAATGCATGGAGTCGTCTCAGATTCACCACTGTTTGATCCACTACTTGCTTTATGAATGCTGGAAACTCCTGTGAGATGCAGTGAAAAGGGAAGAAATTAGTGAAATTTTAAAGAGAAACAAAAGTTTTGAAGTAAATGTGAATTGATTGTTGTGTTTTTCTTACGGAGGCAGAGCGGTTTTGGGAGATGAAGTTGGAGTAGTCGTTGCCGGCGACGCTGACGAGAGCGACGGAGGAGATAAGGTCGGAGGGAGAGTAAATGTCGCCGGCGGTGAGAAGGTTGTGGAAGATATCGATCTGAGTGGTCATGTTGGGCAATGGATTATGAGTGTTGAAGACTCCGGTTCCTCCGTAGGCGAAATTCATTCCGTACTGTAACCGTTTCTTTCCCGCGTAATCTTTCCAGAAGTATGGAATTGGTGATTTTATCCCCACGAATTTTGCTGTAGAAAACCCAAAAAAAAAAGAGTATGTAACTGTAACGTTTTAGGATAATTTTTAACTAATAATGTATGTGATGTGACAGGCTAATAGCGCATAGCCGCATATGTTGGTGTCTAGCTTTATAGTCTTTTTATATAATAATACAAAAGGAAGAAAAAAGAGAAGCATGAAGTGTCTTGCTTTGTTGATGCTAAGTGGGAGTGGATATATGATATGATTATTAAACAGAAACATTAGAAGAAAAAAAAAAGTTAACGTTTTAGTTAGAAAACGATATATGTATAAAGAAGGAAATACAGAGCAGCACCGAATCCTATGTACTGATCTTTACTGATCTGTATTGGTTATACACAGTACACTAAGGATTTAACGCAACACTGACACAACTGGTAAAATATCGAGAACTTATTTCCCGCACCAACCGATATAATGATTCATATAATATATTAACATAAAAAAAGACATAATCACGTATGTGTTGTAAAAAGATAGATTCCAAATAGGAAATATCCCAAAAATATATCAGGAAAATAGCCCGTAATTCTTAAAATTAATAAACAGAAAAGAAAGTGAAAAAAAAGACCACTTTAATAAAAGCAGAGTACAAGAAGAAGATGGCGAGAAGAAAGAAAGCAAAAGTGGAGCCGCGCACTGGATGGACACTAGACCACTCTTCCATCATTGTTTTTTGGACCTTATTTTATACGCGGTTATAATTTAAAATGGGGATTAAACATCGATTAGTAAGACACCTAGCACTAATAATAGACTATACTAATTAGTCGGGTATAATTGTACCATATCGCATATTAACTCCTAAAAGGCTATATACTAAAGTCATGAGTCAGGTGATCTCAGCAGGAGACTTTACTTAGTTGGTCACTAAAACTGATTTAAGATTCTGATTTAGAAATATCGAGATAAGATAATTAAGAATGCTACTTTATGGTTTTAAGGGTTGTGAAAAGGAAGAGTTACCTAGAAAATCGGTAGCCACGCGTCCGTCAGAGAAACGGCCGGCGGGTTTTCCGGGGAAAGTGATACCGTAAGGGAATTTCCAAGAACTAGCGAGAGACTTCTTAATGTTTCCGGTATCGGCATATGAATCTCCAAACACAAACAGCTTCGTTGGTCTGAATCCGTACAAGTGATGGTTCTGATTCGAGCCATCAACTCCATTGATTTCCCCTGCACAATATAACAAAAGTAAAGTTGGGTCATATGGAGTTTACAGAATCGATTATGTTAAGGGCTATAAGATGAATGTAACTTTAATTACCAAAGAGGAGAGATGTGGACAGGAAGAGAGAGAGGGAGAAGAATAGTTTGATCAAAGAATCCATTTTCAGGATTCGGAGCAAAGACTTCTCTTTTTGAAGGACAAAAGAGGAGGAAGAGAGAAGATGGGTTTAAAGGAGAGAAGTTTGAGAATTGAAATTGTATCCTCACAAATGACTTTCTGGCTTTATATAGTAAGCCACTAAGCCTTAGAGTTGATGTGTGAAACGACTACGATCTGGTCAACTTTTGTATCTTTATTCTTTGTGTTTATTCAACTTTTTCGCACCATCTGATTTTCTTATCATGATTGTTTAGTGTCTAAGACTGTGATTACTACGCAATTGGGATAATAGATATAGTTATGCCAAATTTGACATGCGTTATTTTCTTTTATTTTGAGTTGTTTTCTGTTTTCACGGAACAAACGTGTCTGCGTACTATATAGCAAAGAGTAAAGACTTTATTTTTTATTCACATCAATGGCATAATGGCACACCCCCCTTGATTATTGACTATGTTAATTTGTTTTTGGCTTTTTGCACTTGATTTAACTTCCCAACGAACGTGGTTATTATATTCTCGAATGCTTATTAAATACCAATAGGTTAAAAAGACAATGACATACCTTGACAGTTGACACTAACATAGTAACATTCGTGTGCTTTAAAGAAAATGCACGATTTAAAACCAAAATAAATGTCACACTACCAAGAAAGTACGAACCAGCTGCGTCACATACAAATCGGTTAACATAACGATGAACAAAACATCAACCAATGCCGAAAAATGAAGTTATTAAAAGAAAGGAACAAAAATATCAAACCTCAAATCGAGCTTAGAGATAATATTAACCCACATTCGTCATCAATTATTCTTCAAATGAAGAAATCTAAAAGTTTCCTACACATTCCGGGTTATATATATATACTAAAATGTGGGTTTATGCTTTGGTTAAAGATTCGGTTAATGGATTCCCTAATACTGAGTAAACCGATTTCCATCCTTCTTGGGTAGGGTGAACTATATCCCAAAAGAAAGAAGTCTTGGGATCATCACATAATGTATACATCTTCGCACCTTTAGAATCCACACGCGCACACGCGCCTTCGCAGCACGGCTTCAACAGATTTTTGAACCTTGTCCTTCCTGCATATCCACAAACCGATCACACACAAAGGTACCACCTAATTGGATTTAGTAACTAATTGGATTTTCACCTTTGTTCTTCAAGATGGTCATGAAGGCTTTGTGAATATCAATGACAAAGTAACGCTGCCCCTTCTTCCCAAGCCTTGAGTCTTCGTTAAGCTTGGCCACGACTTTTTTCAAGGAATCGTTGTGGAGTTTCACCAATTCGCTATATGACTCGTTGCAACTCTTGTATGAGGATGCAGAGGAGAAATAAGGGCTGCATCCGATCGGCTGCAGCGATGTTATTGCTATCTTCTTAAATAGTAAATCGCCTAATCGAATCACTCTATTGTATAAACTATCCACGACTTTCTCTATGTATGCTTTCAAATCCTGCATGCAATGAAGATAAGCAATGGATTATCTCCCAAGGTAGAAGTATATAGCGGTTCCTTTTTGTTTGCATTTAGAGTGTGAGTTTAAAAATTTAGCAAAAAAACTTTTAATATTTGTTTTCTTATAAAAACCTAAATTAATAAATGAAAGACAACGTTTATACAACCCTAAAAAAAAACTAGTTCACACAGAAACGGAGAGAAACTAGTTATCAGAGTTGGCACCGTCCAAGAAAATATGAATGTTTTGTTTTTCTTACAGCGGGAGGGCGATTTTGGAGGATGAAATCGAAATAGTCGCCACCTGCGTAGCTAATGAAAGAGACGTCGGAGGGATAAATATCTTGTGGAGTGTAGACACGGCGGGCGCGAAGAAGGTCAGCCATGAAATTGACCTGAGCGGTCAAATTAGGCATTGGATCAGCCGTGAACGCTCCAGCGCCTCCGAACGCAAAATTCATTCCTCTTTTCAGCTTAAGTTTATTTTTCCCGTGAGTTCTCCATAGATACGGCGATTCTGCCCCTAACGCTTTTGCTGCACGCGCGCATCACACCAACGAACACGTCACAATAGTTAATTTTATGTAATATTCGTTTCAATAGATAATTATATACTAATCGAGAGAGAGAGAGAGAGACCTAGAAAATCGGTGGAGGTGAGACCATCAGAGTAACGGCCGGAAGGTTTACCGGGGAAAGTGACACCGTAGGGGGAGATCCAAGACTCTGCGCCATTCTTCATGTTTCCGGTATCTGCATAAGAATCTCCGAACACAAAGAGTTTGGGGATTTTATTTGGTTGAGAAAGCTGATTCGAACCCATTACTTCATTGTTTCTTCCTGCGCAAGAAATCATTGAAATCAAAACCAAAGTTTGGTTTCTACAAAGTCTGTCGTGATGGTTGTAAAATTACCATAGAAGAGACAGAAGAAGAGGAAGAGTTTCATCAGAGAATACGTTTCAAGATTCATCGCAAAGGCTTCTCTTTTGTTCTGTTTTGTTTTTTGTTATCAAGACAATTAAAAAAAAAACAAATGGAAGAAAGAGAACGGATATGGAAGTGAGAACTTTCACTAATTGTGGCTTAATTTAGAGCTAGTAACCTTAAAAGGAGTTGACTTTGGTGAGTGTGAGTGTTTTGTTAAGGACACAAATAAATTCAAATTAGAAGAGTGACAAATAAAATGGAGAGGAAATCGATGAGTATGTGAAGGAGAGAAATTTGAGGATTTTGTTTTTTTGTTTTTTTTTTCTACGCATTATATAATGTTGTTAGGGGTTTTGATTGATCCAGTCAGCACTTTCCTAAACAATATACAAAAGTGGACCGGGCTTTTTAATTGTACTTTCTAGCGTTTACGTTTCAATAATTTGGGCCTACACCCGCGCGTGGTGGTTGTACTTGCTAGCGTTTACGTTTCAATTGTAGGCTGTAGCTTACGTAAAGTTTACAAAATGTCAACAATGGTTTCAGAGTAAACAAAGCACACACTGATTATAAACCATAATCAAAATCGATTTCAAGAAACTGAAAAAGACAAAAGTTCCAGTGATCCTGAAACGTCAATCACTCGCAGTCGAAGAGGGTTTATTTAACCTTTGCTTAGAGGGTTGCCTAACACAGAGTAAATCGCTTTCCATCCTTCTTGAGTAGGATTAACTTTATCCCAAAAGAAAGATGATTTAGGATCATCACACACCGTATATATCTTCGCACCCTTCTCATTCACAATCGAACATTCGCCTTCGCAGCACGGCTTCAACGGGTTCTTAAACTTTGAGCTCCCTACATTTCCACAAACCAATCAATCACACAAAAACTTTAAAAAAAATACTACGGTTTAATATTAAAAATCAAACGTAAAACTTCAGTTACTTATGCTCTTACCTTTTTTATTCAAGACGGTCATGAAGGCGGTGTGAAGATCAAGAATGAAGAAGTTGGGCTGTCCATTCTTCTTCCTTGGCTCAGCCTCTTCGTTGAGTTTGGCCACGACATTTTTCAGCAGTTTGTTGTGGAGTTTCACCAATTCGTTGTATGACTCGTTGCAACTCTTGAATGAGGATGCACCGGTGTATAATGGGAGGCATCCAAGAGGCGGCAGCGACGCAATTAATACATTCTTAAATAGTAGGCCGTCTAATATCCATAGAGCATGCCGTATATCATCCATAACATATTGTACGAATGCTGGATATGCCTGCATGCATGGAAGATGCAATCAAGGTTTAAAACAACAACTAATAATCACACAAAATAAAGTAGTGGCTTCTTCATCTGTTTGCGTTTACTTCTTTAAAAAAATGTATTAAATTTTTATTTGAATTTGTTTTGAGGCTAAGTGTTTTTCTTACACGGAACTTAGGGTTTTTCATGATGTATCCAAAATAGTCGTTGCCGGAGTAGCTGAGGAGAGCGACGTCGGAGGAAGTAATATCGTCGAAAGTGTAGACACGGCCGGCCTCGAGAAGGTGAACCAAGAAATTGACCTGAGCAGACATGTTGGTTGATTTCTCAAACGGAGAGTCGTACACTCCAACCCCTCCAAACGCAAAATTCATTCCTTTTTTAATTCTAATAAGTTCCTTTTCCCGTCAGTTCTCCATAGGTACGGTGATTTTGCCCCCAACACTTTTTCTGCACACACACATATATACATATTCACGGACAAACAAAATCGCTTTATATAACGTCTTCAAGTTGTAACAAACAATGATATAGAGAGTGAGAGAAAAACCTAGAAAATCGGTGGAGATGAGGCCATCAGAAAAACGGCCGGAAGGTTTGCCGGGGAAAGTGTAACCGTAAGGGGATTTCCAAGACGCTGACTCCTGCCTCGTGTTTCCGGTATCGACATAATTATCCCCGAACACAAACAGCTTCGGACTTTTCTTGATTGAACCCATTACTCCATTGATTCCTCCTGCACAACATTTTCGTAAAAAGTAAATCATAATTTACCCATAGATTTTAAGGAATCCGTCGTGATGAGAGCTATGAGATGATTGTAAATTACCAAAGAAGAGAGCGATGGAAAGGAAGAGTTTCATTAGAGAAGACATTTCAAGATTTAGATCGAAGATATGGAAGAGTGAGACCTATGTTAGGGTTAGAGCTAGTATTCTTAAAAGAGTCGAATTGTACATGTGTGAGTGTCTTTTTTTTTTTTTTTTTTTTTTCATCCTTTCCAACTTTCCACTTCCCTCCGACCGGAGCGAGTTTTGTGAGTTACAAGAAGATGAAAGCCGAAAGAGATACAAAAGAAGCTTAAACAACGACAAGAGAGAATAAAAGCTTATACTACTTAAAGGAACCCGTCACTTAAACTTGAAAAAATCCGAACCAAGTTGAGAGGTAGCTGATGTTGGTGGGAACGTTGTTTACCGTCTGAGCTGACGTATCAAGAACATAGAGCTTCCGTCGAATTATAGCCTGGATCTCCCTGATAACCTGAGCTGGGGGCTTGGTCACAGCTCTGTGCAATCTGAAGTTCCGCTCTTTCCATATCTAGTAAACAGTGGCTTGAAGAAGTAGTTTGCTGATCACTTTCTTCTTTGCATCGGAAAAACTTGAGATGACCCAAGCTTGAGCTGCTTCAAAGTCTTGAGGGATTGTAAGGGCTGAGTGAGAATAGAAGGAGTTCCAAACCTCTGCTGTGAACGGACATCGAAAGAAGAGGTGCGACCTGGTTTCTGGTTCACTGTTACACAGAAGACAAACGCTAGGTACATCTAGACCCCAGCTTCGAAGTCTGTCTCTGGTTGGTAATCTGTCTCTAGCAGTCACCCAATGAATAAAAGCGTGTTTGTGAATTCTTTGCGAGAACCACACCGCCTCTGTCCAAGAAACCGAGACACCGGGAGGATGAAGAGCCAACCAAGTATTTGAAGCGGAAAAGTTACCCTGTTTTCCAGTAGTCGGATCACGCCAACTAAAACCATCTGGGACTGTAGTGAGAATAGGTGGTATTGCGGGTAAGGCCGCCTTGAGAAGAACAATGATAGGATGTCTCCCACGAGGAAGGTCCCATTCTCCGTTTCTTATCACCTCTCCCACCGAAGGAAACCTGTTGATTCCGGTGACTCTTGGTCCATTGGCGCCTGAGAGATCAAGCAGAGGGCCTAGACCAGTCCAGTCGTCAAACCAAAAGCGAGCCGAAGAACCAGAACCAATAAGGCAAGACAGAAAAGGTCTAGCCAAAGGACGCAGACGAAGTAACCACTTCCAAATCCAACTTCCCGAGTGTCTTTTTTTGTTTAGGGCGAAAAAGAAAATTTAACAAAATAAAAGGGACAACTAGAAATTGAGAGGAAATCGAGACTATGTGGAGGAGATGATGAATTAGAAGGGAGAAATTTGAGGATCGAAATTCAAGTGTCTTAATTTAGAGTAACCTTTAAGTAGAGTCAAATTTTGATATGCATTATTGGTTTTTACCATAAATTATTAAGCTTTTACCCACCCCCCTGTAAGTAAAACGGAGACGAGAGATCGTTGGAAAATGCTTATAATTTGGCACGGTGAAAGTGAATTTGGCCAGGATGCATGCTTACGTGTCGCAATTTCAAAATTTATCATAATCCAATTTGGCTCTATACGCAATTGAGATCCTTCAAAATAATGATGATTCTAAAAGAGAATGAATGTTAACTGACACAAATTCGGCTTCATTATGATTTTTATTATTATACCTTTTTTTTTTGTTCAAAGATTTTTATTATACCTAAAACCCCAAATTGAAGAAGCGTAACTTGAATTGTACCCAACATTGATTTCAAACAAGATTGAAAGAAAATAGTGATTGAGCAGCCTAGAAAATTCGTTTTCGTTTTGAAAATCTTCAATATATTTTAAGTTTTTGGATACCGAAAAACACTTTTACCCTTTGGTCAAAGATTAGGTTATAGGGTTGCCTAATACCGAGTAAATCGATTTCCACCCTTCTTGCGTAGGGTTCACTTTATCCCAGAAGAAAGCAGATTTGGGATCATCACATACTGTATACTTCTTCGCACCCTTCTCATCCACATTCGCACAATCACCTTCGCAACACGGCTTCAATGGATTTCTAAACCTTTTTCTCCCTGCATTAGTTTTCCGCAAACCGATCACACCAAAAACTAGGGTTTTTTAATAGTAAAGATCATCAAAAGTGGTAAATTACTTGGATGCTCACCTTTTTTCTTCAAGACGGTCATGAATGCCTTGTGAAGATCAATTATGAAGAAACGCTGTCCCTTCTTCCTAAGCCTAGCCTCCACGTTGAGCTTGCCCACAGCTACTTTCAAAAGTTTGTTGTGAAGTTCCACCACTTCGCCATATGTCTCGTTGCAACTCTTGAATGAAGATGCATATGTGAAATGGGGGAGGCATCCGATCGGCGGCAGCGAAGTCACTGCGATATTCTTGAATACTAAACCGTCCAGTTTTAACAAACAATAATTTATATCTTCCATGATAAACGGTACGAATGCTTTGTAGACCTGCATGCAAGATGAAATGAAGGTAAGAAAAAGAAAAAAAAAAATTAATTGGCGTTGTTTAAGAAAAAGCTAGCTGAATGTTTTTTCTTTCTACCAAACAAAAAAAAAGCTGAATGTTTTTTCTTACACTTATGCCGTTTTTGGCGATGTAATTAAGATAGTCTGAGCCAGAGTAGGTGAGGACAGCGACATCGGAGGAAGAAATGTCGTTGAAAGTGTAGGCACTGCGAGCGATGAAAAGGTTAACCAAGAGATCGACCTGAGTAGATTTCAACCGGAGATTTATCAACCGGAGAGTCAAACACTTTGGATCCTCCGAAGGCAAAATTCGTTCCTCTTTCCAGTCGTTGCTCTTTCCCGTGAGTTCTATACAGGTACGGTGATTTGGCACCCAAAACTTTTGCTACACGCATCCATCCACAAACCAACAAAATAATTTAAAATAATAATAATAGTGTTCGTTTGAAAAGAAAAAACAAATAATGATTAAAATCAACTAGAGGGAAATTTTCAAAAATACCACAAAAGTAATTATATTAGTCATAGACTCAGTGTACGTAACTTTCTAACGTGTGAAAAATAGTAAAGAATAAAATATTGTAAAACGGCGGGAGTATAGGATCTCGACATCGGTGGAAGCTAGATTCATCTAATTAAGCCTAAATTGTTTTCAGTGAGTCGGTGGATCCATCACATGTATGCTTCCAACAATCTAACTTTGTGGTTTCAGTTAGTGTCGTTCTATGAATTTGTTTTTTATGTTTATTTAGATGATCAATCATATTAGTCATTGATCATCTAAATAAAATAAAAAAAATATGAACCAATAAGTATTTAGAGTAGTACCTAACAAATCGGTGGAGATGTGACCATCAGAATAACGGCCGGAAGGTTTACCGGGGAAAGTGATACCGTAAGGGGATTTCCAAGAAACTGCATCCTGCCTCATGTTTCCGGTATCAGCGTAAGAATCTCCGATCACAAACAGCTTCGGATTTCTAGATGGTTCGAAAAGCTGTTTTGAACACATTACTCCGCTGATTTCTCCTACAAATAGTTGAGAAATAAAAAAAGAAAATCAAAATCAAAATTCGGCCATATAGGTTTTACATAATCTGTCGTACGTGGTGGGAGCTATAAGATGATTGTGAATTACCAAAGAAGAGAAAGAGGGAGAGGAGGAGTTTCATCCGATAATACATGATCAAGATTCAGAGCAAAGGTTTAATATTTCTCTTTTGTTTTCTTTTCGTTGTAAGTAACAAAAAGAAAGGGAGATGAAAGAGAGAGGATGTGAAGGAGAGAACTTTGAGGATTGAAATTGAAGTGTTCTTCCTGATTATTGTCTTTATTGCTTTTTATATATAGACCTTAAACGGAGGTGACTGTTATGATTGTGTAGTGTGTGTACGTGTGTTTTGATACTAGAAATTTCCAGATAACTCAAACTTAGATTAGTCCTATGAATACTTTTTATCATTTAAAATATTTATATTGGCCGCTAATTATGATTGAAACTGTACTAGGAATACTATGGTTTTAAACAACTATAAGATGAAGAAATCTTAAAAGAATCTAAAACACATTTTTGTTCTTCGATAAAAAAAAAAAAAAAAGTGGTTGGTTTTACGGTTTAATCAAAGACGAGGTTAGATTTTTGCTTAAAACCGAGTAAACAGATTTCCATCCTTCCTGAGTAGGGTGAAGTCCATCCCAAGAGAAAGCAGACTCTGGATCATCACATAATATATACTTCTCCGTACCCTCCTCGTCCACATGCCCACAACTTCCTTCGCAACACGGTTTCAACGGTGTTTCAAATTTCGTACTCCCTGCATTTCCATAAACAAATAATCACACCAAAGCCTTATAAGCAAATGTTTTCTTTTTTAAATTGATAAAAAATGTTAAAACTTTGGTTACCTGGATATTCTCCTTTGTTCTTGAAAACGGTCAAGAAGGCGTTATAGAAATCAAAGACGATGAAAGTGGAATGATTGGTCTCGTTGTTGAGCTTGGCCACTACTTGCAGCAACAAGCTGTTGTGGTAGCTAACCAACGTGTTAAAAGTGTCGTTGCAACCCTGGAACGAGGCGGAGAGGGTGTAGAGTGGGAGACATCCGAGCGGTTGCAGCGTTGGTACGACAATCTTTTTGACTCCCAATGCATGGATTCGCCTCAAATTCACCTCTGTTTGATCCACCACTTGATTTATGAATGCTGGGATGGCCTGCCAGTTAGGTGGAAAATGAATAACTCAACCGACCAAAATGGCCGTGCTCCATAATTTGTGAAACATAAAAAAGTGTTTTTCTTACAGCTATGGAGAGATTTAGGGAGAGGTAGTCGGAGTAGTCGTTGCCAGCAACGCTGACGAGAGCGAGGGAAGAAGAAAGGTCAGATGGAGAGTAGACATCGCCGAGGAGCTGCTCGAAGAGATTGATCTGAGTGGTCATATTGGGAAATGTAACTTGAGTGTTGAAGACTCCTGTTCCTCCGTAAGCAAAATTCATTCCGTATTGTAACCGTTTCTCTCCCGCGTAATCTTTCCAGAGGTGGTACGTTATGGGTGTTTTAATTTTTAATATTTTGGATGCACCCATCCACCAACATATTGACATACCGTATAAGATATAAAGATATACACTAAATAGATGATATTAGTTAACTGAATATTTAAAATTTAAATCACTTTGTTTAGGTTAAAACGTAAAAAGTGTGGTACCTAAAAAATCGGTGGAGACTCGGCCGTCAGAGAAACGGCCAGAGGGTTTACCGGGGAAAGTGATACCGTAAGGGATTCTCCATGACACAGCGCGAGGCTCCTTTGTGTTTCCGGTATCGGCATAAGAGTCTCCGAACACAAACAGCTTCTTTGGACTGTACAAGTGATAATGATGATGATGATTTGAACTCTCAACTCCATTGATTTCTCCTGCCAAAATAGATCCGTAGATAAACAACAAATCGTCGTAACTCTTACAATTAGTCGTGTGGAATTTAGAGAAACCTTTCTGTAATGAGATATAGATAAGATCATTTAAAATTACCAAAGAGGAGAGAAGAGAAAAAGAAGAGTAATAGTGAGACGAAGAGTTTTATCATGAAATCCATTTTCAAGATTTAGAGCAAAACCTCTTAATCTTCTTAGAAGGACTCAATAAATGGGGAAAAAGTGTATCGTTTGACAAAACAATACAAACAAACAAAAAATGGGGAGAAAGAGAGAGTTATGTGGCTGAGATGAGTTTAAGCAGTGAAACTTGGAGAAGTGATAATGGCTAAACCTTTAACAAACATCACCATTTACAAATTAAAGCTTGACCAAATCACAACTTACAAATAAAGGTTAGCGAAATAACGCATAATCTATTTATCTTTTAGCCATTTCATTCGTCTGAGGCCAAATTTACTGCATGCTTATTAGTTTTATTTTTATCTTTTCATGGTATGTTTTAATAATTAATAAGAATTTTCACTATCTAAAAAAGTCCCGCGCCGATATTCATATAGATTTTTCACTTGAACCAAACAAGTTAGAAAGGAGAAAAGCCCAAAGCCCATTTTCGTTAAATAAGCCCAAAGCCCATTCGTAGAAGAAGTAGAAGAAAGAAAGTAACGGCGGACTCACACCAGTCACCACCGAAGTGATCAGAAGCTTTACGAGCATGAAATATGTAAAGATAAAAGGAATACGGTCAATTTTTCTCTTTCACAGTCGCATGGGGAACCACAAAACTCTTATAGGATGCAGTTTCTATTTATAAAACTGATCAATTTCAGAACCATAATGAGAAAACAAAAAATGGATTGCCAATTTAGTGAAAGCCTTAAATGAGATGCAATTTATTATCTAGATATGATACAGAACCATACTGAGAATACAAACAATATTCATAAACAGTAATCTGTATGCGTCTGTTTCTTAACTTGTTCACATGAAGAAGCACAAAACACTTATAGGATGGAATTAGAAAGCAAACAAATAAAAATATGGACCTATTAGCCCAAAAATATTAAACACGGTTTCTAATTCAGTAAAAGCATTGAATGAGAACAAATTACTAAATACATCAACATACACGGGAATATAAACAGTCTCCATCTTCTCACTATTTACATTCTTCACTTTCTCCGTCTTTGATTTGGTTCTCTTCTTGAAAGAACACTGAAAAACAGAGTAAACACAAAAATGCAGTCATCGCTGCTATTTTTTATGCTGATGACGGCGGCGATTGTGTTGGCGACTATCTTTAATGGTCTTCCGCCGTGTCTCCTCCGCCACAGGTCTGTACGGACTTACGCCACTATTTTTTGTCTTTTTCCTTTTTGATAAACATTAAGGCTTCTTCTTGGTCTTGGACTTTAACGATTGAATATCGACCATTTCTGAAAGACATCTATGTATAGGTTTGACATGTTAAACGTTACAGAATGAGGGTTTTTTTAGTCACAGGAACATGCAACATATTTAAAATGCAACATATTTAAAATAAGTTTTAGATAACATTTCCATTTCTTTTGTTTTTTTCACATTCGAATTATTTTCTTCTGCACGAATTCCCAGTAACGATCATATAGTCCCAAAAATTAGTAAATGTATTTCCTAGTAAATGCTTGGTAGTTGATGATATGACGAATTTCTATTTTGGCGTGAAAATTACACTTGCGTTACGCGTAGTTGAAGACATTTATTGCACTTTGTAAAGCACGCAGTGCCAAATTTGATAAATTTTGTTCTGTTGACCTCAGATATTTATGTTTGTATAGACTTCTTGAGAAATTCCGGTTTTATGGAGAACCATCAAATCTAACCGGAACGTAATTCGGTTTCAGATCAATTTAATCATAGTCAAAGCAGTAATTACTCCGTTTAGTAAATAAACGTAAGTGGTGACCAAAACAAAAACAGAGAAAAATTAATAGTTTTTCAGTTTCTTTGAATATACTTTTGCTATTTTTGTTACAAAGTGACGCAATTACTATGAAGATATGTAACAGAGCTAGAGATGAGCAACGATGATCGTCACGGGTCTTCCTCTTGTCCAAGCCGATTCACGAGTTTGTATTTAGCAAACCTTGATCCACAAATCTCTGAAGAAATGTTGATTCAGATGTTCTCGGGTTACGGAAAGATGATTAGATTTGTTCTAGCAAAGGATTTCAGAGGAGAGTCTCGAGGATTTGCTTTCATTGAGTTTGAAAGCACGGATAGCGCTGAACATGCCGCCAAACACATGAATGGAAGGCTAATAGGTAAAATTAGCTGTACTTTAGTTTATTTTGATAGTGACATGTCACATGGTATGTGTAAGTTACAATTGTCTGAAGGTTTTAACTTTTAATGTTTTGTTTTCGTAATCTGACGAGTAGGTGAGAAGATTCTGTACGTTGAGAGGACACCAAAGTTCCACGAAGGACAAGATATATGAGAAGCTGACGTGGATTATCGGTATTCATCTATCTGTTGTTCCATGAAATCAAGGAACGCATTATTATTATTACAATATCTGCATTAGAGAAAAAAATCCATTATAAATTTTAGAAATGGTTTACTAACAAATTTTTGACAAGAATAAAATTTTCGTTTTATATATCATTGTAAAATTTTTGATTCCAAAATTATATTTGAGCATTGATATGGTGAGTTGGTGACACATTCTGTGAGCGTACGTACAGTGTAGCTAGAAAGCTAAGTAGAATACAAAAAGGAGTTTAATCATGAAACCAAAAGTTTGTTAAAAACTGGAATCTTGTCCCAGTGAAATATGTGTTTTCGGATACGGTAGAGATGAACAGTGTAGAGAATCCCGGCTAACGAAGTTGTACCAAATGAGAATAACGTCAATATCCAAAAATCCTGAAGAATTAAGAATCACATCCAAAAAATTAAAACAATAATACTAATCGATCAACAATGTTTAGTGGTTATAGTTTTAGTACCTTGGGATCAGAAACAATAATACCCAAAACATTAGCCAGCAAGTCAAGAGCCGATTGCAACGAGTTTTGTACACCTCCAACCACACATCGGTCCGGTTCCGGTACAAGATCCTATAAGCATCATCGACCACACACTCACTCAAATAATTCGAAGCAAAAATGAAACAAAAAAGGCCATTTTCAGCTTTAATTAGATTTGTACCTGCATTTGTTGGATAATGGAGAGATCGAACATCCACAAGCCAAGCCTAGAAGTAGCAACTCCAGCCATGAGCATGTATGATGCGGTGTCCCCCTTTGCAACCCAAATCGATACAACACACACCAAAAGACAAGTCCACTACCAAAACAAGAACACCAACTTTTTTACAACATACTCTCAGACAAAACCAAGAAGACCGGTTTATAACAGTATACCTGAGACCAGAAGGACCAGAGTCCGGTTCTGAGCGGTGAGAGACGGGACTGCACTATAGGGTACACGACCGTTGCAGCTAGTCCAATACCGGCGCTTACTCCTCTCCCTAAACCAATGATATAAGTTGGTATCCCTTGCCACTCCAATGTCGCCGTCATCAATGTTCCATAACTGTCTCCAAAACGTAACTATTTTATACACGAAAAGCAAAAGCCAAACAAGAACAGAAGAGAGAAAAAAAAAAAAAAAAAAAAAACCTGAGGACAGTGAAGAACAATAACGCTAAAGCAACTCCAGGGAGCACAATTTCTTGACCTAGATAGTTCCTCCACGCGCCGACGAAAGAAGACTCTGAGATTCTCTCAAGAATCCTCATGTTTCCGCTTCTTTTACTCTGTGTACTATCCTCCTCGGTTCTCTGTAACAGAGGAGTTGCAATATCTGTCTTTTCTCTTTGCGATTGAGTCAACCTCAAACGCCTTCTTTCATCGCTTTGTACTATCGCAGGAACACCTTCGTAAACAGCGTTAAACAGCCAATATTCGATCCACACCGTCACAGTAGCCCAAGCTGCGAATGTGATCGCTGATGCTTCCAGAGAGACGAAACTAATGATCATACCAGTGATTACCGGAGACAGAAGCTTCGAGCTCAAGTCTATGCTTCTGATCACAGCATTCATGTTTGTTAAAACATCCGGTGGATGTCCTTCCGACATAACCACAACCCTGTAATAACATCTCATATCAAAAAAATTTGCAATTAAAAAATCAAAATTAGACCTAATTAAATTTTACCAGTCTCGTTCGACAAGAATGGTTCCTGCGAGAGTCGAGAGAACTCCAATGGCGCCAGAGAGATTCGTCAACACGATCAACGTTACGAAGAGAGGGAAATTGTGAGACTTGAGATCAGGAACGAGCAGGAGAGCAACGACGGAACCACCAGCGACAAGGAAGGAGAGGTTTTGAGTAACAAGCCAGAGCTTAAGAACCTTAACGTAGCTCATCCCATCGATCATTTGGCCAACGATGGGACCGAAAACGGCGGTGGAGCCGGATTCTACAGCGCCGTACAAGGCGGTGAGAAACAGAGAGTTTGGCCACAGGTATATCATATACAGAGCTACTGAGAATTCCCACGTTCTGCAATTTTCAATTTTTCAAATATATAAATACAGAATCAAATAATTAATTAATCAAATATATTGATTTTTTCAGACCTTGCGCCCCATCGAGCAAGAAAATAGCCGAGATAGAGAGAGATCACCATGGAACGCGGTAACAATGGCTGTTCTTCATGATCTTCGTTTGATACCAAAACCCTAGTTTCTGTATCCTTCTCCATTTTTATCTCTTGTGCTGATTAATTCGATTTAGCTCCTTCGGAATTTCAATTGAATCTGAAACTCTCAGAAACGTCGATTACAGCGAATTAGTGTGCGTTGCATGTCGCTAGCTGTCCAGATTATCAATTAAATGGGTGCAACTAGATTGGTAATGAATAAAAACTTAAAAAGGAAACAAATCAAAACAAAAAATACTGTATGCATTTAACACCTTATTTTTTGTCGACGCATTTAATAATAAATTTAATTATTGATATTTGCAAAATAACTTCATTTGCTAAGTAATCTCAAGTGGGCGATGGTGAATTTACTTACCGCACACAATCATGTGTTTTCTAAATATATCGACTTATTTGGTTTTTTGTATGACATGTTATTTTAAGATCTTATGAGAAGCCCACGTGATTTGTGGTACAACCTTGAAGTCAGAGGGTAGGAAGTTGGAAGCTTCAACAATTTTTAAAGAAAGCATTTATTCATAAGAAATTATAAATCGGTCGGTCATATGACAAATTATAAAGTAAACCGTGCAAAACACACTATATTTTATTTTTAAAGTATTGATAATAATGTCTTGAAAGTCTAACCAGAGAATTGAATGTTGATTTTTCTTGACCAAACAAAAATGATCTAGAATTTGAGTTGGATTTTTCCGTTAACTTGGTTGTGTCAGCAAAATTGCATAGAGTGTAGAGAGAGAAACAGATCCGAGGAAACAACCGGAGAGGTATCTAGTAGGCAAAAACGGATTTCTAGCTAGTAGTCTAACAAATTTACGATGAGTTTTTTTATTTAAATTTTGTTTTTTTTTATCATTAGTATCTGTCTTTAAACCAATTCAAAACTATGATGGTTCTCACTTTTGCATTTGATGTCTATAGAAGAACAAGTATGAGAGATGTGTAACAAGTACAAATCTTTCAAGAACATCAATAAAAGTCAATTTAAATAGAAAAACCAACTTTTATAAACAAAATTTCTATCTGACTCCCAAACAATTCATCCCTATGGAAATGATAAACAATCCGAGCACTCTTATTCATTAAAAAGAATAGCTCAGTCGGAAAAAGTTTAAGAAACCAAAAACGAATATCTTCAACGGACGCTAATTGAAAAAGTTAGAAACCAAACATTACCCGGTACACGAGCTTGAAGGATGAAATGTCGAAGCACCAAACTGTGAAGTCGTAGAAATTCAAGCAGAAACCCTGAGAGGTATTTTATAGGGCACGATTGGTGTGTTGAGTGTTGTCAAGTTACTACTCCGAATATTATACTATTGGTTTTGGAGTCAACGATGATGCGATCTATGTGATCATTATTATTTGCTGTTTTTTGTCCCGTTAGACTAGGCAATTAGTGTCTCGGGCAGCACGACGGATTGAGTAAATAAGACATCATTTTTTGTGTGAGATTCATAGTTTATATGTACAGCTTGTTACAACGTACAATCTGTCCAAACACTGAATCAATTTCAATATCATCTTCTCATCATATCTCAATTCCTGAAAATATTATAGACATATACGAACAAGAACTAACTTATTATATTGAAACACGAACTTACATAGCATGCACCATGCTTTAATACCAGTCCCAAAGTTTTGGACGTACCTGTACCTACGTAACGTTTGTTACTGACTGACAGGTTACGTTGTCACAATTAACACGGATCTACAATTTATATTAAGAAGCATTAAGAAGAAGTATTCTTCAATACTATTTCATATCTTAAGTCTTAACACAGCTAGGTTATGGACTTCTACTAAGGTTTATTCATCGGCTTTCAACTGTTTAGGCCTGATATTGGTCTCTAGTCATGGCCCAAAAAACTAAGAAATGTTGGTTGTAAACGGCATGTAGTTTGTAATGTAGAAAACGGCAGGTTGTGCTGATTCGAAACGGTGCGTATTGTCATGTCTGTTGTAACAATCACATTATTCCGGTTTATCATGAACCAAAAGTCTAAACCGTCATAGTTCGCTCCCTGAGCTCAGGCCATGGCGGTTCGTCTGGCGAGGTCATTGGCGGCGTCACCCTCGTCACGGCCTTCGTTTTCCTCCATAGGCAACCGAATTTCAGCGTCGGATATCGCTTCTCCTGCGATCAACGGCCGCGAGTTTTCCAATTTCGGTCGGGCTCTCGCCTTTTATTCGTCTTGGTGGTGGTCGTCTCCCGAGGATTTGACGGCGGGATCTAAGAGACGGGAGAAGAAGACGACAGACCGTTTCTCCGCCGTGATTGACGCAGTCCATGACCGGAAACTCCCGCCGGAGCTACGTGGGCGCCGCGATTTCGTAAGGTATATGTAATCCTCTACAAGCTATAAGCTAATTAAGAGTCTCTTTTGATTGATACTTGTTTCCAATTCTGTTCTCATCTTCTTATATGTGTATGGACTTTGGAATCGATTCATAGGTTTTGGTGAGAGTTTATTGTCTTTGCTGATTAATCAAAATACCAATTGGGATGATTATACAGGTCAGAGACTGACATAACCAACGTGGTTGAGCAGAGGATATGGCATTCAATGGAAGAAGGCCATTTTGAGAACTTACCAGGTAAAGGCAAACCCTTGAACCTCCACACAAATCCTCACGCAGATCCAGCGGAAGATACATTGTATCGGATTCTTAACAAGAACGGTTTTGCTCCTGAATGGGTGGAGCTCAACAAAGACATAAGAAGCAAAGCACAAGAGTGGAGAGTCTCACTGAAGAAAGCCTGGACTATGAAACTCGAGCAAGACCAATCGGGTTGGGAAGAGAGATCGGATTTGCTGAAAACACAATTGAAACAAATCAACAACATGGTCAGTCATCAACTACAAATCAAGATCCTGTTGTGATGTATATTTATGTAATGTTTTGCTTATGTGCTTCTCTTGTTTCTTGTGTAGGTTTTTAGGTACAACCTGATCGTTCCTTTTGGTCGTCAAATGATTGGATTGAAGTGGGAGAAAGAGATTGATCGCTTGAAAGAATAACATCTGCAGATACCAAAAGGTTGGTCACACGTCTATGAAACTACTCTGTTCTTGAGTTTGTAACATATATAGTATACGACTATACGAGTCAATGTGGCTCGTGGTGCATAGGTAAAAGAAGAATAAGAAACTAGGTGCTTAAGTTGTATTCAGACTGTCATGTGTGTTGTATCTCTACATTTTCTTAAGAAGAAACATTAGAAGAAGAACAAATTATTGGTTAGGAAGAAGTCTTTTACTCTTTTAGTGGTTTAGATAATGTTCTTTAATCTGAATTATTTTCCACTAAATGAGTATGCAAATGCAAGTCAACGAATCGAGTAACGTGAATTTGAGAATCTTTTTAGCTTAAAATAATAATCGAATCTTCGATGATTTTTATGTATTGTATAAAAGGAACAAAAAAGACAGAGCGACAAATCATGCACTAACACATGGTTCATGTCCAACCACATGTTTCTCAGAGGACTTAAGCAAACACAACACAACGCACAATCTCCATCTCACAATTCATTTCTCTCTCTCATCTTCTGTGTGAGAGAAAAGACTCAATGGTCTCCAATTGCTTTAGCCTTGGCCTCCATCTCCATCCTCATCCCCACAAACACAATCGTATTTCACTTTCTTCCTCAAGATTCCACACAAAAGCTAAACTCGATCACCATGTCTCATTCACAGCCTCAAGCCACAAGAGTTTCTACTCTTCTTCCGGGTCTTCTTCTGATCCACTACTTAAAAGTCTCAAACACTGTGCATGGAGCCGGTCCGGTGACAACTTCGGTTTGAGCCGATCCGGTGTCATCCGCCCAAGATTATCGACTATGACCGGCTCAGAGTTCGATGACTCCGAGTACGACGAATCCCAATTCGACCCGACCCTCACGAATGACGACTTGAAACCGACGAAACCAAGCCAAAGAACGTTTTCTTGGCTGGATATGTCAAGCTTATGGATCGGTCTAGTGGTTGGTGTGCCTACTTACTACCTCGCCGGCAGCTTAGTTGATTTAGGCATGGCTTGGTGGCAAGGAATAGCCACGGTGGTTGCTGCCAACCTAATCTTGCTTGTGCCTCTGGTCCTCACCGCTCAGCCTGGTACGATGTACGGAATCTCTTTCCCTGTATTGGCTAGATCATCATTCGGCATCCGTGGAGCTCATATCCCGACTCTACTCAGAGCATTGGTCGGTTGTGGATGGTATGGTATCGAGACATGGATAGGAGGAGAAGCCATCTTCTTGCTCTTACCGAATCACGTTAAGACCTCTGCTTTGTCTCATACACTACCTTGGTTAGGTACTTCTCCTCTTGAGTTCTCCTGTTTCATCGTCTTCTGGTTGGCTCAGCTTTGTATTGTGTGGAGAGGAATGGATGGAATTAGAAAGCTTGAGAAGTACTCAGCTCCGGTTCTGATTACTCTCACTTCATGTCTCCTTGTCTGGTCATATATCAAAGCCGGTGGATTCGGTCACATGCTTTCCTTGTCATCCAAGCTAACCTCTGCTCAGTTCTGGTCTCTCTTCTTCCCTTCGCTAACCGCAAACATAAGCTTTTGGGCTACTCTAGCTTTGAACATTCCCGATTTCTCCCGGTTTGCGAAATCTCAAACCGATCAAGTCATCGGTCAAGTTGGTCTTCCGGTTTTCATGGGTATGTTCACGTTTGTTGGTTTAGCTGTAACGTCCTCCACAAGTATCATCTTCGGAAGAGTTATCTCCAATCCGATTGAGCTTCTTGGTCAAATCGGAGGTCTTGCCACAACTCTACTCGCTATCCTCGGAATCTCACTCGCCACAATCACCACAAACATAGCCGCAAACGTGGTCGCACCAGCAAACGCGCTTGTGAATCTGAACCCTAAGGTGTTCACATTTGGAAGAGGAGCGTTATTGACCGCGGTTCTTGGAATCGTGTGTCAGCCGTGGAGATTGCTCAAATCGAGTGAGAGCTTTGTGTACACGTGGCTCATCGGTTACTCGGCGCTTCTTGGTCCGATCGGCGGCATAGTTCTCGTTGATTATTACATGATCAAGAAGATGAGACTGAACATTGGAGATTTGTACTCTTTGAGTCCTTCCGGGGAATATTATTTTTCCAAGGGATATAATGTCGCTGCCGTCGTGGCTTTGATCGCCGGAATCATACCTGTTGTGCCTGGGTTTCTACACAAGATCGGCGCTTTGTCGAAGATCTCAAATGGGTTTGTAGTTGTTTACGACAACGCTTTGTTTTTCAGCTTCATCATCGCGGGATTTGTGTATTGGATCACCATGTCTTATCTGAGAAGGAAACAGAGCTCTCTGTCTTCTTCTTCACAGCCGCTTCTGTAAATCCTTGACATTCAATTGGTTGTCTTCTTTTTTGTTATCTGTAAATCTTTATCATTATTTTTTCTTCATTACGATTTTAAAACAAAATTTTAAAAATCAATAATTACACATGACTTACTTTGTTTATTGTTAGTTAATGTTATCTTTTTTTGTTTTTTCTCAATAATTCCTAGATCAAAAAGAAAATCAAAAGATATTCACTAAAATTGATTTCTATCTTATCTAGGAATCCAAAAAAAAAAATTCCTAATTTTTCTTGGAATTGCATAAGTTTGGATTTCTTTTGCTGCCCTATATAAAAGAGAGGGAGTTAGTTATTGGCATCATGAAGCAAAATACAAACAAACTTTGTTCTATGAATTTCTTGGAGCGCTTTAACTGTCAAGTCATGGGGAACAAACTTTGGTTGGCGAGACAAAGAAAGATAAGAATCAATGGCTTCATTATTGATGCTTCGCAGATGACGTTAGCAAACTGGATTTTTCAGCATTATCCAGAAACTGCAACGAATGTTAAACTGCAAAACCATGAGCTTAGGACAACATACATGCACCTTCTCTTCGGCATCATCGAGACGCTTTATCACACGCCGCTGCGTACTCTCTCCGAGGATGAGTTGAGCAAAGCTACTAAGGATGTGGCTGATCTGACACAAGCCGGTTTTAAGCTGGAGTGGTTGGAGTCAAAGCTTGCCAAGATTTCCTTGGAGAAGAAGACTTCTGAAGACCGGGTTGTGGAACTCAAGGAAGAGGTCAAGAAGCTTGTGCAGACCGTGTCTGATCTCAATCGTGAGAGGAAAAAGGAAAAGGCCAAGCTGAAGAAGAAACCATGCTGGATTGAAATTAAGCTAAAAGATTAGGGTCAGCAAGTTTTTAATATTTTGGTTTTTACTTTTTTTTTTTTTTGTTTTTTTTTAAATGTGAAAGACCACTAATTTTTTAAAATAATTAAAATTTCGGTTAGGGTATCTTTAAATTATTAAATCTGCGAAGTTAAAGATGACTTAGTAGTAGTACGTTTTCGTGTTTTGATTTTCAAGCAATAATACCACATAGAGAATTTTTCAATTTTCATAGCTTATCTTTGTTTACCAGTTTTAGTTGGCTATGAATTGGACTATCAATGGGCCGATGGAAAGAATTGTTCGAAGAAACATAGAAAAAAAGGATATAGAGGTGGTGTTTGATTTTAGATGTAAAAACCGAATATTCTTTTATTCCTCACACAGATAGGAAAGTAGGAAACACACACCTCAATGGTGAATCACACGAGATTACAACACCACACACACAAACATAGCGAGATTAAAGACGTTAAACCAAACCACACCGGAATCAAACTAAACAAAGAACATAGGCAACGAAAGGGAGAGAAAGAGTGAGATAGTAAAATATAATAATCTGCTGATTCCGAGGGGAACCGAAGCTTGCCAAAGGATCGAAGTTGCCCTAACGAGGGATAACAAAAGACACAGCTTGCTTGCCTTCATCAACCTTCATGCAATCTTCATCGCTCCATTCACACACAGTCCTCATCATCATCACCATCATCATAATGATAATGGCAATGAATGATGATGACCATCATTCACACAACACACACATAAACAAGATTCATTTTCATAATCTCCAAGAGAACTTCTTCTTACCTTATGTGAGTACTCTTGTGTTTTTGGCCATCCCCTAATCAAAGAGAAGTTGAACCTCACAATACCCTGTATGGTGAGATCTTCTGATGGATCCAGAGGGTTCTTCATCTTCAGTTTCTTCAGGGGATGGCCATTTTTTTTTTGTATGGTGTTGTGCCAAAGGGAGTTTCAACAATGGATGCTGTTATGTTTTTATGGCTTCTCTCTTTGTCTTTGGTCTTGGAGACACATTGAAAGAGAGGTTGAAAACACCGATTACATAAGCCATATAGTGTTCTTTCCACTTTTTCTTTAAAATACTATTTTTTGTAATAATTAATCAGTTCAGTGTAACCACTGTATCTCGTGTCTGTTGATAATAGATTGTTTTTTGTTTTTTCTAGACCGTATCTGAAAGTGAATACAAATATAACATTTAGCTATATATACACAAACATTATAACTAACTATACCTATTTATGAAAAATGCATTTGTATGTAAAGCTGTATATGAGCTCAAAGCCTATAGTAGGGTTCAATAAGTTTTTTTGAAGTGATTTATTGAAATAAAAGAAAAATGTATGGATCACTGGTGTAAAGGGGAATAAAAGTAAGAATTGTCATTGGTGTAAAGATGACATCGAAAGAAATCAAAATATTATTTATAATATAATTTTGGGAAAAAAGTGGAAGGAGATGATGGAAATGGGGAAGTCCATGTAAAGATGTTTGGAGAATTTGGATCTTCCAAAAGGAATATGCTATTACCAAACTTAACAAAAAAAAAGATATGCCATTACCAAACATGTGTTTTTAAACTACAAAACCCCCTCACCATTCATTAATTTACTAATAAAATCTCTCTTTTTTTTATGTTTAAGTATGCATGTCGATCGAGCTCTATTGTCTTTTCTGATTCAATTACCAATTTGTGGTCAGTTTCTTATTGTTACAATATATTTCCGTTTTGTTTGCATCGATTTGTTTTTAACTTTTAGTTATTTTTTGTGGTCATTAAAGTTCGTACTAGTTATCAGTCGCCTTTTGGGACATTTGAAAGGTTTTTACTGCTTACCGCCAACCTTTTCCTTCTATACTTTTCAAAATATATAAAACCAGACGCAGACACGATTAATTGGGCGCTTAGCTGATTAATTAAAAATGTAGTTGATTGATTGAGCACCTAACCGATCAATAAGATGCTTAGTTGATTAGTTGTGTTCTCTACCGATTAAATGATTATTATATGTATATAGATGGCTCTTTGCTAACTAAATTTTGATCGATTATCTCGCCTAAATCGATTTTTCTGAATTTCAAAACTTCCTCTCTCAGTTTTCCTTTTATCGATTTTAACTTTTATACAAATCCTGAAATCCGTACGAATAGTAACAAAAGTGATGTATCCACTGACAACTGTGATTAGACATATTACGCCATGATTATATCAAAACGCGAACGCAAACAAAAAGAAACAGCTCAAGTTTCCAAGTAATTTACACGCTCATGAGTTACTAAAACAAAAAATACACAAGCAAAAAATACAAAAGAACAAAAAGTGGACACTCCATATACAATGGCGGCAACGAAACAAAGAACAACGAGTTTGATAGAAATTTACCCTTACACAATTAGTTTTCACTGTCTCTTTTTTACCGTCGTGGTTCACTCATAGACTTTCCTTCAAACAACTCACCCAACAATCTCTCAAGATCTTCAGCTGTATACTTAATGTATTTCTGCGGATTCTTCCCACTCTCAACCAAAGGCCTACACCACAGATCATCGATTTAGATGTTTCACATTTTAATCAAATTTGTTTAAAAAGATTTTGCAGGTAAGAGAGAGGGAAATGGAGATTTTACCCAAAGCGTTTGAGGAATGATCTGTAAGCAGGCAATAATACTTCAGCAACAGCAAGTCTAAGCGACTCTCTTAGCTCTGTGTCTGGAACTGTCCATTGAGATTGCCTCTGATGTAACTCATCAAACTGCATATTGAACATCTTGAACCTGTTCCATTTTCGTATATTCATTCGTCATTACCAACAATATAGACATAAATATTTCACAATTACTCTGTTTAAACCATACTTACCTCTCTTTTAATAATCCTCTTGAAACTCCGCTGCTGTTTCCTCCCTCTACACTTCCTCCTCCAGATGAGGTCAACCCTTGCGCCGACGAGCTTTGTAATATCTACACATCAACATATTTCAGTTTCGCTCATCCCTTAGTAACCACTCAATGAAGATTTTGTATGTTAACACTTTTTATTGTAATAGAGTTAGGGAAAGAGAAAGAACCTTTGTCCAAGCAATCCTTTTGTATTGGTTTGCATGTTGCTGAACGGTACGCCTATGCCTTTGCACCCAATCATCTCCTAACAAGTCCTTAGCTTCTGACCTGGAATGTTATCAGGTCAAACACTTGTTTTCTTATAATAAACCATGATCAGTCTTTTAAGGAGAAACTAAGTTTACCTGCGCACAGATCTAACCATGTAATGAATGTTGTTCATCAGGAACAAGTGCGTCAATGCAGGGTCTTTGTACTGTTTCGATTTCCCATCCAAGTTGTTCTGAAGCGCTTGCATTATCCGCATTGTTACGGATGCTAGCTGCGAGTTTGAGTCGTCTCCATTTCCAAACTCCATGAAGAGTTGCTTCAATGTCGATTGGTAGCTGATACTTAAGATCATCAATTTCAAACAGAAAGTAGAATGAAGAAGACGAGAAAAAAAAAAAAAAAAAAAAAAAAAAAAAAAAGAAGACGAAAGAAATTCAAGGAATTAAAGTAGCCCTAGTCCTAAACGAAATCGACATATATGCTGCACTTACTCGAATAAGAACTTAACATAGTTGATGACGTAGCTTGTTAGTGGATGGACAGTCCCATCTAGAACAGCAGTCTTTGTAGCATCTTTCTCAACAGCTTCTTCGAAATCACCAAATGTCTCCTGAGCAGTCTGCGCCAACCGCTTTGTCAAGCCCGTAGCAGAATCTCTGATTTCAAGGCATGCTTTACCTTTGAAAATTGTCTCAATCTGTCCATGGATACAAATTTCATGAGATTGTAGCACCATATACATTAATCATATCCACCTTTTTATAGTGTAACACAAAAAAAAATTGGGAATCAATTAAATCACACATAAATTATATAGTCTTGTATCAAAGTTCAGAACCCAGAAAACTGTACAGCCTAAACATCAGAAAAATTCTCCAAAATCTGAAATTTCATGATTTTTTTTTCTATTTAACCAAAGCCTCTTCATATATGTATGGCGACTGAATGATATTAGAGCAGAAGTGATAGAAACATTACCTCTGAATGAATTTCTCGCATTATCTCGTACATGTCTAAGAGTACAAACAACTTTTCTGGAGATCTCTTGCTCCTGGCTATAGCATCCCCAAAGCTAAGTAGCATTGAGACACTGCTCACCGTTACTTCTGCAAAACACTGATCACTCAGAGAATCGAAGCCTCGAAATATCTGGTCACATACTTGCCTTTCTCCAGCAAAGAGTAATTTAACCTGTTCAAAGAATATCTCGAGTTAGGAATCAGAATAACATGTTAGAGAATTTCAAAACCTTATACAGTGTTCTTACAGCAATGCGCATGAAATGGATCCAGTTTCCAATTTTGGCCTCCAAAACTTCCCACTGCATCCTCTGAACATCCTCTTTGCTAAGTTTTTCCACACCCAATTTCTTTAGGCTTTCTTCCAAGACAACAGAACGTGTTTCTCTGAACAAAACACAAAAGATTGAACAGAGGGAGATTAAACTCACAACTTGCAGAAACCTTCCAAAAATCTAGCTTTTTGTAAATGAGTGGTGAGCAGTTTATCTAAACCAATTGAATAGCCATATTCGTTTCAAAGCAACTATAGCTTAACACAGTACTTTGACTCATGCGACAGTTATTTAGTTAAATCTTTTAATCCAAGAGCATTTAACAATGAATTATACGACATAAGGGATGAGCGACCAAGTATAAAAAGCCCACCTATAAATTTGTAGCAACTGCTGTTGGTGACCAGCCTGAACCATTTGCTGCGCCAAATCATGCAAAAGTGGCAACACCTTTGACGGAATGAGGATTGGAAGTGTATAAGAAGCAGTTTCCAAGTCATCGTTGTGGTGTCCTCCGTGTGGCATTGAAGACTTTCCATCACCGTCTGAGGATGGTCTCAGTGAGTTCGGAAGGCCATCAAAAAGGCGATCAGGCTCTACAGCTTTACTGATTATAACAAAGACAAACAAAACAAAGGGGAATGAGGACAAGATGAATCACAACTGGCGTCCAAATTATGGAATGCAAGAGCATAAATACATATATGCAAACACTCGAGAATATGTTCTAGAAATTCTTATAGGTACGGAATACAAACCTGTAAGAAGCTAACAATTGCTTAAACTCGTCTTCCAGCTTTGACTGTGCTTTAGCAAGCAAACTATTTGCATGGTTGAGGACTCCATCACTACTCTTGAAGCTTTTGTTGCTGCTAAAGTAACGAATAATTTTCCTGAGTTGAGCGATTGCATCCAGATAACTTTCCAGGTCCTCATGTGGCCCCTTGAGTACTTTAGTCTCTGCCTAGAAATGAATTGAGAGCATAATCAAAAACCGGTTTCGAGTCACAGAAAATAGAAACTCAGAAATAGCAAAAGCTAAACCATAACCAAAGACGCATATTCATAATCTAGATCACTAAATTTGAGTATGCATTTTCTTTAACGTATGAGAGGCTTGAAGCCAAATTGGGTTTCTAAGAATTTAAAACCCAAAGAGCTAAACACAAATCCAAGCTCTGCTCGAGATATATCTATTTGTTTCGATCAATCATATAATGAATGAATGAATGAAATCTCAATACGAATGGGAAGAAGTACATAAAATCAGAACTGAGAAGTAAGATTTCTAAAGCAAACCTGACGGAGGAGATCGAATTGAGATAAAATAAGCTCAGCAGCCTTTAGAGTCTTATCGATATTCTCGTGAGCTTTCCTTATTGCGTGCGTCCTAATCTGAGATTCCAACACAGTCAACCCAAAATCCGATCAAGTCAGCAAAATTTTCAGAGACGATTATCGCCAGATCTTGATTAGAAACTCGATTGGAGCTCGAAATACGGCCAGTAAACAGACCTGAGTGGGACGCATGGCGGTTTCGAGAGCAGAAAGACGACTATCGAATGAGCCGAGGATTGAGACAACATTATCGGTGATGGTTTGACTCTTCTGAAGAGATTGTCTCATCAACACAGCTCTTTCGCTGAGCAGATCCATTCCGCTATCTACAGCCATGGCGAATCCAAAACCGAAACTACTTTTCTTCTCGAATAGCCTTCGGGAATCGAAGTTGAAGAGAAAGAGAGACGACGAAAAGACGACTCGGTTTGGTGGTGACGGAGCCGGTACAAGCCAGCTAATCGTTATTTTCTCTTTTAAACCAGTAAAGCAATATTTTGAATTCTTTAAAAGTATTGACCCTTGTTGTAAATATTTACCATATTTAAACGAAGAAAAGAAATAACTAAAACTTCAACCAAATTTGACATGCGTGCACGCTACGCGCGTTCGTAAAGCATAGGGCTGGTTGTTTGACGGATGGACATCTAATAAAGGAAATCTGGCCCGCAAAGTAAAAGGAGATGGCCCAAAAACGAAACAGCCCATTAAACATGGCTAATTTGTCGCAGAAATTAAAGCGCTCAACATCAAATTAATTTCATTCTTACCATATAGTATGTCTAAAGACATGGTATCAAAATTGTAACATACGAAACAGACAAACATATAAACAGGAACTGAACAAAAATATTTAGACTTTTTTTCTTTCTTTGAACCAAACAAAACATTAGACAAAGGTGTAGAATGAGTGACTTTACTCAACTTGGCACTTTGGTGGGTCATTTTCGACAAACCAATGCTATCCTCCAATAAATTGAAATAACACCAAACACATACGCATTTATATCTCAGTTTATTTATAGAGATGAGGAACCGAGGAAATATCTATATATCTTGATACTCAAGAATGGTACAAATATATATATATTTATAAAGATAGAAAAGGAGAAGTGATGGGAAATTAAGATGCACATGTATATTTTAGTCTTTGACAGGTCAAACTTTGGGATACTTATAAATAGATCAAGCTAAACTCGTTGGTGATAGAATTTGATTTGACTGATTAGAGAAATGAAATTTATACGTAGGGAACATGAAAAAAAAATAATGATATATACTTTAATTCTATAGTTTGAACAACAAAAGAAAAGCTTTAATTCGAAAGAAAATAAGAGAAAAAAAGTTAGACGAGCAAAGGGAGATGATGTTCCTAAGACACCTTTTCCCTTGAATGGCTTTACCGTCACTCATTCTGTTCGTAAAACTTTGGATACAACTCACATTATTTCCGGTATTTATACAGAAAATTAGCTCATCGTAATTCTAATTTTCTTGAAAGTTGCTGTTCCTTGTTTAGAACAACAATTGGTCTACTGAATAAGTATTATTTTAGAGAACAAATGCCGCCATGATCGGAGCGTGTAATACACAGACTTTGGCATCGCGCGTGAAGATTGCTCCGGCCGTAGGGGTTTTGCAAGGGTTCAGCTGACAGCAGACGAAGGCCCTCTTTGGTTCCCACAATCCATTTTACCATCACTGATGGGTGGTGATGGCTGACTCTAGAAAAATATAAAGTAATTCAATTTGGTAAAATAATTATTTGTACAATAACATTTTTGACTTTAAAAGTAAACGTGAAATGATGCCCTAGAGAAAAAGTGCTTGCGAAATGATTCGTTCCATTGGTTACTAAATTTTAATCATTGTACTAAAATACTTCGTTTTCGGTTACGGAGAAATGCAATACAGTGAAAAACGATTACAAAATACAGCGTAATTAGCTCTAATTTTAATTTTAAACATGATGCACTACAAGACAACAAAAACAAAACTAACCATTAAATTTGAATACGCTTTTCTAATCGCCTTTTAGCTGCCGCTTTTGCAACAGCAATCGTAGCCGCGATTCCGAAACGCTACTACGCAGTACGCACACGTGGACAGTAGAAGAAGAAGCTTGAAGAAAACTTGAACCAAACAGAGACGTTTCAAAAAAAGTGTCGGGAGAGGAAGCAAAGAACAAACGTTACTGTCAGGCTTGTCTTCTTTCAAAGTCTCTCTCTTTCAGATACCCGTTCAGTTCTCCTTTCATTCTCCGTAAAGAATCAAATCTCCAATTTCTTCGTCACATTTCTTTTCTTATTATATTTTGAAATTCCTTACACGAGGCAATTAAAAAAAAAATCTCCTTTTCCCCGTCGATTGCTACTTATAAAAATTGAGAAAGAAGAGTGCGTATACATGTAATTATCAACGAGAAGAAAGAATCATCATCATTATTCATTATCGTCGCAGACAGCTAAATAGATTCGTAATATTTAAAAAAAACAGCTTTTTGGTTATTGAGTAAGTAGGCATTGATTTGATCTCTCGTGGGTTTCTTCATCTTCCTCCTCTGTTCCTCCAGGGTTTTTCTTCCGTCTTTCTAGAATTACAGATCGAAAAACAATTGAGGGTATTTGAGTTGGAGATCAAGTAAATCCTAGGTTTGTGTTTTTGATTTCTTTTTATAGAAAAATGGGATCTTCTTCTGGGCAAAGTGGGTACAATCTGTCGTTTAAGATCTTGTTGATTGGAGACTCTGGTGTTGGTAAAAGCAGCTTGCTTGTGAGCTTCATTTCCAGCTCCGTTGAAGATCTTTCTCCTACTATCGGTACTCGTTTCTTCAATTTGTTTTTTTCTTTCATTTCCGAGAAAAAAAAAATCTTAGTTTTAATGTGTTTTTGATCAACAGTAGTTTCTATTTCTGGAAGAGCTTGAATTTGATGATCATCTGTCTGATTTGTGTTGGAAATCCTCTGTTTAATGGTCAAATATTTTTGATCGTGTTCTCTCTGTTTTTAGTAAGACCAAGTTAGATACTTTCTGTCTCAAGAATAATTTGTCCACTAATCTAGAAACCTGGTCTTGGTTTGGTTTAAGAACATCTGTTTTTGTCGGATTCTACTTGGATAACATTATTGATTAAACTTAAATATTACTCATAGGTGTTGATTTCAAGATCAAGCAATTGACAGTAGGAGGCAAAAGATTGAAACTCACAATCTGGGACACAGGTGATCATTCTACTCTTGAGATTTTAGAAGTTTTATGTTCTAAACAAAAACTAATGGTTCTTTGATATTCTCATTTCACTCGTTGTAGCTGGACAGGAACGGTTTAGAACACTGACAAGCTCTTACTACAGAGGCGCACAAGGAATCATTCTCGGTAATGTCCATCATCATTCATCAATCAACGACAATATACTGTTTGTCTGATATCTTGTCTGATGTCTCTGTCTGTAAACTGTTTCTTGGTGAGTGCAGTTTATGATGTGACGAGAAGGGAGACATTTACAAACTTAGTAGATGTGTGGGGTAAGGAGATTGAGCTTTACTCCACGAACCAAGAATGTGTTAGGATGCTCGTTGGGAACAAAGTCGATAGAGTGAGTCTGCAATCAAAATTACACTTTTTCTTCTTCTTCTCGATCATCGATAGTTTTTGTGTTGATGAACAAATATGATTACAGGAATCTGAGAGAGGAGTAAGCAGAGAAGAAGGGATTGCTCTAGCGAAAGAACTCAAGTGCATGTTTCTTGAGTGTAGTGCTAGGACTCGACAAAACGTGGAGCACTGTTTCGAAGAGCTGGCTCTGAAGGTAACAATCTTAATTCGTAGAAACATAACCGGTCCGATTATAGGGATTTGTTTGTATGTGACAGAGAATGATTGTGATGAAACAGATAATGGAGGTACCTAGTCTTTTGGAAGAAGGATCAAGTGCTGTCAAGAGAAACATCTTGAAGCAGAGACCAGAACATCAGACTAATTCTCAAGCAGGATGTTGCAGCTCCTGAGACTGAGTTTATTTTTCATACAGAAAACTAAAAAGAAAAAAACGAATCGTTCGTTTGCGTATTGTGCAATGATCTCAGTATGATTCTTCTCTCTGAAGTTGCTTCTTTTGTGTGTAATATAATGCCAGCTTCTCTGTAAATGTGTGTATTCCTTGGGTTGAGCTTTTGCTTCTGAATTGAGATTTGTAATAACATCATAGTAGAATAAAAAACATACGTATTTATTTTGGCTCAAACTTTGGATTAGATAAGAGAACACCACTGAAAGTGAAGAAGATGATAATATTGAATTGAACTGTACAGTCAAGAGTTATACACACTACAAGAGTTTTTGATTTCAATAAATGCAGAGTCTTTAACATAGTCTTTCAAACATCATTGTACCGAATCATGGAGATAGCAAATTAGACATAAGATCACACAACCATCAATGAGAGATTTCCTACTCGTTCGAAGTAACCAAACATAAGAACGATCTCTGATTTGAGACGCAAGAGATGGAAAAGATGGCAAGTGAGTAAACACCAGTGCAGGCGAAAAAGAGCGATCATGATCATCCTCCTAGACGTAACTACAGCAAGCAGACTTCTCGGTTGTGGAAGAAGATGAAGCAGTATCTTGTCTAGTGATCTTGATGCCTTGGGGCTGCAAAGCAACAAGAACAGTTTTTGTACTCAGCTACAGTGTCAGTAAAATAAAATGAAGAGTGAGTATTACATCGTAGTAGATTCCTGAAAGTTCTTACCTCTGCCTTGGTATCGGTTTCTGTCAATCTTTGTTTTATGTCTTTGGCGATAGACAGGAAAACGGACTCGACATTGAGGTTTGTTTTTGCACTCTACAACAAACAAATTGTCATCACACATCAGTAATTACTTCAAGAACACAAAGGGCACAGGCATGTTATATTAATATCTAGCTCACCGTTTCAAAGAATTTAATTCCATATTCATCAGCCAAAGCTTGGCCCTTTGCTGTTGGGACAGCCTGAAGAAGAAGAAGAAGGTCACACATCAGTATAGTATACTGCAAACTATCAAGTCATGAAAGTAAGTATGCAACTGAGAATATTACTTACTCTTTTGCTTTCATCCATGTCAGCTTTGTTACCAACCAATATTTTGTTGACATTATCTGATGCATGCTGCTCTATGTTCTTCATCCAGTTCCTTATGTCTGTTATAAACAACCACACTCAGTTGCCGATTTTCATTGCAACAGTGACTTGATAAGATAAACTAGTAACAAGAAACACAGAAAAGGCAGAGACATACTGTTGAAGGAGGACTCATCCGTTACATCGTAGACAAGAAGTATACCCATAGCTCCCCTGTAATACGCTGCATGAAGAAAATGGACCAAAATGATTTTAGAGAAAGTGCAGAAACATATGATTTGTCTTTATACTTCTCAAAGTATGGAAACACAAGTAATCATCAGGATAAGATTCATGAATCAACCGATGCACCAACGCTAAATCCTGAAGCAACAACAAAAAAAAAAACTCTTTTTACCTGTAGTTATAGTTCTAAAGCGTTCTTGACCAGCTGTGTCCCATATCTGCAATTTGATACGCTTCCCATCAAGTTCAACAGTTCTTATCTTGAAGTCAATTCTGGAAAAGAAAATAACAAGTTGAAGAACACAAACTTAGACCCACAAAAATTAAAAATTTAGGCAAACTAAAGAAGAGAGCAATTGCAGGAAGACAAACCCAATGGTAGTAATGAAACTTGTAGTGAAAGTATCATCGGAGAAACGCAGTAACAAGCAACTCTTCCCCACACCTGAACATATATATACACATAAAGCGATGAACTCTGCAACTAATTTTGTCAACGAATTCCAGTAAAAAATTTCTCTTTTTTCATTTACACAAGATTTTACTCTAGTAGTGAGGTATTAGCGCAAGCAAATCAAAATCATAAGCCCTAATTAAGATCGCAAAACAGACACGAAATGTTTTCAGCGGATAAGAAATCCAACACTTTTGAGATTTTCAAATTGATAATTTATCAGGTGAGAAGAGCATATAGATGGATTAAAGAAGCCTACCGCTATCGCCGATGAGAAGAAGCTTGATGAGGTAATCATAGTCCGTACGAGCTCTTGCCGGCGCAACTGCCATCGGAGATGATTTTCAAAAAAGCTCACTTATTTATTGTCCCTTTGCTTCTCAGCAAAAAGCTAAACTGAACTCTCTGCTTTTTTTCCCGGAAAATCTCCTGATTTTTGTTTTCTGACGGAGATTGAATTTTTTTCTGGAGACAGCAAAAAGGGATAGCTGATGAAATATTCCAATGTCGCTGAAGAAAAGAAGTTGATAGCTCCTGAAAAATCATTTTGGTGGATAGTATTTTATTTTCTTTATAGTTTTAGACCACGAAACTATTGATATTTTCAGTTTAGCCCCGTAATAGTAAATAAATCGATGAAGAGCACTAAGTTTTAAAGTTGCCAGTGTTCTAATGTCTAGAAGTGAAACACAAATTTGCTAATATTAAGAACCAAATTGTTTAATTGGGACAATCTAAATAGCTAGACTTAGAATGAAGAGAGTGAAAACAATTGGGGTGATCGTGTGATATTTAAGAAAGTTCGGGGATCAGTTAACGGGAAGGAAAAAACGACAGGTTTGCTATGATCACGTGTGGACGCTCTACTGTAAACCAGCAGAATAATGGAGCTTTTTGGTGAGCTGTCAAGCAGTTAGTGGGTGAAGACGGTTGCTTTGCTGTTTGTAAGTCGTACTCTAGCGTAATCCAGCAAAGTATCCAATCATGCCAGAGGCTCTGTTACATGTGGCATGGCTCCAGACAAAGTCAAATACATATTCATCCACATATATTCTTTTTCTTAATCACATGTTTATAAATTTTATCAAGAAAGTCACCATTTCTTTATAATCTTTGTTATTAATCTACTATCTATATACATACAAAACCTTACGAATTCAAACATTGAATCTGTCACGCCTCTTTTTGCGTAGATGATATAAGATTTTAATTATGTTCAAGATAAGATATTAAGATGTCGACGATAGATTAAGAGGGAAACACTATGATTTATTTTATCCCAAACTAATAAGCAATGACTGATCCTTGTAGATCGATAGTTTGTGTCGAATAAAAATGCGAAAAGGACAGCCACTACATAAATTAAACAGAAGTCTCTCACCGACGTTTTCTGGAAAATTACTAAACGTAGTGATGTTACTTCAAAAAGATAAAACAGTTTTAGGGTACTAATTATCTGGTTTTTAGTTTACATTATGAGTGTTTTCAGCACGATTATGCATGGTTTTATTTCCAATCAAAAAATTCAGTGGAGAAAATGAAGAAGAAATCCTTAAACGACAATGTAACTTTATATATCAATCTTTTTCAGACATCCTTTATTCGTTTCCAAATGTTAGGAATATTCACCAGTTCTGTTATTAATAAGTTGCACTTTCTCTCCATGTCATGTTCATATTACCAAAAGAGTAATGTAGATGAGTCACACGACTATCTAAAGACATAATATGATCGATATAGTCATATAGAGAGATACCAATGCTGTTATACCAGAAATGTTATATGTAGCGTAGTATTATCCTAGTATTATCCTAATACTACGGTAGACTAAAAAAAATCAAATCAAATCTATAGTTTATAGTTAAGTTAACACTGAAACTTGATCATAATTTTGGTCTAGCTAGTGATCGAAGATTTTAGTTGTTTTTTTTTTTTTTTAGGGATCAAGTCACATCTACTGTACTTCTACGTTGGAAACTCTAATGAACGAGTTTTTTAGATTTTGAATTAACTTCAACTTGTATTTTTAATCTTATCAGATACAATATATTTTGTAAGCTTACTTTAGATTTCGCCTCCTGAATTTTTTTCTAAATATATAAACAGTTATAATAAAGAAATCTGAAGACAACGAACAACCCCAAATGGAAGTGAAGTGTATCGAAAGGGGTTAGTGGCGGCTAACAAACGAAGTGACTTTATGTGAAAGTCATCGTCACATGCTTCTTCCGCTCTCCAAGGAACCTCCTCAGCATCTTTTATCATTCTCCCAAAGTTAAGTATTACATTTTTATATATATTAAAAAGTGTGTATGTATTGATGATTATTCGAAACGTGGTAACTTGCGGAGCAATGGATAGCTTAAGAAAATGAAATAATTTGGAGTTAATTCAATCAATGTCAAATTACAAGAATCAATAGATAACAGTATGAGGGTTAATGATTAACATATCAACGTAAAAAAAAGTAATTACAAGAACTACTTGATTAGTGATGACAATCAATCAAAGAATTGGACGCTGCTGCGAATAGAAGAATTTGGTCTTTGGACGCAAACGCGAATTTCGGTTCATCGTCTGGAGCTGGAAGATTGAGATCTAATTCCAAGAAGTTCTTTGGCCGTATCGTTTCTTGATGATAATTTGGTGATGTCGTTGATTTGATTGTTGAAGTAGCGTTTGCGTTTACAGTTAAACCTCTATGTCTCCTCATATGACCTCCTAAGGCTTGTCCTGAAGAAAACTCGGCCTTGCAGATCGAACATTCATGTGTTTTCCCCGGTTTCTTGCTACCATCACTGCTAGTTACTTGCAGAGAAAGAAAGCTTCCTACAACTCCACCTTCCACCGATTCAACCGCAGACGCAGATTTCTTCTCGTCGCATTTGAAAACGCTTGACCCGAGCTTGGGCTTCTTGTGGCTAGCCCTGTGCCCTCCTAGCGCTTGAAACGAATGAAAGCTTTTATCACACGTTTTGCACTGATAAATTCCGTCTAGTTCTAACCCTAGAGAAGCCACTGGTTTCTTGTCATTCAAGAAACCCATTTTCTGCGTCGAGAAATGATCGATGCTACTCTTTGCTTTATGTCCTTGCGACAACATCATCAGACAATTCGCCATCTCTTCGTCTTCATCTGTTGCTCCTTGGAATTCGACTTCACCAGCTTCTTCTTCTTCTCTTGCCTCCAATAGCGATCGTTCACCGCTGCAAACGCCGGAGACTGCTTCTGCGTTCACAAGAGGAGACGCGGATCGCTGACGTTTGGTGCGTTTGCCCTTGATGAGGAGTACTAGACGCGTCTCCTCATAAACACTTCTCATGATCCTCCGCTTTTGATTGGCTCTGTGTTTCAAGAACACAAGAGATCGAGCAATATGTATTTATGGAGAGAAGTATCAAAGAGTGTTTGGTGGGTGTGGTTTATATGGGTGAGTATCTATCTATACATTTATATACATATATGTGCGATTGTATTTGTTTATACACTTGGTATTCTTGCTTATATATAGATATGTAAGTATATAAGGGTAAGAGAAAGGTTGAGAAAAGAAGCAAACCCCAAATAACTTTTGGTGAAGGATTCCTTTCTGGAAGTTTTGGTTTGCAAGCCTGGAACCACTTGTTTTGCTCTTCTTGTTTTTTTTTTTCCTTTCAATTATTTTAATTGTTATCTCTTTATTTGGTTAACTTTGTTTTGCTTGTCTTATGGATCAAATCAAATTTAATACTCATTCTGTAATTTGAGTGCCAGATTACTCCATGTCATTCTGTAATTTGAGTGCCAGATTTTTTAAATAAACTGCAATTTTTTACATTTGGCAAAATGTAGTGTGTTATATTAAGAAATAACTAAGATTGAGTTGCATTTTCATGTGTCATCCATTCTAATTATTAGTTTGTTTCTTTATACTCCGTGTTTAATGGTTTTATCTACAAGTACTAGATTCAACACGCAACACATAGTAAAAGTAGCACAACACACGATTCAATCCACGCATCGAAATAAATTACATTTAAGGCTTGATTCCAAATGTGATACATAAACCAGTAAAATGTGTACGATCCCACTTCTACTACGTTTGTTTCTTAATACTACTAATCATTGTAAGTACACTGAACTTAACTAGCTGAATAATTAATTAAGTTGATTACTTGGAAAGTTAAAGGCAATCGAATTTTGGGGTCGAGCAGTTCATGTGCAGTTGAGCCAACCCACAATTATCCAACACACAATTATGAATCATGATCATGGTTATAGTGTATAATTTTAATGATACTAGCTAACCATAACGAGTTAAATATATAAAATCACTCCCTATGTTTGCGCCTCTTTCTAAGATACTTTGGTCACCCAATTATTTGATCAAACCATTATTAATCTTGTGATTAGCTAATAATATGTATGTATTCGGTGAAGTAACATCCCTTGTCTTAGTTTCTTAATAATTGATATCTATAAATATATATATAGTTCCTCCTTAGTAATACCAATAACTCGGTGGCAGCAATCTATGAATTTGGCAAAAAAACATAACTTGATATAAATTCTACAAAAGTCAGAAAGTAGAGTTTCTTAGAGCTGGATTGATATCCAACTTTTACTCATTCAACTCTACATAATTAGTTGTCCTCGGCGCTATGATTATTTCATGATAACGTGTTACCAATATACTGTAGTTTATTAATATGAATATTTTTGAGTGTATTGTGAAGCTACTATCACAGTTTTAAAAGCATATATTATTGATGAAGAATAATAAAATCTAGGGAGGAATTGATTTAAGTCTTGGCGTCGAGGATTGTGTGTTTGTGTGAAAGAGAAAGAGAGAGAGAGAATTGCTTGGCCGCCAAAAGAAGCCATTACTTGCCAACTAGCTAGCTTCACTACTTCACCTTAAGCAAAGCATATACTTTTTTTAATCATCATCATTATCATCCTAACTAAACCCTTTTTGCAAGCACTTTCAGAAACCGTTAAGTAGTGGTTGCACTTGCAAGGATCACCTAGGGCCTAGGGTAGAGAACATCTACAGATCATCAAAAGCAAATTAAAATTACCAAGACAGTATCGTAAATCCACCAGCAACGTAAATGATTTGAGGAAGTGCCAGACAAATGTTTATCCATAAATGTCGTATGATTCACTCTCGTTTTTAATTAAGAAAAATATCCAAGTTGTGGCTGACAGAAACAAAAATACAAATCATGCAAGCGAGACGTCATCATTTTCTTTACACTCAACCCTCTTATGACAATAAGTCAATAACTGTAAATCGCATTTTAAATCCATAATATTATTGATCAAATTTTATCAGGCCGTTAACTAATTCGCCACTAGTTATGCATAGTGACGTAATTCCATAGTGATCAGTTTCAATGTGAAGGTGGTGCATTCTGATTGGTCGATAAAATGATTTTGATTGAATCAGTTCACCACCACCTGAATGATTTTGATAAAACAAATTATAATGCGCTTTTGGATATGTACGTTGTGCCACAATTCGATAAATCTTTTTTTTTAAGCATGCTATTTAAAGTGCCCGAATCATAAACTGTTAGATGATTCAAAACATCATCGCCTTATCGCCCATGAAGAAGACCAAGGCTCTATCGCTCTTATTGCTTCTACTTATTGCGGTCGTGACTACCACTGTTAAACCACCGGAAGAGCTGGCCCTGGACGGAGCACAGAGAATCCTGACGACGGAGAAGATTGCCGGAGAAGACGTGGAGGCTGATGTGAATAACCACCATAGTATTCCGAGGGAGTCATGGGATGATAATGATAACAATCCATGAGGACCCTTTATAACATCATGTTATGCTCTTTTTCTTCCCTTTATTCAACTGCCACTTAGTCTGATCCTTTGTTACCATTCGAATCTTATGTTTTCATGTAGAAACTTAGCGAAAGTAAACCGAAAATAATCATCAAACCGAAAGCAACACTGATTGTAGAAGCATAACAAAATAGTTCATATCAAATGATTTTTTTTTTGGTTTTTTTAGTTGAGTCTTCCAAATTCTTTGACAAGTCTTTGTAAATCAGCAATAGAGCTTCCATTTGCGTCCGTCACCTCTCCGGTCTTCCTCCGTATCTCCTCCGCTCGAGCAGCCACCCCACCTCCTCCCTCGACCATCGTTTCCGCAATGACCCGACACAACTCATCCGGGTCGGGTACAGTATCAGCCCCTTCGCAAACCCGAACCGCCGCACCCAAATGCTCCACAAGTAACCTCGCGTTCACAAACTGGTCCGCTTCCATGGGCCAGCCCAATATCACGGCCCCACTCGTTATCCCTTCAAGCACTGAGTTCCACCCACAATGGCTCAAAAATCCACCCACCGCCACGTGTCGCAATACTGCCAACTGTGGGACCCATCCTCGGACCACTATTCCGCGACCGGATACCCGATCCTCGAACCCGTCGGGTATCGGATCTTTTTTAGCCACCCAAATGAACCGGGTCATGCTTTTCTCGAGGCCTAGAGCCAGAGCGTCGCACTGGTCTTTAGTCATTGCTTTTTGACTTCCGAAACAAAGGTAGAGGACTGACCCGTCTGGGGATCTGTCGAGCCAACTCAGCAGATTCGGGTCTATAGAACCCGAGTCGGATTTGAGACCCGACCCGATCGAACACAGCGGTCCGATTGTGAAAAAGCGATCATGACCCATCCTCTGTTTCACGTACTCGAGATAGTCAGGCTCTAGACACTCTGCCGAATTGAAAATGCATCCGTGGCTCAGAAGATTCATGGAGAAGTCTTTGATTGTTTCGAGATCCGGCGTCGGAGTTTGGAGGCATCGTCGGAGCACAGACGGGAGATGCTCTTCCTTGAAGATCGGAGAACGAGGAAGATCCAGGAGATGGATCGGATCCGTCGATTTGATCCGATCGATGTTTTCGAAGCAGAATTGGAGAACGGAAACTAGGAAGGCGCTGATGGAGAAGAAAGCGAATCCAGGAATATCGATCTGATTGCAGAGGTCGTGAGTCCACCCAAGGAAGAAGTCGGAGATGAGAGCGGTCGGAGGATTTGGATGAGTTCGGAACCACTGGATGATTGGATCTCGAAGCTGACGAAGAGAGGCCATAATTGGGAGATTTCCGGAATTCCCGACATCTTTAACGTTTTCGACGCCGGCAGGGAGTGAAGGATGGGGAGGGAAAGGGAAAACGACGGCGGAGACGGAGGAGGGATGGGCGGAGATAAGAGGAGAGAGGTAGGTTAGGTTTCCGGGAGTGACGACGATGGAGACGGTGACGCCACGGAGGCAAAGTTGGTGGGTCAAGTCGAGAAGCGGAAGCAAGTGGCCTTGTGCTGGGAACGGAAACACTAAGATGTGTGGTTTCGAACCAGCCGATATACTAATTGCCGGTGACAATGCTTCCGTCATTTTCGCGGTGGCGTTGACTGTTTTTAATGTTTAATTATTATGCAGGTGGACGCCATTTATAATATTTTTTGTTCGGTAGGAATTATCATGTACGTTCGAGAAAAGAACTTTCGTCCAATTAAGATTTGTTAGCATTTGTATATTTGTACTTAAGATTTGTTAGCATTTGTATATTTGTATTTCCCATTTACGGTTTAATTAATATATCAGTTGTTAAAAAAAAAGATTTGTTAGCATTTGTATATTTGTACAGTTGTACTTAAGATTTGTTAGCATTTGTATATTTGTAGTTCCCATTTACGGTTTAATTAATATATCAGTTGTTAAAAAAAAAGATTTGTTAGCATTTAGCTTTCAATTACCATAAAAGAATACATTTTAGTTTTCTGTTTTTTTTTTTGGTTGTAATAATCGAGCAAAAATATTATCAGAGTATACTCACAACGGAGAAGACAAATGAACATACGAATAAGCACTAAAGCACTTTGGTATAAATTTATATCTCCAACCGTTAAACAAAAACCTTTTCATGAATCATAGACAATGTTACTCTCCAAGCAACAAAAGTGAATTACAGGTTTTGTTTAAAGCTATGTCGTGTGATAATCAGTCCGAGGGCTAAAGCCTTGGGTTCCACATTTGGTTGTGGCGTCGACGCTGTCTCATCGTCCTTCATTGTAATTGATCCGCAAACCATCAATACCTTTGAGTGCGGTTTCATAATTTACATTCTCACCCCCACCACTGAATGGTTCACGACCAGTTCCAAGACCACCATCATGAACATAACGAGGTGGATGGTTTCCAGATTGTGATTGCTGATACTTTAGTAAAACAGTCCAGTCGAACACAAAATCAAACTGAAAACCTTGACGAATAAAAAGATCGCGGAACAGTCTCCTTAAATACTCATAGTCTGGCTTATCCTCAAACCTAAGCGACCGGCAATAATGAAAGTAGGATGCAAACTCTGATGGATGATCTCTGCATAACGCTTCGATGGAAGTCGAAAACTTCTTTTCGCTAAATCATATCGTGTTTCTCCTTCTTGTTCCGAGCTGCTCTGAGTCCAAGCTGCCATGGCAGACTTCCCTTGAGGAAGTACATGAGGACATAACCAAGCGATTCCATATCATCTCTCCGACTCTGCTCGATCCCTATGTGAGTGTTCAAGCTTACATAACTCGGAGTCCCAACCAGACTTTTATTGTCCCTGTATGGGATATGTCTGTGTGTTGAGCTGTCTCTATATCTCTTAGCCAAACCAAAGTCTATCATGTAAACCCGATCTGTTCTTCCCAAACCCATGAGAAAATTATCAGGCTTTATATCACGATGGACATACGACTTAGAATGGAGAAACTCGAGACGGTTTATCATCTGATCAGCGAGCATGAGAACTGTCTTCAGTGTGAATCTCTTGTTGCAGTAACTACTAAACAGAGTTTCAAGGCTTGGACCGAGCAAGTCCATCACCAAAACGTTGTACTGGTCTCCTTCGACACCAAACCACTTCGTGTTTGGAATCCCGATTCCTCCTTGGAGAATCCTGTATATCCTCGACTCATAAGACAGTTGAGGATACGCAGTCTTGGTAGATTCAAGCTTTATAGCGACCTCTTCGTTAGTCTGTACATCAGTTCCGAGGTATATCTCTCCGAACGAGCCGCTCCCTATTTTCTGACCAAGACGAAACTTACTTCCGACACGAAGTTCCATAGACAATTCTAAAAGCCCTAACTCCTCTTCTGCTGCGCCTGTCGCTTTTGCCTCGGAGTTCGGAGATAAACCCTAACTCACCCGGTTTTGGTCTTTTTCATTCAGAATATATAATACTCGAGTCGTAATATTTTTGCCCTTTGGCTTTTTGTAAACTTTCCAAGTTAATTTTATTGGCGATAAGAATAAGAATCAGCACTACAAAATTGTAAATAGAGAAAATAAATCTACTGACCGGATTAAAGACATATCTTTTTCAGACCACCGAAGTTATAGTAGAAAAAAGGAAAAACAATATACTGTATAATTATAATTGCAATGCTTAGTGAAATGGAAATTAAGTCAAAGAAAGAATATTATTACTTGATTTGGTATTTTTTCTAAGAAGTGATCATATAATCTTCTCCTCCTCCTAGTCTTTCTTGCTCTTCCACTGCTTCGTCTAATCTCCTCCACCTACTTTGACGTTGCTCTTCCACTGCTTTCCATGTGGCTTGTTTCTCTTCGTACTGTTGCTGGCATTCTTCAAAGAGCTCAGGGTCCATCTCCATGAACATCCTCTTTATATTCGAGCTTAGACCGTGAACCGCTTGGTTCCAGTGAGACTCTATGTTTTTCTCCAGGGAACCGTATATGATGGGAAGGATCACGCTCCGGTTCTGAGCGATTAGACCAACGATGTGCTCGTTGTTCCACAAGAACAGAGATCGTTCTGCAACCTGCATCCGTTGGTGATTTATGCATGTGAGCATAGGAGATTTGAAATATTCATCAAAATTAATGACACATGAACAGAGCAAAAGCAACGGTTTCAATAAATATCGGAGGGGGCTAGATGTGTTGCAGAGCTGAATCAAGACGAGTCAAGCTATAGATTGATGTAAGAGATTATTTTGCAGATAATAGCATAAGATAACTCCATAAGCAGAGATGTGCCATGATCAAATGATTTTGTAGAAGAAACAAGCAGAAGAAGCAAGCAGAAGAAGCAAGCAGAAGTTTAGAAGAATGTGAATTATAAATCGGACAGATGACATAATGTACATTTGTAATAGGCCTAGTTCTCTGTCTCAATATTCAATATTACCAGTTTACCACACAGCATAGATCTTTGGCACATGAAACTAAATGACAAATTGAAAAGGTTGATATATGCATATATGAGAACCATCAATGGACAGAAAACCAACCCATAAGAGATTACTAACCTGAAAATGAGAGCTATTGAGGCAGCGAGCAATCTGTTGGAACAGAGGAACCATACAACGCTGGAACTCAACAGGTTGCGTAGCCTCAAGGACCTCTTCAAGTTCACCAAGAAAGAGAACCTCTTTTGTACAGTTTGTCACAGGCCAAAACTTTAACAACCCTCTGATCACCGTATCCGCAAGCTTATAGTCTTTTTCCACAAACTGAACGATGCAGTAAGACAACTGTTGATGATATATAGCGATTGGTTTCGGCTTATGCAGCGGTATCAACGCCCTGATCAAAAACAGCTTGTGCTCCTCCTTCATTGGCAAGGCAAACCCATTTATAATACTACCGAGAATCTCCAAAAGCTCCCCTATCCCGCTATGTCTCTCTGTCTCGTAAATAAACCTATAGAATATATGGTTGATTCCTTTCCTAATAAAGGGCCTGTGGACCATAAACTTGCCATAGATCCTATGAAGAACCGTTTTCAAGTACTCTCTTTCTCTTGGATCTTCAGTCTCAAACAATTCAAGCAACCTCAGCACAAAAGAATGGTCAATATACCGTTTAGCAACCTTCGTATCTGTGTCAGAAGGAACGACGTATCTCAGCAGAAGCTCATAGACAAGCTGCAAATGAGGCCAAGAAGGCTCCAAATAAGGCTCTTCTTCCTCAGGATCCGCAGGCTCTTGACCTGTGTTCTCGTGTGAAGCCGGAGGGAGACACCGGAATATATTGACAGAGATCATCTTCACCATTTCTTCCTGGCAAGTCTCATTGATCATCTTTGAACCAGACTGTATAAAATCCACCAGCTCCAATAAGGTCTGCCTCTTGATCTCCTTCTCTCTCGCATTCTTCAATGTGTCTGTGAAATCGAATTGGAAACAGCAAATCTGCAGCTTCCGCAGGAACAGGGTTTGGCGCTCGGGGACAGGCACGTCTCTGAACAACGGGAGAGGCTCGACTGAATACATCGGAGGCAGCTGCGTGGCCGCCCTTGAAACCGGAGAAGAAGGAACCGGCGAGCCACGAGATGCGTGATTTACAACCATATTGGACCCAGGACCTGACCTACCCGGCGGATCAAACCCATACATAGACGGATCATTCGACTCGTTTCTAGAGAGCTTCCGGCTCCCACCTTTCATGATCTTCTTAAACATGGCTCACGCAATCGAAATGACCTCGGAGAACCCTAGCTGTTCCCTTCGATTCTCCCTATATATAAACCCTAAGTATTCCGAACTGGATTTCGCGACGAGATTCAGTGTGAGAGAACTCGAATGGATCAATCATGAAATGGAAGACGAATTGAAAATTGGAACCCAGATTCAAATGCTTCCCACTACGCTTCTTCTGCACACGATGAGTACCAGTATCTTCTGTGAGATCTGAGGAAGCGAAAATCAGACCGTTGGATGGACCGGATAGATCTCCGGAGAAATGACCGGATACTTGGGACGCGGATTTTCCCGGCGATCAATGTCGAGCGAGCCAGAGCGATAAATAGAGAGAGAAAGGATCTTCAATCGAAAACAGAAAAATGTAAAATCAAGGTAGTTATAAATAAAAGAAATTCTTCTGTTATTCAAAATCTCTCTTTCTTCGATATCAGCCAAGACACGATGATTATTATAAAATTTAAATTATTTTGAATTTGTTATTATCCTTTTAAAATCACATTTTATGATTTTATCGTAAACATTAGTGTTACATTTGGGAAGTGTTTGCAACTTTAACAAATTTGTCACAATATGACTAATGATCACTGTGATTATGCAAAAATGCTTGTTACAAAAAAAGATTATGTAAACATGACCTTTTAATCTTTTACTTAGACACTCTTAATTTGACAATCCATTGGGAAATTAACATGACAATGGTTGTCATTAGATTTGTGATGATGATATCAAATAAATACAAGAGTTGGTAATAAACTAAATTTTCAATGTAAGAATAATAGAATATATAACCTTTGAATTAAACAAAGGGGTGATAAAAAACATGATTTGTATAGTTATTTAGATATGATTTAATTTGTTATACCTTAAAATTTCGGTGTTACGTTTTTAAAAAGTTCAATTAATGTTAGCTTAACTTACCATTTAATTCAACCAATAATACATTGAAAATTACCATAGTTAAATATATCTGAGATTCGGATTGCTTTGCATCATTTTTTATGTGGTTTGATAGTGAAATATGACTATACCGAAAATCATTTTGTACACAAAGTACACTATGCATAATCATATCGTCTAACTATCACACACAAAGACATGTTTGCCAAGGTGATTCTCATGTTTCTACTTTCATAGTTCATAATCGTTCTTCTATTATTCAAATCTTTATCTCTTCAATATCAACCAAGACACTATAATGATATTATAAAGTTTAAATTATTTTGAATTTGTTATTATTCTTTTGAAATAACATTTTATTATTTTATCCTAAACGCTAGCGTAAGTGTGATGGCTTGTGCTCAAGACAAGATGGGTTTGCTATAGCTTCTTCTTCTAAGTCCGCCGTTTTCTCAAGACTTAGACATTTCAAATGATAATGAGAGTGACCATTTGTGATTTGTATGCCAAAAGAGTTCACCTCTTACTCTGATATAGTAGATGACTTACATGTCTCATGTGCTCACGATATGACATCCACCTATGTCACGCTAAAGAATGTGCTCTTTAATCATTTTGGTTTACATGTTTCATGTGGTGGTTTTTAATTTGTGTTTCGTTTTGTTTTTACAGTTTCTTCACTGTCCTTCTAGTTATTGTGACACATTATATGAGGTTGAAATTGGTGATATTCCGAAGTTCGGTGTTGTATGCCCATCTTGTAACTTGTCTTTATGCATAAATGTTTGTTATTAAATTTATATGGTTTTCCTTCTCTCTGCTTCTCCTTGTTTTATGATTGACATTGCGATTGATTATGCTTGAGATTGATATTGATTATGATTTTTTCAGTGTGGCTTACCCCCTCACCATCCCCCTGCTCTTTGTGAGGATATGCTGAAATTCAAAGATGGGATCACATTCAATGATGCTAATGAAACAACAAAAGCATTGGCGCATCATGATAGCTTGGAAGCACATCTCAATTTGCTTATGGCATAAGCCAATAATCTGGGTCTTTTACCAGGCTATGAAGCATTGTCTTCTGCTTTTGATGAGGTCAGTAAATAAAAAGTCTTTTGATTTTTTGTTTCATGTTTTCATTGAACAATGATTGAAGCAAATTTCTATATCTATATTTGCAGTTACGTTTTATCTATGTAAAATCAAGGTAATGATAATTAAAAGAAATTCTTCTGTTATTCAAAATCTCTCTCTCTTCAATATCAACCAAGACACGATGATGATATTATAAAATTTAAATTATTTTGAATTTGTTATTATCCTTTTAAAATCACATTTCATGATTTTATCCTAGAAGTGAAGTGTGATGGCTTGTGCACGTGGCTTCCGAACGAAGTGCTCGCAACTTTAACAAATTGGTCCGAATAAGAACAATGATCACTGTGATTATGCAAGGATGCTTGTTACAAAAAAAACATTATGTAGACATAACCTTTTAATCTTTTATTCAAACAGTCTTAATTTGATGATCCTTTAAAATTTAACATGACAGTATAGTAAAGTGTCGTAATATCGTCTAACATCACACACAAAAACATGTTTGCCAAAACGATATTCCAGATTAAAATACAATAATTTTGTACACACAAAGTGCACTCTGCATAATTACATCGTCTAACATCACACACAAAAACATGTTTGCCAAAACGATTCCCATGTTCCTATTTTCGTAGTTTATAATCGTTCTTGTGATAATCATTCTTGTAATTGATAATAATGTTTTTTTTTAATGTTTTTTCTCTCCTGTATGATATGGTTTTGTTCGCAGGAATTTTAATTTTGAATTTGGATCCCAACTATGTAAAGATATGGTGAAATTAAAATAGGGTATGCATTCGATGATTCTCATGAAACAACAAAAGCATTAGAGCATTTTGATAGCTTACAATCTCATCTCAATGAGCTTATGTCACAAGCCTATGAAGCTCTCTCGATTTCTTTTGATGAAATACAAATTCTTTTGATTTTCTGTTTAATGTTTTGATTCAACAATGATTGAAGCCATTTACATATATGTACTTACAAATTACTATGGATGTAACTAAGAATTCGTTGATCCACTAAGTATATCACACTGCCAACATAATGCTCCTTGTTGTTTGAATTGTTTTTTTTTTCATTTATCAGTTATTAGTATTATGCCCCGTGCTATGCACGGCCTTGAGCTTTTATAACAATGAAATTATCTATAAAATTGATCTTTTTAGTTATACATCTCTATCAATATTGGAATTATAGTTAAGAATTTTTCTGTATAATTCTGTTTTCGTTTATTAGAATTTAAACGGGAAACTGAACTTACAAATAGAATCCAATCCAAGATAGATAAACTCTATAAAATGAAAGTAGATGATTACATAGAACATGGATAACCTAATTTACTCGAGACAGAGCAAATTCATAGATAGAAAACAGTTGTACAAAATAGGGATATATAAAGATCCAAACATAAAATAAAGGTTAATATAAAGAAGTTAGAAGTCCACAATTTTATTATTAACCTTTTCTTCTTTGACTGAATAATATAGTATTATACCTTTATCGCAATTCTATAGTTTTTGAGAATCTTACAACTCGATACAGAGATAAATTGAAGTTTTGAAGTTACAGATAAAAACAGACAACTTGAAATAAGTAATCTTTTTTTTGTTAGCAAGCGGAGGGTTCAATGTTCTCACTTCTCACAATCAATTCTACATAAGTGACTCCACAGGCTCTGCTCGATTCAATTCCACCTGAACAAACCAACCAACCAACCAACACAAATTTATAAGAACTTGTGTTATGTTAGAGTAGAATATAAAAAACAAACCAACCTGAACGGAAATGATTACTTGATAATTTTCAGCAAGTATAGCTAAACCAAGACTTCGAAGATGTTTTGAACCAAAGCTAAAAAGATGCTTCTTCTCAGACTGCGTAGTTTGTTTTGTGTAGAAACAAACACAAATTTTTGTTGTTAAAAGGCCTAAATAACCACAAGTTAATGATTTGAGAATCAGAGAGGGGAGAGAGAATGAGATCGGTACCATGTCAATGTTGATTTGTTTTCCATTCTTCAGCCACTAACTCAGTGATGGTTCCTGACTTCTAAGCCTGTTTTTAACACACAACTTCACAGTTTAAAGACTCTAAATAGTTCACTTCAAAAACATATATAATCACATATTATCAAATCAGCAAATTTCGATTGTAAGTTAGCGTGATGTTATAAAGAAAAAACACAGAAAAATAAAAAACAAAAGATTTAAGAACATGTAAAATCAGAATCGAACCACCGCGTTACCTGTTTTGAAAGTGAGAGATTGAGAGAGAAAACAAAAATCTCAAGTTGAGGTCACGCTATCGCTTGAGTCTCCATTAATGCATCTGTGATTGGATCTGCAAAAAAAAAATCAGATTCAGAACATACAATTATTCGGCAATTAATTTAATGGATGGAAGAAGATACCTGATTTAAGAAGAATAGACTTGATTTATGGATCTGGGCTGAACAATTTCAAAGGAGGAAGATGAATTTCGAGATCTAGAAAGATAAAACACAGTAGTTGAAGATGAATATAATTAGGTGGTTTTTGAAATTGCAGATGTGAGGGATTCATAGTAATAAACAATTTCAGAGTTATAAGAAGATGTAGCGGTTTCAGGGAGGAAGGCAGTTGAGAGAGAGAGATGAGGAAGAGAGATAAATTTTCAGGGAGAAAATGGAAAATAAGAAAATCGGAAAAGCAAAAAAAAAAAAAAAAAAAAAATTAAAATAAAAACGAAATTTGGAAGGGATACGTGTCGATTATATAAGCCATGAGGTGACTTCTGCTTTATTAGTATTATTAGATGTAGTGACTCAACTATAGCAGTTGGAAACATGACGACTATCTTCAGTTGTATGAACATTTCACTTTTAATTGTTTTTTTTTTTCATTTATCAGTTATGAAATGACTCAACTAGAGCAGTCGGAAACAATCTGTATGAATCCGAATCCTACCGAGGAATTTGCTAGAAACAAAAAAGAGGAAATTACTGTTACATTTTGAATGAAAAATTTACCATAAGACTTTTTAAAGTAGATAGTTATCACAACAAGTAATTTCATCTTCCTTTACCTCTTCTCTTTATCCAAAACATATCCACACAGAACATAAAAAAAAAGCTTTATTAAAAAAGGACTCGGCTTCAATCGTGCTTAACCCCACCAGTCTCCTCCGCAACGATAGGTTTAGCTATTGCTTCTGTACCTTCAGTTCCAGTTTCCGCAGCCACCTTGCAAGAAAATAAAAGTGTTACACGAAGTTTCAAGTACAACCACATAATAAGAGAAAACTCAGAATGAAAAAAAGTGAATATTCAGAGATAGTGTCCCAAAATTCAGAAACCAGATAGTGGATCAGTTGAATTGAAATATAACATAAAACATAGATTGAAGTATCCAAGTACTTTCATCAAAGTCTGAAACTAATTCAACAAAGAAAAAGACTCGACGAAGAATGCAGAGAGACAATCAATCAAGTGAGAAAATCTTTCAACGTACTTTGGTGGCGTTGTCGTTTTTAGCAACTGGCTTGAAAGGACAAGCTGGAGGAACTCTCGCTGGCTTCCTGTACTCCCATCCGAGCAACGCGTACACTTTGGCCTAGATTTCAAGCATTAACAGACAAACATTCACCAAATCAAACAAATTATCGGAAAGAAAGAAAAAATATCTGTAAGATTCACTGAATGAAGAATGAATGACCTCTCCTCTACACACTGTTTTTTTCCTAAACACACTAAGTTTTTAAAGATAACGAAATTACGAAAACAAAACCGGTATGAAAGACTAACAGAACTAAAAGACAATAGTAAGTTTTAAACATTGCGAATATCTTCAACTTTCTAAGAGCCCACACTTGAAGCAGACTGTTAACAAAAGTTAAAGCTTCATACTCTTCCGCTTTTACAAGCAGAGATTATGATCATGTGTTCTAGCTTTCCCTGATTATTATCTTCGCCAATTCCCGTCGATACTATCTTCTTCCCTATTAATTTCTATCTCTTTTTAATCTCCAATTCTGTTTTACTTTCAGATAATCTACCTCCTCGTAGACTAATCGAATACAAACACTCTACTCTACCATCCTAAAATTCAAAATTACGGTTCCTGACTTTTAAGACCAGAATTCCGATGAAAAGAGTAAAACTTGAAAAAAGAGAACACGAGCTAAATTACCATTAATAAATCGATGATCCGAGGCAGTAAATTGATGAGCGGGATGAGGAACAGCGGCACCAAACACATAACGCAAACCTGTCGAATTCAGAAACTTTATAGATTCAAACATCTCAAATAGAAGCCGCAGGGTTGTTAAACTGACAAACAAACAGTAGATCCCAACAAAAAAACAAGCGAATCGAACAAATCTTACCATATTGAGATTAGGGCTCTGGACTAAGGAATTGGGAAATTGGACAAAAGTTGAATCGCGGCTAAAACTGGAGAGATCAAAATGTGATTGATGTACTACTTTCCCTCAAGTCGTCGCTTTGCTTTTAAGACTTTCCAAAAAAATAACATAAAAATTGAATAAAGCAAACTCTCTCAAAGGACCAGAAGGTTTTGACGGTGTTAGGAAACAAACGGAGTGTAAACGTTCCTTAAACGGGGAGTGTAAAGAACTCTGCTTTCATTGTGACGCCGTAAGGAAGTAAACGTGGGCTTTGACGGCCAATAAACAGTTAATAAAAGGCCGTTAATAATATTGTGATTGCCAAAAGACAAGAGTAACATGAGAGTTTGTGTCTCCAAAGAGATTAGGTTCGAACGTTTCACAGTAGGGCTCTTATGCGCAATCACCTTTGCAAGGAACGTCAACACAGCGGCAAACCGGTTTTCCAGCAGCTTCCCAGCCATTGAAGCCGCGTTCCAGGATCATGATGTTTTTGATTCCACTATCTTGTTTCTTCTCATCCAGATAATTCACGAGCCTTCTTGCACAAGTTGGTCCACGAACCTGCAACGAATTGGTTTCAGAGCTTAACAATCAACTTCATTCTCCAGTGTAAAAAGTATGTGGATAAGAACAAAGAAAGGGTTACTAAAAGTACAGAAAGCAATCATATAGCAAACCAGTTGCAAGATCATGTGATTTTTTTTGCTATCTGAATCTACTTATCACACATGATGGCCACTTCAAGAGGAAAATTTTTGCGGCATAAGAGATTGAGATCTATCTATTATGTCCTTATAAAATATGAAATTTGACCCGCTGCTTATAATCTATGAACATGAGTCAACTAACAACTTAACTAATCCATATTCACCCACTTTAAGCATCATTCAGTCATTACTTGATATGAAGTCAAACAAGGGGAAAAGAAGATATTGTGGGGGAAAAGTGAAAGACAGGACAGACCTGGCTTAGAGCACAATGGAAGACAAGTGTGTCTTTGTCCTTGACATTTTGAACAAGATGAGAGATCCTGTCATCAAACGAGCCACTCGCGTAGTGTAGTGATCCAGCTATATGCCCGTCATAATTCCTCTCTTCATCCCTGAAAACAATAAACAACACTCAAAACAAGTAACTCCAGTGAAATACAATATCTTCATACAAAGTCTGGATTTTTGGCCACAACTCTGTTCTAGAGAACATTGAGAATCTACAAGATTTATAATCTGATCTTCAGAATTCAAAAATGAAATACCCTCCTAAAATCGGCATCAGTACTACATGGTAGAGGAAAATTAAACCTCAGAGCAATCGGATTCATTCAACCTAAAGTTTGCTAGGGATCAGATTAGTGACTCAAACCGATGAATCAAATCGCGTATGTTGTTCAGTGAAAGTTACCTGACATCGATGATGGCTATGTTGGGCCGACGATGAAGAGGAAGGAGCTGAGTAGAGGTGATGTAAGAGATGCTTCTCTCCATTTTCTTCTTTTTAGTGAAAAAGGAGAATAAGCTTCTCACCATCTCTAATTCCCTTTCTTCGTTAAAGTCGACGAATATAGGCAGGCATCAAGAACGATTAATCTGAGGCAACAAGACTTGCGTTTTACACTAATTGAAAAGGAAAACTTTAACAAAACGCGGGGATAGCTCAGTTGGGAGAGCGTCAGACTGAAGATCTGAAGGTCGCGTGTTCGATCCACGCTCACCGCAATCGATTAATTTTTTTAAATTCTTACTTTTTCATTTAATTATTCGAGAGTCTCTAATGTAGTCAGCGGGTTTGATATGTTATGTGTTTATGTTTATCCGCAAGATCTCAAGACTACTCAACGCCAAACTTTTGATCTTCTTCCCTCCGTGGCACAGAAACGAACTCCTTCAATTGGCGCTCAGTTTTTGGGTTTTTGCCCTAATGCCGCGCCACCGGCGTTACTCCTTCCATGACGGAGGAGTAACAATCGAAGAATTTGAGGTACCTGATGAAGACGAATACGAATCTGAGGACCCGAACGCAGAAGTCGACGACACCGAAGATGAAGAAGACGAGGACGAGGACGAAGACGAAGAGGAGGGGGAAGAAGACGAACCTCAGTCCAGGGTAAACATCAATGTTGCAGACTCACATAGGGTTTCACAGAACGAGAGTGAAGAGAAAGAGAAGCAGATAATGTCACAAGGAGTTTGCTCGACTTCAGGATCGCAGGAGGATGTGGGATTGAAACCCGGCGAGACTGAGGGATCTTCCTGTTTGATTTGTATGGAAGTTTGGACCGACGGCGGCGAACACCAAATCTGGTATTCTCGATTTCAATTATCCTTTGATTTTACTGTTTGATAGTTTAGACTGTAATTTGCCGCTGGAAATTGCTACTGTGGTGTTGTTAAGGTGTATGATTCCTTATTAGATGATTACGTTTCGTCAATCATAATCTTGAACTACGAGCATCTATTTCCCCTATTTGATAACTCTGGCCTCGTCTAATGGTTTTTTGTTAACGATGATTCAAGCTGTCTTCCTTGTGGACACTTGTATGGATTTTCCTGCATCAAGAAGTGGTTACAGCAGCGGCGAAGTTCAGGAAAGGTGTGTTGGTTTGCTATGTACTTACTTCAGATCCATTTGCTGTTATTGCTGATTATCTTTCTCATATAGTCTTTCACTGGCTTCTTTTATAGTGTCCCCAATGCAATAAGACTTGTAGCCTGAAAGATGTCCGGAAGATTTTTGCATCAAGGATTGCTGCAGTAGATGACGAATCACACAAGGTCATATATTGAATGTTGCTCTAAATATGCATACATGAAAGTATGAAACAAATAACGTATCGAAATCTGATGTTTTTTTTTTCTTTTAATACTCTCAGAGAATCGTATTCCTGGAGGCCAAATTAATTTCAGTCGAACAGAAGGTAAGACACACATTACTGCTAATACCTCTCTATGGGCTTACTATAAGCCATCTATGTGTGTAGCAGTAGCACCTACCAGTATCTTAGAGTCTTGACACTATAGTCTTACATGTCATGCAGACTGCAGGTTGGAGTAACAAAGAAGCTCAATGGAGAAAACTGGAAGCAGAATTACGATCAGAAGTTAAGACGCTGAAAAAGGTACAGTCTAGGTGTCTCTTTTAACATGGTCACTGGTACACTGTTTTATACGTGGACAGATAATGATAGTGTATGCATACTGTTAGACTAGTGGAGTCTGAAATAATTTAAGTTGGTTCGTATCTTTCTAAAGAGACCATATTCTGAGTAAGGATTCCCAATATTTTCCCTGCCAACCTATCTTTAGCTCTAGTTTCAGCAGATATATATACTTATTTTGGGTTTTTTGTTTTTGCACAAAATGATTGCACATGTTTCCCTTTTAGTTAGTTTAAGACGGAAAAAAATTGGTTTTGCAGAAGATAGCTTATATGGAAAGCACGTGTAAGGATGCACAGAGAGAGTCTAATGTGGCTTCGCAAGTGCAATATGTACCTGGTAATTACATAATAACATGCTTCATGGTTGCATCATATGCAGCTTTGTTAACATTCTTTCCAACATGATATATAATGCACATAACTTTCTAAACATCTGTAATTGCTTACCTGTAGGTCATAAGATCTACCAAGAACACCATGGACAGGCACCTTCTTGCAGCTTCACGCATCAGGTGTGGCATAGTGTTCTATCTCAGATCCATTGTTTAATAATTTCTGCGCTGAAGTGTCGTTTGTTATTACACTTGTGTTTCTGTGTCTAATGAAAATGACGAAGTTCTCTTCATTCAATTTCTTTTTGTAGGGACTAGTGCAAATTAATGGCGGCCGTATATTTGACATAGATGGTGGTAGACAGATTATACTATTGGCCCGTAGGCTCACAGGTGTAGGTGGATCATTTGTTCTTACGCAAGTAAGTTTGTTAATTGTTATTCTTGGCCTCTTAATTTTATCTTACACCAGTTCAAGTGATGTAACTATATGACCTTTTTCAATAATATCGCAGGTGAGCCTGAATTCTGGTGAGATTGACGATATTCTGCTACCTCCAACAACTAGAGCAATTAAAGATCTTCACCTTTCCCCTCACAATAATGGGCTTGCACTCTTTGGTTCTTTAGGAAAGAAGTTATCTGTTTTAAGGTTTGGACATTGCTACTTTTTAAGGATGCCTTCATCATTCCCATGATGATTTCCTTGTTGTTCTAATTACCTATCCGTTCAATTGTTCAGCTTGGAGAGCCACAACACTGTCTTATCTTATGGTTTACCGGTAAACTACCTTCTTTCAAAACTTGTATTCGTGGAATCTGATGCTTTGCAATGATAGTACTAACCTAGAAACATTCTCGTGTAGGCTGCAGCTTGGTCTTGTTCTTGGGATCGCAACAGCTCTCACCATATTTATGCTGGACTACAGGTTTTATGCTTTTCTTTATTTTGCTCATTCCTACTTAAACTCCGCTTATCTCCCTCTCCTAACCATCATCTTCTTTGCAGAACGGAATGGTTTTAGTGTTTGACATGCGTCAGACCACGGGACCTTTCGCATCGTTGGCTGGCTTAACAAGCAATCCAGTTCATACTATCCATCATCTCTCTGCCAATTCCACTCCAACTGCTGATGTACGTTCCCTCTTGTCCGCTTCTTCCATCGGGCTTTGTGAGTGGAACATTAATGGCAGCGAGGGAAGGTGAGGTTTTCTGCTTCTTTGACATTGATGCTTGTTCACATCTCATAAAATCAAAACCTACAGATCTTGTTGACTGAAAAATACGTAAACGAAACAGAGATTATATGCATGTTCTTGGGTTTCTAACTGTGATAGTTTCGTTTTCTTTGTTTTGTATAGGCCATCATTGGTTTCTGGAACAGGAAACCCAGGAGTTTGCATTTCCTCTTCGTACTGTCCTCGCAGCGATCATGTAGTTGCTTCTTATAGACCGAGAGTTGGATCTTCTGATGAAACAGTCCCGAGTCAGTCTTCGTCGACTCAAACAGGAGCTAATAATAACAGTAGCAGTGTAGATGGATTCCATGTTTGTCTCAAGAGAAGAGGTGTTGATTCTCATTATCAGAAACTTTCGTCCACACGTGGTTGGGTAGATACCATCCGTTTGCCAAGAACAGCGATTATAGACTTTGGTGAGGAAAGGAAGCAGCTTTTTGCATCTTGTGACGAGTCCACTCGCGAGCTCATCTTGCAAGATCCTTCGTCTTTCACCGTCTCTCAAAGGTTCCCATTAGGAAGTCATCATCCGCTTCAAGACGTGAAATACGCTCGCACGAATGGAACCGGTCTGCTCGGTCTCTTAACCGATGATAGATTGCAGCTTCTTAGGAACAATTCGTCATGAAAAACTTGTTAAGAAAGAGAAAGGTAAAAACTTGTTGCTATATTATTACAATGTGAAATTCATAGTTAAAATTCTATTCAACTTTGATTACTTTGCAGGGATGAAATTTGGTAGCATATTATGTAAAGCGGCTAACTTCTCTATAGTTTGTATCTATTTAGATATGTATTATGCAAAATGAAAAAAAACAACTTCTTAGATATGTATGAATTGCTGCTACAAATTGTTTGTTTAATTTACAAGTTACATTCCTTTTTGTATATACGCATAATCAGCTTTTGAATCGTTGGTGTTTTTATTAAGAAAGACATGAGAAAACATATTAGACGATAATAATGATTAGGGCCCTAAACAATTAGCGTACAAAATAAAAAATAGAAAGGGAAAAAATCCGACCTGCCGGAATCGAACCAGCGACCTAAAGATTTATCTGTTGGCTTTCACCTACTACAGTCTTCCGCTCTACCAACTGAGCTAAGGTCGGTCTTGCCAATACAGTGATTATAAATAAATTTAACACAAACAAATCTTGTGTTACGATAGAAAAAGGAATTTGGCTTCGGAATTGGGTTACTTCTGGAATTTTCTCGTCAAGGCTCTCTCTTTCAGTCCCCACCCGTCATCGATTCTGCTCATCAAAGCTTCCAGAAAAACTGAAGGTCACATCTCTCTTTCGATCTCGATTGTTTCGAGCTCTGTTTTTAATATGTGGAACATCTCTATATCATTCTCCGTTGGCGAATTTTTTCCCATGAACAATTTCGTTTTTTCTAGATATGGGTAGAACAGTTTTCGTAGGGTTTCATCACTTTCTTCTTCTGATTTCTAGGTTGACTATGCTGTGAATTTATTTCCACATGAGTTTTGGGTCAATTATATGACTTGAGTTTCTCTGTGTTACAATCTCTGCCGTTTGGTGCTCGTTAAAACTGTAAATAAACAACATTGTTGGTTGGTTCCAGAATAATTTTTAGGGTTCTTCCTTGTTTTATTCATTGCCTCTGATTGGGAGAATCCTATTGAGGGTACAGAGAATCTTCGTTTAACAATGTGTATGTGTAGGTAAAGCCTTATATGTTCTTGTTTAATTTGATTAAAATGTATTGTTTCTCCACAGGTTTCCTGTCTTGTTGCAAGGTGTTTGAAAGGTGATCGTTTGTGCATTCAGTTGACAATGGAAGAAGCTAATCATGATTCTGCTAATGTTTCAAGTGATCCGAGCAATGATATAAAGGAATCAAATGAGAAGATCTTTGTGAACCATGGTAAAAGCTTTATCACCATTCACAGTGTATGGTTTAAGGTTTTGACTCGAACAAGGCTTATCCTTTAGGGAACCTGATTGTCTCATGATGGTTAATCACTGTCAGATTTAAGCCTATCTTGTTCCTCTATAGGATCACTCTCTTGAGAAGAATGTTGGAATATGTACTAAATTGTTGGTTCCCTTTATGTTTTTTTGAAGCTGAGATTGCATGGCAAGAGATGAGGAAGAAGTGGGTTGGAGATCCGTCCCAAAGAACTTCAGAGATACCTATGGAACCTGTCATAGGGTACACTGCTTTGCCATTTGAAATTCTTCAAAGCTTGAGGTTTTACATGTATATTAACTGTTGAAACTTCGTCTTGACTCTGAATCTTTTCTTCTTTTTTTGTAGCTTCAACGCTACTTATGAAGACTTGCTTCTGCCCAACACTCCTTTTCCCAAGCCCATCCCTCTAGCTGTGAGTTCCTGCAATACATACTCCGTTACTTTATTTATTCATTCAAGAACTGTCTTCTCTTTTACCTCCATTGGTTATTTATTAACTTGGCTGCAAATCTTCTTTGCGGATGTGTTAAATTTGCAGGAAATGGTGGATTTTCTGGTCGATCATTGGCATGGGGATGGTCTGTTCGAGTAGGTTAACCGAAGCGGATTCTGAGTAGTATTCTTGGTACAGAAATTTAGCTGGAAGCTCTAATCCATTTAGGTTAAGGAAAAAACAAAATCCCCGTGGAGAGAAGAAGACACTCTGTTTTTCATTGACAGACGATGAACATATATAATTAATTAGGCATTTTGTGATTTTCATCCATGAACAGAAAGGGGATCATGCAATGCTTTTGTTGTTCTACATGAGTTGATCTAATGATGTTTACCATATAATATAACAGATCATCACCATTTAAGTTTTGTTATTTGCTTAAGAACATGATTTGAGTATTGAAAACTTAAAAAAAGGCAGAGATGAGCGTGGGATGTGGGTTAAAAAAAACGTTAAACGTGTATGATCTTGATAGGCGCGACTGCGTTTGCTGATTGCGATTGTGTTTGTGGATTATTTGTTTAAACGCACTGCTAGTGGCGCACTCACACAGTTTGCCCAAAGAAATGTCAAAATGCAAAATCGTTGACCCTGACTTTTCTTCATTAATGTTCCTCGTTAATCCTATGAAAACGAAGGTTCTTAAATCTTAACCTATTAAATTATTTTCTCTTTTATTTATTTAAGCGAAAAGTATATCAAAGTTCATTACCATGAAATTTGTAAAGATTTTTATTTGCTTACAATGTCTACAAAAAAAAAACTGTAAATTTAATGACTTACAACGTTATCAATTAAACTATTGTATGTATTTGATCAGAGCTAATAAAACCGTTGGGGTTAAGAGGTTCAATGTATATGAACATCATTTGTATAAAGAACAAATTCATCACCCTGTTATTGCTCTAAGATTGGAATAATATTTTATCGATATACTTCTGGATCAAATCTACCTCAGAAAGAAAATTTGAGCTCCCAATAGATAGGAATAATTTAATATGGAAAAACAGAAATGCATTATGGTCTTATGTATTTACTGAATTACTGTGAGTAAATCTCTGCTCTCAGGAAAAAAAAAAATTATTCGTTTCTTTTATTCCGAAGAAGAAAATTCTTGAATGAGTGAGCAAACTTTTTGTCTTTCTCTGTATTTTATACAAACAAATATTTCTTTTGTCAATATTCATTCATTTTCCTTCCCTTGTTCTTATCTCACGTTTTCAGATTTTTGGTGGGTTTTAGATAAATCGGGTGTGGCAATAAAAGATTGAAGTTTGGAATATAGATAGGAGAAATAAAATATCCATTAATTCCAATTTTATTCAAGGAGAATCTCTCTTTGTCCAAAACGAAAATTTTCATTTCTGTTTTCTCTTTATCTCCGGCAATCTAATAAATACTTCCGACGCGGTTTTCGAGTCGTCGGAAAAAGGTGAGAACTCTCAGCTGAATCCAAAAGCTCCTATATCCTTGGATACCCAATCTGCAGCGACATATCGAGCGACGTATCGAATTTCGTAGCATTTGACGTTTTTGAGTTTTCCTAGATTTTGATCCTTGAGAGCATTTTGGGTTTTTCATTTTCGCCACAGGAGAGGAGAGAGAGATGGAGATCGACAAAGCGATCGGAGAAAGCGACGATAAGAGGTTGAAGACCAAGTACAATAACGCCATCTTCGTCATCAAAAGAGCTCTTGCTCTCTACTCGTGAGCTCTCTTCTCTTCTCTTATTGTTTTGGTTTATCTTACTTCGATCTTCAGATTCATTTTCTTGCAATTTGACCCAAAAAACTTGCACTTGGAGTATAAGATGAAGCAAAATTTGCTACTACTTTTGTTGTTTAGATGTGATTTATCTTTGAGAATCGAGAAATGATACCATTGATGGGATGAGATTTTTGCTGGAGTTAGTAAAGTGCAAAGGATTTTGTGGATTAATGGATCTAAATTTAATTTACTAGAAGTAATATCATGTTTTTTTGTAGGATGGATTTAGGTTTTATGATCTTTGCAATGATTTTGCTTTTGTGGATGTTTGCTTAGATTCTAATCATATTTGATTTACTTTTTCAAGACTACACGCCAAATCATGTTATTCAAAATCATGACAAAAAAGTCTTTCAAATTGGCTGCAAACCTTTTTAGTCGATTGGATTGGAAAAGACCTTAACAGTTTTAACCTCTTTTAGTGCAATTTCACTTTACTGATTCTTGAAAGTATACTTGTGCAGTATTGAAGAGGTTGCCTTTAGTTTCAATGGAGGAAAAGATTCGACTGTAAGTTAAATCCTTTCCAAAAAGTCTCCTGTTTTGATCTTTTCTGTTTTCCTGAGTAATAAGAGTGACTCTCGTCATGTTTTAGGTGTTATTGCACCTTCTTAGAGCTGGTTATTTTTTGCATAAGAAAGAGCTGACTTGTTCTAATGGAGGTCTATCGAGTTTTCCAGTCCGGACCATTTACTTCGAGAGCACTTCTGCGTTCACTGAAATCAATGCATTTACATATGATGCAGCTCAAACGTAAGATACATTTCTGCTCCTACCTTGTATGCTCCCAGAATGATGTTTCTTTCTTTCTTCTGATCATGTTATTGTATATGGGCAGTTACGATCTGCAACTTGATATCATTCGCCAGGATTTCAAATCCGGTTTGGAGGCATTGTTAAAAGCTAACCCTATCAGAGCCATTTTTCTTGGCGTCCGAATTGGTGATCCTACTGCGGTTAGCTTCTCTTCAAATCTCAAGATTCATATATGCAAATATTCTGTTGAACTTGTGAGAAGTTTGGCTCATTTTGATTGATAGCTTCTCATTGACCTTTCCAGGTTGGTCAAGAGCAATTCTCTCCTAGTTCCCCTGGATGGCCTCCCTTCATGAGGGTGAATCCTATTTTGGATTGGTCATATAGGTATCCTTTGTCATACCTTCTTATTGCTTCCTCTGTTGGTTGCTCTTTCTACTAAATCTACAGTAAATCTGGATTGGTGGTTTTATGAATCAGTCTGCTTGACGTATTTATAATGTTTCCTATGCAGAGATGTTTGGGCATTTCTTCTAACTTGCAAGGTCAAGTATTGCAGTCTTTATGACCAGGGGTAAAAGTCTCCCCACAGTTTCACTTTAAAAATTTTTGTTCTTCCCCAATTCGTCTTATGTTGTGTCACTATTCAGATATACATCAATTGGGAGTATTCATGATACTGTTCCCAACGCGTTATTGTCTGTTAACGACACGAGCAGTAAAGAGAAATTCAAACCTGCTTATTTGCTATCTGATGGGAGGTTAGAGAGGGCAGGGAGAGTCAAGAAAAGTGCTTCAACCAAGAATGACGTAGGTAGTGATTCACAGAACCACGAGGTGCTTTTGGCCTCGGTTATTGCTGTTGGCGATGAGTTTCTGTAAGTCACTAATTCTTATTATAAGGCTCTTTACTGGTAATTATTGATGTTAACAAACCAATGTGCTATATATATGACAATGTAGTTAGGCCAACGACACGTATTGCTTATTCTACTAGGTGCAATGAAATTCTTCCAACCCATTTATCTGTTCCATAGCTCAGGTCTGGCACTGTTGAAGATCAATTAGGACTGTCTCTGTGTAAAAAGCTGACTTCTGTTGGATGGTCGGTGCAACAAACGTCTGTACTTCGGAATGATGTGAGTGAGATATACTCATTGTTCTTTGTAAGCATCAACCGGAGGAAGTAATTTGTTTCTTTATCTCTATTAACGCTTCACTGTGTTTCTTTAATCAGATAGATTCTGTATCCGAGGAAGTAGACCGCCAAAGGTCTATCTGTGATATGGTAAGTCCGTTAAACAGATGAGCATAAAATCAAAGAGAGGTTTTGTCTTGGTAAAATATAACTGAGATTTCCTGTGATTGATGCTTTTGGAGGTATTTATCTATGGAGGAGTTGGTCCTTTGCACTCAGATGTTACTCTTGCTGGTGTTGCTAAGGCATTTGGGGTTCGCCTGGTATGTGTCTCTTTCAGTTTAAAACAGCCTCATGGTTAAGATAGTTAGATAAATGCCATAACATCTCAATGCATCTGAATATCAATAGGTGAAACTAATCACCACTCAATTGTAATGTAAGAAGCTAATAAAGTCGTTTATTCTCAGGCACCTGATGAAGAGTTTGAGGAATACCTTAGGCATCTTATCAGCGAGCAGTGCACAGGTGACAGGAATGAAGTGAGTTCGAACAACCTTTTTGATGGGTTTATCCATAATTGTTGTTGCGTGTATGGTTTCTCACCAAGTTGATTGCTTCGTCATTTCAGATGGCTCAGTTACCGGAAGGAATTACCGAACTACTGCATCATGAAAAGCTTTCGGTACCATTGGTAAGTGCTCTCAGAAGTCAGAACTCTACTCCAATTTCAAAAATTTCAGTATCCTCCTTCCATACTCATTCGATCACTTTTTGTTAGATCAAGTGCCGCAATGTGATTGTTCTTGCTGCTACAAACCCTGAGGAGCTGGAGAAGGAGTGGGATTGTCTGACGGAGCTAACTAAATTGGGTGGAAGTACATCACTCATGGAGCTATACGCGTCAAGGCGCTTGATGACATCCTTGACAGATGTATGTTTCACTTTCCATTCCACCTTTTTATCTTATTTTTACGCCACGGCTTTGCTTACTTCATTCCTTTTCATGCAAGAATTTTTGTTTTCGGGATGAGTGACTTTGGAATTGGGTTTTTTCTTGAAATGCAGGTTGAAGTTGCAGAACCTCTGTCCAAACTTGGTCTCGAGTTCCCAGACATATATATTGGTATAAAATCTTTGACCTGTCTAATATTATTGAACTTTTCTGAGCATCTAAAGTCTCTGTCTTAACCACAATCTTCTTCTCAGGGTGTTACCGGAAATCCAGACAAGGTCCTATCATCATCTGCTTGAAGGGAAAGGTACAAAACACAAACAGATCTGGTTTCATTTCTTTCCTCTTTTCTGAGGCTTTCCTCATATTTGTTTTGTTCTGCAGGATAATGCACGGATTGACTTAGCCGTACAGGCTCTATGCAAGAAATTCAAGCAAGGTGCATTCGTAGACATGAAGACAGATACAAGTTTAGTTACCGGTCGAGCTTGAGAGGCGGCTTAAATGGCACTTGAGTGGTCTCTATGAACCGGTCACAGACGCTGAATGGAAGTAATCTCGAGATAATAGGATCAGAGTTTAACACTTTTGAATCAGTTACTGTGGCAAACAAAAAAATCGAAACCTTTAAACTGAATCGTCTTATCAACTTTAAATTTAAGGAATTTGTAGGGAAGTAGCCCAAAAGAGATGCTTTTTTAAAGAATGATGATGATGCTTATTTTCCATTCTAAGAGACTTGATTCAGAAATTTGATCCTGATTCTGTTTGATTATAAAGGCACAAATCAATTACATGAAACTGTAATTTTGTACAGATACCCCTAAGCCCTAAGAAGAGACCAAAACACCTTTATACATGAGATCATCGGAGTTGTTGATAACATAAACATGCTCTGCTCCTTTCTCTGCTTAAGCTGATGTCTATCATCTGCGAGGCTCTTGATTGAATTTTTAACTCTAAAACAGTAAAAGCAAGAGGATCATCTTTTGTCCACTTTGAGAATGTTGTTTGTGATGTGTCCTCTTGTGACCGAATCTCTTTGAGGATCCGTTATCCATTGATCGTCCACGATGAACTTTATCTCATATGTACCAGGATATAACCACAGTAATGTTGACCAGCATTTCTGTTTCCTGTAATAACACACCATACAATCTTAATATTGCTTCTACTCGTTAAAAGGTTAAAAAGTTAGAACGAGTCAGGAACCAATACTGACCCAGTTAACTTGGATGCGTCGAGCTCCAGTCCCACTCGGTGTTCCCAGCCATTAAAGCTGCCAGTCACCTCCACAACATTACCATCTCCACAGTATTCAATCTCAACCTGAAGAAACATAATTAGAGAATACGTATCTAGAACCAGAAAACGAAAATATATATCATCAACACCCATCAAATTCATGACATGCCATACATAAGCTCGTTTTAGAGAATCAAGTGATAAAAGTGTCATCTTTTATCTGCCTCGCTGTTGCTTATAAGGCTCATGGCTTTCAGTTATTCAATTAGGCTCTAAATCTGGGATTGTATCCATAGTCTAGATTGGTATATGACAATACGATAACTAAGAAACAGGTATAAATCAAAAGTAAAGCTACCTCTTGCAATCCTGAGAGACTCTCCTCAGCTTCTTGCAATTCAACATCCTTCTCTGAGACAAGCATTTGGGCCTTTTGGATCTCTGTTTCAGCCTTTCTTTGAAGAACCGACAGAGAGAGCTGAAACCAGAAAATTAGAGAATTAGGAACAGATGCAAGTATCAGCTTATGCAAGAATAAGAGACTACAGAAACATCAAGGAGAGGATCATCCAAGCATAAATATATCAATTGCCTATATATAGGCACAACAAGTAACATATTCAGAATTCAGCTACATCTCAAGAATAGTAGCTTACCTTTTCCTTTTCAATCTGCTCTTTTAACCTTGAAAGCTCCAGCTCTTTTTGACGCTAATCATGAAATAAATTATCTAACAAAGTTAGTTTGTAAAATTCACTTTATCTGGTCCACATATTGAGAGAAAGCAATCATTGTACCAGCATGAACCTCAGCCGAGTAATTTCAACCTGATTTTCCCGTTTCATGGTCTGTATCATTTCACAACAAGGTAACTATAAGCATGGATACGAAAAACAGGTTTATTCAATAACTTAAGACCAACTTGAGAGAGAGAGTTCAGTGATCAGTCAACACCTCATCATGTGAATCCTTGTCCATTTCAGCATTCCCATCCATCTGATTACTATTCCTGTCAATGAAATATCCAAGAGTACTTATGAAATGCAAATAGTGATCAAAAGCAACAGACTAGACACCTTCATGTATAAACTCACCTGTTAGAGCTACCAACTTGTGTAGCCTCCTCAAATGCTACGGCACTTCCATTTGGCGCCGTACTCACAGTTCTCTGAACACCATGACTGTACCCACCACCTTTGGTTGTTTCTACACTTTCTTTAGTTTCTTCAGGACAGCTTTCATCAGGTGTATCATTTATATAATCTGAAAGTGGTTTCATCTATTAGTCAAGACGTGCCATCATATCATATATATGCAATTAAGACAATTCAGTTCATATGAAATGGAACATACCATCAACTGTATCCAAGTATCCATTCTGAATAAATCTGGTTGTTTTTTCTTCTATGCTTGACATTGACGAAGCAAGTCCTAACATCCGATCCTTATCATCAGACTCAGCTATACTATCGTCAGCACTACCACAACGAATTTCAGCCGTATCATCAATCAGCTGATTCTGAAAATCCTCTGCATTTCCCATGGTGTTCTCTGAGGCGGAACCAGACAAGGATTCAGTAGCAATGTCAACATGTTTTGTGAGATTGAGATCTTGACTGGTGTAATGATCATAGGTAAGAGAGGAATCCTGGTCCACATCATTGGCATCCTTATCCTTTGTCACAGAAACATTCTCAGATTCTCTCTCTGAAAAGCTTGAAGTATCATCTAAAACCAGAGAATGGTTTTCAGACATCGAAGCTGCGGAAGATGAGGATTCAATGTCAGCTCTATCACTGAGCTCCATGCTCGAAACTTGAGCCAGTGAAGAGTCATCTTTACTCACACTTGCACATTCGTCAGCCTCGGGACTTGAATCCTGACTACAGTGTTCCATATCAGAGTTTGCAAGAAGCTCCCTGATGAACTTGTATCCTCTTCGTCTGACAATGTTGGCAAGATCAACTCTATAGCACAAACCATAACTAGATTAAGTCAGGATTTTCCAGAAGCAATCCCCTTAAGATCACATTATCACAAGACTTTTCTTGGTGAAACTATTCGACAAGCCTAGCAAGAATTCAACATGCAAATTTGGGAATCTGGAAAGGTGGAACCTTTCATGTGCACAGAGTTCCTTCATGGAGGGCACGTGACCTTGAGGAAGCCCAGCCGAAGCAACGAAATTCATAATCTCACTCCGAAGCTCCTCGTTGCTCTTCACTCTCTTACGAACTCTGCAAAATCAACCGAATTCACCAACACGAAAAACCGAAATTGACGCCCAAACTACGAATGCTATCTCCAAACATCGAACCTGGCTTGTTTGGTGGAACAAGCGAAACAGACGAAATCATTCTTCTTCGTCGGGTACTTCAAGTGGGAAACGAATAGAAGTTGCGGTTGCTGATGACGATGAAGATGATGGTGCAACATTGAATTCCGATTGTAAAATGAAGCCAAGGAGAAAAACAAAGTCGCCATGGCCGGACTCCCAAGCTTGCCAGCATTTACGAGTTACGACAGAGAAGAGAGAATTGTTAATTTCTGTGACCGAGAGTAATATTATTATCGGTTTGTATAAACCGGTTGGTTATCTGGTCCAATTGATTTCGGTAATTAACCGTAAACAGAAAAGCAAAAATTCAAAAATGCATGAAGATATTTTCGGAAAAGTGTGGGGACACGAACAAGGCAGGAGGCATTTATTATAGTGCTAGCGACTAGTGAGGGTTGGGTTTTCACTTTTAGAACTTTTAAGGTTTTGGTTCTAGGGTTTTCAAGTTCATTGCGACGACAATGTCTCAGCTTTTGGTTCGAATCGCTAAGCTCTCACCACCCGGGAAGAAGCAGGGACTCTGTTTCACTGGAATGCGGTCCTTGACCACGGCGGCGACGCCGTATATGCTGCTTAAGGAGTCCAATCTCAGGGAAACATCTGGTAACGGAGCGGTGGTGGACTTGAACTGGTACGATCCGAGGAAAGACGAAACAGTGCAGATCCCCGACCAGACTCTGCCGGAGGAGTTCCTAAATACGATGAAGGCAGGATCTTCGAGGGGATGGGTGGGTGTGAAGAAGAGTCACGACTCCGCAATGTGTCTCACAAACATGTTCAACCCTTCTGCCTCTGTTTCTTCACGCAAGGTTATCTCTCTCCCTCCATGGAATGATAGCAGAGATGGATTAGTTTCTAGGATCTCTCTGTCAGCCCCTCCAGACCAGCAAGACTGTGTAGTGGCCGCGAGGACGCCTAGTTCATCTTTCAGTGTGTGTCGGCCTGGTGACTCGGAGTGGACACATGTCCCTGTCCCGGTTTTTTTAACGAGTATGACGTATTCGGAGACAGACCAGAAATTCTATCTCCACATGGGCACGAGAAAGAAAGAGTATGAGGGTCCAATCGATCTCATCGACACGACTAGCTCCGGCTTCCCTCAGATGAGTTTGTCCCAGAGATTCCCTTTGTCTGGCATCCCCAGGATCAGACAAGAGGAGCTTATCTCATCCTCCAAGCCTCCATACCAGGTCGAGTCTCCTTCTGGCGACTCCTTCATCGTTTACAGGTAATTCATCATCAGCCCTCTCTTCTCTTCTCTTCTACACCTTACTTTTAGGACAAGCTAGCTAGCGTTGTTGCAGAAACATTGTGTAAGAATGTTAAGTAGAGTGTGTGAGACGAGTCTGTGTGTGCTTGTTCCGTTATGTGTTGTGCATTGCCTTGCGTTGACTATACAGCTTAAGGACAGGCGGTTGTCGCGGAAACATAATGTAATTAGGCAAAGAATGTTAACAAGAGTGTGAGACCAAGTCTTGTGTCCTGTGCTCACCTTTATTTGTGCACTGATAACCTTGTTTTTGCTGCCTCTTGCCTTGAAGGAGTGACGAGTTGTTGAACATAGACGGCATGGAGTCTACACGCAACAAGGAACCTTCTTTTAATAGACTTGGCTGCATATCGAAGCCGAAGGGCTTTATGGTGTTTAGGCAAGACCCTGAGCAGAGGATCGCTTCTTACACTGCAGACATTGGCGATCTCTGCATCTTCCTAGGCAGGAACGAGTCCTTCTGCGTCTCTGCAACCGAGTATCCCGGACTCAACCCTAACTCTGTCTACTACACAGGGGTCGACATGGGTTCCGGTTTCTACGACCTTTCCTCCAACACTCTCCACGCCCTCCCTTAATCGCTCCCCTCCTCCTTCATCTGGCTTGCCCCTCTCCAGTGAATGTATCAGCTTTGTTTCTCGGCTTTATTTAGCAAACTCTTGTAGCTTAACTTAAGTGATGTAATCACTAGTTTTCGGTTGGCAGCTTTGTTCCTCGGCTGTATTTAGCAAACTTCTGTAGCTTAACTTAAGTGATGTAATGCAACTGGTTAAGAAACTTCAAAATCACTAGTTTTCGGTTGAACAAAACCAACGAACGATGATTAATCCAATTTTGCAATATCTAACTGCTTAGTCCCAAAGTTACGCCATACAAAAGAAAATCTAACCAAAATAATCTTCCCTACGGCAATGATTCTTCCTTTGAAAAAAAGAGAAATAACAGTAGTTATCTTCTTAAGACTACTTTACAGTTTTACACTAATTTTACAAAGACTTTTGAGCTTCGCGCTGTGTTTCACTTCTCCGGCTTCACGCTTGACTTTATGACACCCGAGAGAGGCGGTGATGTCACTGGAGCAGTATCCGCGGCGGAAGCAGGAACGTCGTTGTTAGTCACAGGCGTAGGAATGATTTGCGGCTGCTGATGTTGTGGTGGTTGAGGATGAGACTGTGGCGGCGCTCGATCGGTGTTAGCGCCTTCCTTGTTGTTTTCCGGCACAGCGTTGCGAGACGTATCATGGCTGTTGTTGTTGCTGCGACCGTTGTTCAATGGTGGCTGATCGCAAAACTTCATCGTCTTGAGGACAAAATTGTCGTCGTGGAGCTCGAATGGAGTGCTGCAAAAATATATTGAAAAGAGATGCGTCATGTAAAGTCTGAGTATTATGGAGGACATTTGGCTTAAAAGCAAAGATCAAATACTTTATTTTTAGTTCTTCTACCTGTTGAAATCGAAATGGACAAGCTGCATATCTTCTGATATTTCAACTTCTACTGTCGCATGAGGACGAGTCTGGTGCAGCAGAAACAACAATAATCAGACAATGAACTAAACACAAGAACAAGATGATATTGGTTTGCTTGTGGATCGTGAACAAGCTTTGGCAAAGTTTACCTGGACGAGGATAAACGGAAGAGAAACACCGCCACTAGGAGCATTTCCAGAGCTATATAAGTGTTCGTTTCTCTGTATCAGATTCTGAAGGCCTACATACTTTACGGAAAAGAAAAGAAAGAGGAGCCATGTGAGAATCTTTAATGGTAAGAGGAAACGGAAGATGAAAGCAAATATCATTACTTGTTCTTCCAGTTCTTGGCAATATGCAGTTTTCTTTTCAATCCTGCTCCTAAGTGAGACTCGTTCAGCCTGTAAACATTAATAAACTTGCACTCAGGAACAATTTTCTAAAAAACGAGCTTTGGAACATGGGCAAACACAGAAAGCTGGGGTTGAAAAACCTTTAATTCTTCAATGTCGCTTAAGCTAGTCCGAGGAAGACCTCTCCATTGGATCTCTTTTTTATCCTTGGATATTATATCCATAGCCATGAGGACGTTTAAAGCATCATAAACTCTTCTTCTTATGTTCTTCTCATCGTACTGTTGCTGTTTTAAAAAGGAATTCCAGATTATGTAATTCTGAAGCGCATAGATTCATAGATTTACAGCAGTATCAAGGATTGGCATACCTGATCCGGGGATGTTTCATCGTTATTTGGGAGTGCAAATTCAGCAACAAGCTCGTCCGCAACCTGAAAGTAGTTTCACAAGTTAGCTACACGTTTGCAATACTTGTCACTAGCCAAATTGTGAAGCTGCGGAAACTAGAGTACCTCGTTGTAAGTTGTTCTTCCTTTGCTTTCGACCTTTTCACAAACTGAGAGAGAGAGAGCCCAAAGAAGAAAAGATGAGTTAACAAAAAGAAGGATGCATCATCATCCACAAGTCATAGCTATGAAAAACTTTAGGGTTAGACCTTTCATGCTAAACTGACGTAGCCCTCTTCCATTTTTATCTGGACCAGTCGCACGTTGTCCCCTCTTCTTCTTCTTACCACTGTGTTAACAGTACACAAAATAAAGACATTAGCCTATGACAATGGCAAAGATAAGTATTCAAAGAAGCAGATTCGCTAAAAATCAAGCAAGCTCATAAAAAGTATGATCCACAGTTTCATACACTCATTAAGTCATTATGCCAAACAAACATTCACAAGGGGGTTAAGCTCATAAGAGCCCTAAACTGTGAAAAATTGAGCAATTGACATACCCGGAAGCTCCTTGAGAGGCAGCGTCGTCACCCTGAATGTCGAGATTGTTGAGGCGGATGAAGGCAGTGTCGCTAGCAGACGTAGCCACGGTGATGGTTTGCTCGCTCCGGCTCGACGGAGAGCCCATACTGCCGCTAGTGGAAACCGATTGACCTGAAACAGCCGTGCCCCAAGACCTCGTACTAGGGTTGTTGTTGTTCTTTACGGAGCCATCGTCGTGGTGGTTGTGATTAGAATTAGACCCAGTCGTTGTCATTCTTCTTAGCCTAACTAACTACCGCACAATCCGCTACTGGAATAATACAACAAACCCCCGAGAAATTCGTTAACAATTGAGCCGGAGAATATTCGATTTTGAGGAAAACGGAAAACCGAGTTGATTTACTCACCTTAAGTGGAGGAACAGAGGCTTTCAGTAATGGCGGTTGGCGGATTCCAATCGGAGAAAAGCTCCTCTAGATTCCTAATTTGATACTTCTCTGAAACAAATTCAAAAGAAAATTGGATTTCGACGGAGGAGGAGGAGTCGATCTGAGAAGAGTGATGGTGGTATGTGTCGGTTTTGGATTCGGAATTGAGAGGGTCTTTTTTTGGTTTGTCCGATTATATGAAGAGAGAAGCAAAGAAGGAGATGTCCTCAATGAGGGACCAAACTGACTCGTAGGTAAAAAAGCAGTAAAGAGGATTATAATTTTCTTTCTTTGTTTATTTACCAAAAGATAATTTCTAGGTCTTTTGTTAAGAAAATTAAATGCTACAATTATCTTCTTCTTCTTTTTAAGCTTGAGATATGATGTGTAATCACACTAATTTAAGTGTTGAATACAAAAATTCAGTCGATTGTTTTCTTCTTAATGGGATTAAGTTTGAGCAGAATTTTTCTTTTTAACGAGTCAAAATAATCGATTTAGTTAATCCACTAAAATTGGAGATAAAGATGTGTGAGAAGGGTAAGGTTCACGAAAGGCACATAACGTGGTCATTTCTCCTTCTAACCCATCAATTTTCAGTTGAAAATAACATTGAAAAAATCAATTTACAAAATCAAGAAATCAATACAGAAATCAATTTACCTGAGAGATTGAAAGATAAAGAAAGGTATATCCATCTAATGTTAAGTTCGAGTCTTCTGCAAATATCCTCATGCAATCTACAGCAGCCCTATCCTGAAAACAAATCACGGGAAGGGATTATGAAAACACCAATTAGTGAAATATGATTAAAAAAAACAAAAACAAATACTCACAATATCAATATCTTCTATTTCTTTGTCACATCTCAAAATATCGGCGTCAAAGGTTCCTATACGCACGCATATCCTGGCAGAACGCATGTGGTGAAGAAGAACATTGTGGATCTATAGCAAGAAGGACAAGTAGCGGTGAACGTCATGTTCCTCCTCTCATAGACAAGCCGGCAACGGGGCAACGGGGAAGGTCATCATCATTGGGGCCAGGACAAAATTTATACTTCACAACAACAAAATAACAAGAAACCATTAATAGAAGAAACATGAAAGCCAAAAAAAAATATAACAAAATCCAGATAATGAGAAACAAACCATGTATAAACATCTCTGATGTCTTCATTGAGGGGATGAAGAGGATGATTGGTTCAAACAGCCAGGATTCAACTGCTCCACAGGAGGAGCACAGATGATGCACTTTCCCACTGATTCCTTCTTTGGAAAGACTTTGAAAGAAGAGTAAAGAAGATTATAATTTTCTTTCTTTGTTTATTTACCAAAAGATAAAGATTTCTAGGCCTTTTGTTAAGAAAATTAAATGCTACAGTTATCTTCTTCTTCTTTTCTTTTGCAAAATACTACTTCAGTAAGCTTGAGATATGATGTGTAATTACACTAATTTAAGTGTTGAATACAAAAATTCAGTTGATTGTTTTCTTCTTAATGGGATTAAGTAAAATTTCGAGTTATTTGAAAGTTCTTTATTGGAGAATTGTTTTCTTTTTAATGAGTTAAAATAATCCTCTAAAATTGGAGATAAAGATGTGTGAGAACTGAGAAGGAAGCTTAAGGTTCACGAAAGGCACATAACGTGGTCATTTTCTTCTTCTACCTTTTTCAATCAAAAGAAACAAGAAAGGAAGATCACATGCGATCTAAGACTGTAAAACATTGTGGTTATAGAAATTTAACTTCATTCAGGTAAAGAAAGTTTTGAAACGCTTAACCGCGTTGTCTATCCTCTTCGAAAATGGCCCATTGAATAAACTTGATGACATGAAAAACAAATCCTGACCTCGTGTGTTACTGTTAGTATATGTGAATCATGTGATTAATAGAATGTATGTATCACACATCTTCGTAACTTTATATATTTAATATGTGTACATATATATATATGTGCAGAAAAAATGAACATTTGGGAAAATGAAAAATCGGAGGAGTACATATGAAGATGGCCAGATGGGGTAGGGTTTTGTTAGCCGCGTGTGTGTTTTAACTTTTAAGAATGTATCAGATGTTGGGACGAGAATCTCCAAGCTCTCTCGGGATCGTGGCCTCTGTTTGAGGAGGCAGAGGCAGGTTCAGTTTCAGCTGTTCTCGAATTCGGCGACGCCGTATCTGCTGCTCCGCAACCACAACAACAACAAGGACTCTATAAAGAGGCTGGTGATGAGCATTGATCTGTTCGATCCGAGGAAGCAAGAGACGGTTAAGATCTCGGAGCAGAGGGTGTCGAAGGAGGTGCATGAGTCGGTGTCCATAGCATCGACTAAAAGGATGGGTGTGCCTGAAGAACATGCGCGATTCCAGTTTACGACTAACCAATGTCTTCAACCTTGCCTCGTCCGTTGTATCCCTGCCTCCTGTGGATGTCGACAGAGCTCAAGTTTTGCGTATCTGTCTCTCAGCCTCCCCAGACGAGGAAGGAGGAGACTGTGTGGTGCCATGGTGGCCGTCACTTTCTCTGCCTGTAGTATGCTCGGCCTATGTCGCCCTGGTGACTCGGAGTAGACATACATCAAGATGAAGAAGCCCGAGTCAATCCCCGTTTCAAATGTCTTGTTTTCTGTCATAGACAAGAGTATACATGCAAACTTGAACAACTTTTGTTGGAACAAGTTTTCTAAGTAAACTAATATTCCCTTCAATCTTGTGGTTGAAATGGCTATTGGTGCGACTGTTCCAGTAACAACCAAGTATTAGTAGTTTTGTATGAAGCCGTTTCAGAAAACTATTTTGGTTCCCATGTAAAGCTAAGAGAAGCTGCAAATGAAATTATATGAAAGTAGATCCAACCAACACATATTTACTACAAGGTATAGTGCATAAAGTACATTGGAAGGAGAAGAAGAAGACTTATTAGACCAAAACCATAATTAAAATTTAGTGATAGATTATCCTAAAGTTATCCAAAAAGACATAGATATGTTTACAAATTAAAGTTGCTTAAAGATCTTTGTTCATTTTAGGGGGAGTTCAAGCTGAAATTTTTTTTAGCAAGTTTGACCCTACTCGCAAGTCAAAGTCAAAGTGTCAAACTGAATGGGCCGGGGACAAATTTCTTCATTCTCGATCATCTCAGGTAAATAAATAAAGTTTTAAAAGCCGTCATTTCTTAAACGGCGTCGTTTATCCTCCTCGAAAAGTGCCTTGTTCATTTAATGATGAGTCCAACTCGACGGAATAAAAAACTAACACGCCTACTAATCCTGACCTCGTGTTATATCATACACTTACGTGATTAATATATTTATTTATATATACACACCATCATCATAAAGTTTATATCATCATCATCATCATCGACACATACTACTGTATACATCATCATCAAACCAGACACGGTCTATATATATTCTTCCCCTTGCCCTTTTTCTTTCTCTTCAGAACGAAATATTCTCTCGGTTAATTATCCAAAGAGTATATTCAAAAAATTCTTCCATAAAAGGAACAATCAAATCCTGATTCTATCTTACTACGATGGGTGAGGTCAGTTACTCTTCTTCTTCCCCTCTCTCTCTCTATCTGTATTTCACAATTCTAATCCCTCTCGATCTCAATTCCATTTTCTCTTTGATCTATGACTTTTGCAGAAAAAGGAAGAAACGGCGACGAAACCTCAAGGAGAGAAGAAGCCCGTCGACGCAAAAAAGGGAGATGGTGGCGGCATCATCACCGTCGTCATGAAGCTTGATATGCATTGCGAAGGTTGCGGGAAGAAAATCAAACGGCTCTTAAAACATCACAAAGGTATGATCCTCAAAGTTTAAATTCTGAAATCGATAGTCTCGATCCAATTCGTTTGGGATCAAAACCCTAACTCGAATTCTCTGTTTTTTATATATAATTCAGGCGTGGAAGATGTGAATATTGATTATGCGGCCAACAAATTGACGGTGATCGGAAACGTAGATCCAGCGGCAGTTCGGGATAAAGTCGCCGAGAGGATTAAGAGAAAGGTCGAACTCGTCTCTACAGTGGCGCCGAAGAAGGAAGCTCCTCCTCCTTCAGGCGGTGAGAAGAAGCCGGCAGATGAGAAACCAGCGGAGAAGAAGCCTGCCGCCGATGAGAAATCCGGCGAGAAAAAGGAGGAGAAGAAGAAAGAGGAAGGAGAGAAGAAAGCTCCTCCTGCTCCTGCCCCACCAAAAGAGGTCATTTCTCTATCTGTGATTAATTTATTTTCTCTTTTAATAAAGTTTCTATGAAAAAAACAAATTTAAAAAGGAGAAACCCTCTTTTATGTCACAGAAAAAACAATTTTAAAAGTCAGATAGCGAAAGAGCATAGAATAATAATTTAAGTTTCATACGTCAGTCCATTTGTTTGTGGTCTGTAACGTGTGTGCACTTCAAAACTTTACGGTATTTACACTCGTTCATATCCAAATCCACTTGACCAACAAAAAATAATAAAAATGACTATTTCTTTAATTACAAATTAATAAGTTGATTAGAGATTGATTCTGATATAATTTTTCTTTGATGTGATGCAGAGTACGGTGGTTCTGAAGACGAAATTACATTGCGAAGGTTGCGAACACAAAATCAAAAGAATAGTCAACAAAATTAAGGGTGAGTTTTTTTATTATGATCCTTAATCATCCATTTTGAAACGTTCTTAGTATCATAAAATATTTTGATATTGTTGGTGATGGAAGATAACGGAAGCAACAAATGATTAAAATATTCTTAAAAATTAGGTTGAACTACCTATACGTAGCTTCTCAGTTTATTATTTTAGTGAAATAAAATCAAAAAGGTTAGCTACGAAGTGGTTAGGCTAATCTAATACTAAGCTAAGGGATTTTTTAATTAGTTGTAAAGTAATAATTAATAAACGTTTGAATGTTTTAATTTACAGGGGTTAATTCAGTTGCCATTGATAGCGCCAAGGATTTGGTGATAGTGAAGGGGATAATCGACGTGAAACAACTCACTCCTTATCTCAACGAGAAGCTTAAACGCACGGTTGAAGTAGTTCCGGAGAAAAAGGACGACGGAGCCGCCGTGAAGGCTCCGGTGGCAGCTCCCGAGAAGAAGGACAAGAGTGTCGGTGAAAAGAAAGAGAATAAAGACGTCGGAGAAAAGAAGGACGGTGGTGGCGAAAAGAAGAAAGAAGTTGCCGCTCCCGCAGTAGGAGGAGGAGGAGACGGTGGTGCTACGGTGGATGTGAAGAAGTCGGAGTATAACGGTTACGGTTATCCTCCGCAGCCGATGTATTACTACCCACCAGGACAAGCGTACGGTCAACAACATTACATGATGCAAGGTCAATCATCACAATCGTACGTACAAGAACCGTATACGAGCCAAGGATACGTACAAGAATCGTATGCGAATCAAGGATACGGCCAAGGGTATGGACAAGAAGCAGCAGCACAAACACCGTACATGAACCACCAAGGCTATGCAGATCCTTATGCTCATATGCGTGCGCCTGAGATGTTTAGCGATGAGAATCCAAATGGTTGTTCTGTTATGTGAGTGAAACGAGAGGGGAGGAAACTGTAAATAAGTAAGATATGTAGGGAGAGAAGGGTAAATATTTACCAAATTGTAATACTGAGAAAAAACACGGAAACTTCCGAGTCCGGTAATCTAAACCGGTTAGATTGGCCGGTTTGAACCGGTTTTTGAGAGGCGTGGGTCGGGTTTATTTGTTGGTTGGTTTACTCTTATCTATAAGATACAGTATAATTTTGTTTCATGGGATTGGATCTTTCCTCTTCTGTCTTAAATGTATTAACTATTTTGTCTTGTGTAATATACAAGTAATCGACTAATCGAAATGGAAAATTATCTTTGCTTTTTAGAACTCTTTTTTCTTCCAAGAAAATCATCTTTCTAAATGGAAATGGTCTATGCCGAATTACAAAAGATAATTTAAAATGCTCCTAAGATTTTAAACTTGTATATATATGTATGAAGTGAACATGATAGTCATATACGTGCGTATATTGATGATCTGATATTATCTACTCGTGGTTTGTTACAAATCTAAAACCAACCGACGAAAATGGAGAGTCTAGTAGGAGGCGGTTTACAGCATTTCAAATTAAATATCACAATGGGAAAAGAATAGTTCATTTCATATTTGGTATAGTTTGCTTAATTCGGATAGGTGGTATTTTAATGCAACGTCTACAACATTTTTAGATGGAAATGACATAACCCAATATATTATGTTTATTAACTAACTTTGTATCATAAGATTTTATGTATATTTGTATCGTAGGATAACCTATATATAGCTTTTGTATGTAATATGTAATATTCAAGTGATCGTAATGAAGAAATTATCTTCGCTTTTGTGAGTTGATATTTTGGTATTATCTACTCGTATCTTGTTTCAAAGCTTTAAATTTGTAAGGATGAAAGCTATGTATATCCAATATCAGCAACACAACCGACAAAACATAGAGTCGTATAGGAGGCGGTAACTGCATTTCAAATCAAATATCGCATCGGGAGAATAATAGTTCATTTCATATTGATCTTTGCCTCTTTGGTTCCAGTATAAGTGTTTGTATCGCAATGTTCATAGTAATATTTAAGACAAAAATGACATAACGTTATATTTCCAAACCGCTCTTGATTGGCCTGTTTTCGTGCTTCTCGTGGTGCGTTACTTACTTACTTAAGCCAATAGTTTGATAAAACCTCCATCTCAAATGACATGTTTAGGAACAACGTCAGCATTTACGAACAGTTGATCAATCTCTTATTTTTAAGAAACCCTATTAGAGTAAAGGGTTAAAAGTTGAACATTTAAAGTTCATCTTTAGTTTATTAATAATTGTATGTAATTATCTTAGATTCCAGAAGTTTTTCTACTTCTGGGGTTCATAATATATAGCTTTTCGTTTACCATAAAGGGTAACACTGTAATGGTTAACACATAATAAAGCACATACAACTTGCATGAAAAAAGAGTATATATAAGTAGGAAATATGTGTATATGCATGCATGTATAAATGATTGTATTGATTGGGAACAAATATTGACTCGTTGGTTTAATAAGAGGCCAAAAAGAAAAGACGATGGAGACGTTATTTATGAATGTTAGGTATGAAAGAAGTTATGAAGTTGAATTAGTTAATAACATTAATCATAATTTACTGGTCAAGTAGCTAGATGTATTAATATATTTTCATCATATCAGGAAAAATTGTGCTAGAGTTAAAACTGTCTTCATCGGACATGATCATCAAAACCTTGCGAGTGGTCAGAATTGCCAAGGGACAAATAACTATTAGCATTCTCCAATAGATACATTTATATTCAGAGAGTGATATAATAACTAAACGTTTTCTGTCTCAGTCGAGTGTTTTAGACAAACTATTTAAATGTTTGAGTTAAACCAGTCTTGTGTATATTTTTACTGGAAAACAAATCTATACGTGCTCCTAGGTAGGTGTGACTTATATATCTGGGTGATGATAGTGATGATGAATGATAATATAATACAACGAATTATTGTGTTCACTGTATAATGCTTGTTGTAGAATAGGAATAGCCATTGATCGATAAATAAAACTGTATTTATTATACGAAAATTTACTGTTATTTAATTTGCTAAACAACCCTCGTTCGAGAATGGTCTTGAGTCTTCCAGCGTTGCACTTGCATGACCAGAAATGATAAACCTTTTAATAACTAACCAATGAAATCTTGTTGGTCCCTTCGTGAATAAAATTGTTGGTTCCTTTCACACTCATCCAAAGTCCAAACTTAGTGGAGGCAGATTAAGCTAAATCTACTTTTAACCCTTTCTTCTACTGGTCAATTTCCTACATCTTTATATTAAAAAATCCAAAACTGTGGGTATTCTGGATTAAAAACCAGATAAAAGAGATTACTTATCAGGCATATCAGCTATGACATGAACAACACAACATAATTAACCACACAATAAAAATAGTACTTATAATAACAGCCACATGATTAATTAATGTGGGATTAAAGATTATGTGAGTGAGTAGTTATTTGGACGGACCGACGCATGATCACGTTTACGTGTGTGTTCTGATCTTTATTTTTATAATGTAACAAAAATTGAAAAAATTGAGAAAGGGTTTTTATAATTTAATTAATGCCAAAAATGATTATAAGATAGGAAGATTCATGCTGTTTCATACATCAGAATGACATACATTTTGTATTTTTGCCTCCTTAAATATAATGTTATCTTAATTTTTTTATAGATACCATACACTTAAAAAAATAGAAAATGTTGTTCCCTTGTCGCTGTCATATGCAACAAAATCGCAAAAGGACAATTTGATTAAGGCAAATAAATAAAATCCGAAGCTGTGCATAGGAGAATATTCGAATATATATAATTTTAGTGTTTGTTTACCAAATAAAAAAGGAACCATGAACTCATAAAAAATAAACCAAACTAACTGCACAATATCTCTGATTTGATTGATGAAGAAAAATTTTTTGGCAGAAAATCATATAAAAACAGATAACAGAAATAAGAACTCGAAAATCTCTCTGTACAGAAGAATTCTATGTGAGCTCCACCAAAAACTAACAAATGAGCATAATATTAAATCTCCTCCAAATCATTTGCTGATGCGAAACAGCGAAAACCTAATCCAGTACTAATAGATTATACAATAGTAAAACTATTATTGCAATTTAATAAAGAAGATCCGTCGTCACTCGTCAGCGACATAATAGAAAAATGTAGAATATGGTGGCATCATGACGAAGAGAGTAAGGTGAGACCATGAACTACTTTGCCACCGTGTTTCTGACTCAGCTTTGAATGTGACATACAATCATCACTTTTTGTTACTTTGCGATTACCTTTTTATGTTTGTACACCAATACTTACTTACTTTACTAATTCAATTTACAGAAAAAAAAAGATGATTCTAGTTAACATATTTTGACTCCGAATGGAGAAAGCGAATCAAGCGTTGCGGATCAAGCGGATTGAGCGGAACTAATGCGGTTCTAGCGTATCAAGCGGATCAAGCGGTACAAATGCAAATCAAGTGGATCTAACGGTTCAAAAAGTATGTTCAAATGGAAAAAGAGTATATAAAGCGGTCCAAAATACTGTACATATTTATAATAATTTTTTTTGGTAAAAATATTGTAATAATTTATATGACATATAATGTTATTTTTTATTTTGTATAACTAAAACTATTAAAATTAAATAATTTTATAAACTTAAATATATAAAACATAAATATACACATAATTACTGTTAAAACATTTAAAATATAATTTAATTTAGCATCATCACTATAGTTGATACAAGAAAAATATAATATCAGTTTTTAATTTTTACTGTATTATAAGTTTTGTACATGTTACAAATCATTATTATACATTATATATGTTTTTTAATTACTATTTAAAAAATAAAATAAATGGGACACTTGTGAAAGTAGAGGAACCACTCCTCTTTACCCATGTTTCGTTGATCCACAAGCGGTACTTGTATTTGAGCTCTTTTTATCCACTTGTGATCCAAATATTTAAATATTCAATATTTAGTCTAGAACTGCAGATTAAGTTACAACATGTTGAATGGAAAAATAATATGCGGTTCATTCACATAGAGTTTCCTCCGTCATTTAACTGCTCTCCATTCAAAGCCTTTGTAGACGCCCTAATTAATCAGTATGGCAACTGAGTAGATGCCGGTCCAAAATTCTACACTGATAAATACATGTGGATGTGGGCATAACTTTGTTATGATGACCATATGGAATGTGAGCATGAATCATGGATCATAATTCATAATGATGGTGATCATGATGCATGATTAATGTCGATAAATTAAGTGGGCCCGCATACGTCAGGTCCACATGGCAATTTTGTCTCGGTTTGGATTACACGGCACGAGTCTCCCCCACCGGTGGACCCCACTTATACAGCTGGAATATTAAATTGCGAAAATAGAAAGGTCAGAAAAATAAGAGGACTCGATCGCTACATGTATATTCCTTTCCTATATTTGCTTATTTTTTTCTTGGGGAGCAAATTCCGATATTTGCTCTGATATGTTTTTTATACAAAAATTTGGGATAAATTTGCACTGATTTGTTTTATATCCTCTATTATCCATTTGTATTTTGTTTCTTTCTTAAAAGGAAAATCTGAATTCAAATAACTGATATGGACGTTAAAGATCTATTTTGTTCACGTAGCTCTTAATGTTTTATGGAATTTGGGGAAAAAAAAAAACTAAAACTGAGGTAAGGAAATTCAAGGCCAAAACTGAATTTTATAAGGAAATATTAACAACTTGTATAAAATTTCAAAGCAATTTGAATATTAGAAGGAAACTCTGACTTGTTCAAAATTACTTGGTCGCGCAGCCACACGTGCAACCATGTTTCCACCATGTTTCGTTTATTTGTGTTTGGTTAAATGGAAGCAATTTATGACTAAATACGTCTTATCCATTAATAATCTCTCTTAGTTGACAAAAAAAAATTACGATTAATGCCAGTTGGACTAAAGCAAACACACAACGGAATCGCTCTTCTTTTTCTGGAGGGATGAACAATGAGAGTCCTCTCTTATACGAGAAAGCCATTATAGTCCAATAAACGTTCATTTGAAGTTTGACCATTTACCAGGAAAATATGAAATTAATTTGACCATTCCATTTGCTTTTGTTTTGTTTTTATACATTGTCAAACAATTTGAACTTCACTTATTAAATGCTAGACTGACTTTGATTTAGTGTGATCAAGACTACTTGAGCCATCAGTGTTTTGGACTTTGTAATAAAAGTTTGATTTTTAATGAGTTTGGATCTAATCATCTGTTCTTATAAGAAAACGAGGGTATGGGCCGACATTCGTGAGTTTTGACTTTTGAGTGGAATTCATTCTCGTGGGCCGTTATCTTGATTAGCGTTTGTTCTTTTTGTTGATTATTGATCAGACCGAACCGGATTATTAGACATAACCGGAATCGTGAAGGAAACAACCCAAACGAATGTCCAACGGAGAAATCAAGATGCTCCAATGGCCTTGAACGTCGGAAACCGAATCAGATTCCTGAGTTTCGTGAAGCTTCCACGCATCCCTGCTTCACTATTGAGAACCCACAATCATAGTAGCCTCTCCGCTCTCCTTCACCATCGAAATCCTCCTGATATTCCGTTTCGTCGCCGTTGCATCTCCGTCGTTCATCGTCGCTCTCCTTCTCTTCTTTGGCTTCGATCATCTCCTCCTCTGTCCTCCATGACCACTCAGGCTGAATCTGGAGCTCCCCAGCAATCGGATTCTTCCAAAACGGTGACTCCTCCTCTTCCTTGGCTTTTTGAACACAAGTTGAGATTTTGTTTGGTTTGTTTCATTGTGTTTAGGCCTCAAAGGTACTGTTTGATTCCGGTTAACATTAGTGTTTTCCTCTTTTAACAAGTTTCGTATTAATGTCGCTTGATGATAGATTTTCATCTTTTGATTCTCTATACCATTTTAACAATCATTCGGGCGAAATTGTTCTTTGAAACAAATCGCCATCGCGTTTGGCCTTGCTGATTGCATAGATATCTAGTAAAATTTCATTTTAACGATCGTAGTGGTATGATAATATAGGAGTGAAGATTTGAGTGTTGGTGGTGCAGGTGAGGATGGTGATAAAGGGAAGAGTACAGGGAGTGTGCTACAGAAACTGGACTGTCGAGAATGCAGAGGAGCTCGGGATTAAGGGATGGGTCAGGAACCGCAGGGATGGTTCCGTGGAAGCGCTCTTCTCTGGTCCACCTGAATCTGTTGATGAGATGCATCAGAGGTGTCGCCGTGGCCCTCCTGCAGCCATGGTTACTGGATTGGAGGCTTTCCCTTCTACTGAAGAAGCAGGAACAAGTTTCGAATACAGATCAACCCTCTGATTTATTCTCGTTTAACAGAGACGAGAGAGAGGGTTCTTTGAGTGTTGTTGTGGATGTCTGGTGAACTTGTTAGAAGGCTAAATTTACCACACATGTCATGTCATGTAATGTGAATACACTAGTTATGCGTCACTGATCATTTTACAACTTGATATTTTAGTACAAAAGGAAAAAAGGAAAAAACTCGTTCAACAGTCACCCACTGATGCAAACAAAGCATAATATTTCTTTGAGTGAAACTTCCGTAGAAATAAATCGTACAAGTATTGGATCATATCAGTGTTTCTCTACCCCAGAAATATACAAAATCCAGAACAAAATATTAAGCCAGAAGATAGAAAAAATATTTTGTATGGACAACGTTTTTTACAGTAGGAGCATTTAGGTCGAGACATATGAATATTGTTGGGCAGAACACATACATTTCTACCGAAGTAGAACCATGATGAACCGGGCTTCATGTATAGGTCCACCCCAAGCATACATTCAATGTGTAGTGTGACGCAGCAGTATTCATCACACATATAAAACCGCTCCTTGGGATTGATTTTTCTTTCGCATAGCTCACACCAATATATCGTGGTACTTGTCTCCTCTCCATAAGAAAGAACTAGCATATGCTTATCATGCTTATACTTGAGCTTTTGAGGCAAAGTAGCACATTCGAAACATAAAGCAAAGTCGCATTCAATGCAGTTGAACGTTTCCTTGCAATGAATATATGAACATTTGCAAACCGAACACTTTCTTTGCTCTCCTGGTTTGGATGTTAGGAATAAAGGATGCGTATGGCTTTCATGGATTAATGGCTCAGAGATTGTGCCGCACTGTACATGTAGCATAAAACCACATCCTTCTGTACCGCACTGGTAAGAGAAACCAGCTCTGCACAACCAAGGACATGCTGAACATCTATCCTTACGATAGTCCATGACACCGTCATATCCTCCCATTAGAGTGAGGAGATGTGGATGTATTGGGTGGTGTATTTTGCGAGGACAATTCGCACATGCTTCATGAAGAATGAAATCACATTGAATACAAGAGTAGAAGTTACCGGAATAGATTGGGATATTGCATGCTTGACACTGCTTATTCTCGTCGTAATCATTGCATGCGTTGTCTTCAAGTCTGAGATGATGAGGTTGATGACTGAAATGCTGTATGACTCCATCGCTTATCTTCACAAATGGTTCAGCATATTCTTCTTCAACTTCTTCTGGCTCTCCCTCCAGTTCATGACCATCCCACACATTGCTCTGTGTGGCGCATCTTGAATGAGCGGCATACGAACAACCGTCTTTCATGCAAGAATAACCCCCATATTCCTTGTCCATCTTTCTCCGACAAACACCGCAAAACCAATCTCCTCGGTCAAAAGAAGGGGTAAAAGAGATACGATGGCGATGTCGAGAGATCCTTATCAGGCTTGGCAAGCTGAGACAACTTTTATGGGCCACAAAGTCACATGGGGAACACATATAGAAAGGGAAGCATGTGGAATCGGCCAATCCGCATAGGTTGCAAGTTAAGGAAGTCTTTCTTGGAAACAGAATGAGTAAATGCTCGTGCCACTTGGGATGGTGTATATATAAGACGGGTGGTGTCTCTGCACAAGCAAAATTAATTGCAAAATCACAAGCCGAGCAGTAATAAATTATCTCTACGAGATCTTCATCGCAACAGTAGCATTTCCTCGTTCCGTTAGACTGCTGCAACAAAACAAGCTGAAGAGAATGTTTTGGATGAAGAGTGTGTCTGATCTCAACGGGAGCCTGCTTATGTTCTTTATGGTTCTTGCCATTGCAGTTTTCGCAGCGAAAATGGGTATCGACTTCTCCTGAAAACCTGAATTCCTTCCCGTGGTAAGGGATACACCACCACTTGTTAGTGCTCAGCAACGGGACTTGTTCATCCACACAAACGTTTCCTTCTTCCAATCTTACTTGTGCCTGAGGACATAAGCAAATAACTGAATAAGCTTCTCCCACTCTGAAGACATAGAAACGACGAGGGAAAATATTTGATGGATGAGTGATATAAGCTCCGGCTCGGGATCGAGCTCCAATGTTTGAGTAAGGAGTTGCGTGAAATCCGTTTCCGGCTCGGGCGTCTGCTCCGAATCCGAATCTATAGAGTTGTTGAGGAGAGTCATTTTTGTCGAAATGAATGACATTAGCTCCAACACCGGCTTCGGCTGGGAATCGAAATCCATAGAGTTGAAGACAGAGATTGTTTGAGAAGTTAGTGACATGAGTTTCGACTCCGGCTTCGGCTGGGATTCCAAATCCATTGTGCTGACGAAACGTACTATTTCAACAATATATGATATAGCCCTCCAAACGGAATCGGTAGTGTAGAAACGGTAGTCAAGAGAGACTAGTCGAGTAATAAGGGAAATAAGCTTCGGCTCCGAATCAGAATCCATGGAGTTGCCGAAAGAGATTATCTGAGTAATGATTGAGATAAAGAGATTTTGAGTATGAATGTAATGTAATAATCTTGACTTAGTGCTTTTAATATCGTTTAAGTATGTTTGAGAATGCTTAACTCTAAGGCGTTCATATATGAAGATAATTAATACAGATAATCACGAGACAATCTCAGGCTTACAGCCTGTCCAAATTCACTGTCGGTGATCAATTTAGAGATTAGATATTTCATTCAACATTAGTATAGTACAATATTATAATTAGCATTTATCTTTGAATCTTGATGGCGGCGTCATGTTATTGTTGCTCTCCACATGGGTGTGTTTTCTGTTCTCACGCAATTTTCTACATATATGTTAGCCCCAACCCCAATTGAAAATTAATTAAACCAGTACTATACTACAATTTACAAGTCTTTCAAACGTAAAGTCAATGGCCGATTGGAAGATAACAGATCTAACAGCACAATGTTACAAATTACCATTTTTATATTCAAGTTTGTATACTAATAAGTTTAGCCCTTAAGCGAAAGAGAAATATTTCAAGATTGCTACACTACACATCCTGGCACTTGAATTGGTCTTTAACAAATTTAGTTACTATGCAAGTGTAACTGTTAACTGCTTCAATCAAAGCTTCGTTCGACGATTTCATATATTCCATTTGCCGTTTGTGTATTGGACCACTTAAGCAGACATTAGTTTGTGGAATGATATGAGATGTTTCCACGAGTATTTTTTGGTGATTCTCAAACTTGGTCTTAAAAAGGTTTCTCTGAGGTGTTTTGAAATTAAACAAAACAAGAAAAAAAAAAGAGTCTTTCATTAGTCTTTCGTTAATCATAATTTTCTTACGAGGTGATCTTTATGCATTTTTGTTTTTGTTTTTCACTGCTAGTTGCTACAGTTTTAGATGTTGTTGTACACTGATAAATTGTAACAAGGCTACATAAAACTTACATTATGTTTCTTAAGATCACTTCCATTTTCTCAATTTCCATACATTTTATAGCAGGATTAATATTAGTGATTTTGTATTCTCAACTACAAGTCGAAAGCTACAGAAACAGAACAAGTAGAGAAGATTCCACAAACCCAGCAGATTCTGAGACCATATACTGAAGCAGAGATTCACTCTCACAGTTCTGTTCCTGCTTAATGCCTATATACACACAGTGCCTTGTAACAGACTCATTTTACAGGTAATATGCTTCATTTGATCTCTGCGCAGTTATTAGGACCAACAGGTTCTCGTAAGCAATTCGATATTGCCATCACTGCAGCTTCAATGGATGCATCTTCTCCCTGGTTTCATGACATTTTTTTGTTAACACTTAAGACACAAAAACAAGAGAAAATCATTGCTCTAATCGAGATACAAAAGTGTTCTCTGTTTCCTTGTTACCTTGTTTTTCCAGTAAAACATGTTGCCGTATTTCCCAGCCAAACGACTCCAGAAACTACGAGGTATGTCTAAATCAACGGTGGCCCCAACATTGAAGTTCAATATGTTCCCTGTTTTCAAAATCCAGTCACCACCATCAAATTCCCATTGGATACTCTCCAAGAAAAGTAACAATGAGATATGTTTGGGATGTTACCAAAAGTGGGATCAGCGACAAACACAATTGTGTTATCATCCACATTCCAGAAATCCTTGATGGCTAGTCCTGTTTCAAACACACAAAAGAACGGTCATCAACTAAACCTATAGAGAGTTTCTTTCAAAGCAGAATAGAGAGATTTAACATACCGGGCGTATCAGGATAGTTTTGAGCTAACACTCTCAACTTGAATCCTGTATCTTTCTCAAGATCGGATATTTCTTGAGCAATCCTTTTCTCCTGTAAAATCTCAAAGAGAAACATCATAAGAACACCAAATGGCCAAGACAAAACAGATCAAAATCCTCTAAATTCCACAGCATGAGTCTCAAGATCCATATGACATAAAACATAAGCGAGACTAAACTGCGAAACTATTTGTTTTGCTGTAGAAATGGATGGTGATACGAGCGAGCATGAACCTGGCCATTAGAGAGAAAACCAGCAACATCTATGACAGAAGTGAACTCCTTAGGAAGCAATTCTGGTTTGTTTACTCCCACTTTTGCCTCTGCAATTCCCACGCCTGCCAAAAAGATTCTAACTTTGTCATTCTTAAATTGTTCCAAGGAAAAACACATCAGACATTTTTGTTGTTGTAAAGGAATCGAAGGACAGTTGTCTTCTTCAGTCATGTGTGTCAAAGCAATGAAATACAGGTGAAGAGGATCATAAGTATAAACAAAGAAAAGGTACCTCCGGACAGAGATAATCCGAGAGCGAGAGCTCCAGAAAACGCAAAACTGAGAGATTTCGACCGGAAACGAGAAACCCAGTTCTCGTCGCCGGAAGTTTTGAAGGAGAGACGAGAGGGTGAGGATTCTCCGGAGACGTGGTTGAATACAGATGGAGAGAAGCTTCTGCATTGTGAAGGAAGATGAGGTACAAAGATCATCCCCATGACTCTTCTTCTTCCTTGTTCGCCACTTTGCTTTCTTCTTGTGGATAATATTGCTAAAACGATCGCTGCTATCGTCGAGCCCACATTTCGGTTCAGAACCCAACCGATTAAACCGGAATTGCTAATTCCATTTACATAAATATACTCAATATCGGCCCAGTGATAAATATGGGCTCTTAAAGCCCAATTAATTAGCTCCGGCTCTCGAGTCAAGTAGATTTATCAATAATGAGTTTATTTGTCAAGTAGATTCATGCATCCTACACGCACTGACGCACACAAACCCAAACGCCAAACGTGTGTGTACATAATAATGAGTTTGAAGATGACAGACAGATTCAGAATTTCAGAGTAAAGTCATTATTCCACGTGATGTAAATAGAAAAAAAGGAATTGTACAGCAGTATGCTTTTCGATTTCATTACTCGAATACAGTTTATGGAAAGGATAAGGAAAATCTCGTGGGTCGTTTTCATTGGGCGTCTTCGCGCGTCGACTTGATGTGTGATGTGACGATTCGATTATTTTTTCGTGTTTTGTCTACATGACGTTGTGTAATGTGATGTCACGATTCGATTATTTCTTCTTGTTTGTTTTTTTCCGATTGAAAAGTCAAACTCGACGGCTTATGTTTACTCCTATAAATCACCACGTTCTCTCAACTAATCTTTACTACACTCACTTGAAACAACAACTTCAGTAGAGAGAAACACAAAATATCACAATGCAGATCCATAAACTCTGTTTTCTTGCTCTGCTCTTACTCTTAGCTCACACCGCGTCCGCCGTCAATCTCAACCTCAAAAGCTCAAACATTGCCTTCCTCGGAGACGCAGAGCTCGGTCCTGCTGCAGATGGCATTAGCCGCTCCGGAGCTCTCTCCATGACCCGAGACGCAAACCCATTCTCCCACGGCCAAGGTCTTTGGTCCTTACCGGTCCCTTTCAAGCCTTCCTCTAACTCACGTTCTCCTTATCCTTTCGAGACGTCTTTCACTTTCTCTATCACTCCTCGCACCAATCCCGCCCCGGGACACGGCCTCGCCTTCATCGTCGTCCCCGCTCTCGACAACAGCGGCGCTGGCCCCGGTGGTTTCCTCGGAATCCTTAACAAAACCAACAATGGTTACCCCAGTAACCACGTGTTTGCTGTCGAGTTCGATGTTTTTCAGGACAAACACGTTGGAGACATCAATGACAACCATGTCGGTGTAGACATTAACTCAGTTAAATCTGCTGTTGCCGAGAAAGCCGGTTATTGGGTCCAGACCGTGATTGGGAAAAGGAGGATGTGGTCGTTCAAGGAGGTGAAGCTGAGCAACGGAGAGAGGTACAAGGCTTGGATTGAGTATAGAAACTCAAAGGTTACAGTTACTCTCGCGCCAGAAGCCGTTAGGAAACCGAAGAAGCCTTTGATCGTTGCACATGTAGATCTCTCTGATGTTTTTCTCCAAAACATGTACACCGGCTTCGCCGGTGCCATGGGCCGTGGGATTGAGCGTCACGACATTTGGAGCTGGACCTTTCAGAACAGCGCCAAGAAGTAGACTGAGTTATGTAGTTGGCAAGAACACATAAATCGGTTCAACTGTTCGCTTATTTTCTTAGGCTTCGAATGGTGACGCAGATCAAAATATGCAGATCAAACAGTAAATACAGATCATACTGAACAAATACAGATCAAGAACAAATGCAGAATAAATACAGATCAAATATATAATATAAAAATATTATAAATATTTCAGGTTTTATGTTTGTTACATATTTGTTATTTAAGTTTGAGGTCATTCGGACAATGAAATTTTATACTTATAGAAAAATCGAAAGATGATCGGTTCGATTATTAATTTTAGAAAACCAATAAATACCTGAGTTTTTTTTTTATTTCAGCCAATTTTGAGCCAGTTTGAGTATTTATTAACCAAAAATCTAAAATACACAAAACAAATATTCGAAATCCGAAAATGTATCTTTAAAAACCAAAAATTTACCTGAGAATCCGAGACTAACTAAAAAATATCTGGATATTTATGAAAATTTTAATTGTAAATATTTATGAAAAAACACAAATTACATCTACATAAAATGTGGAAATAGAAAAAAAAACATGAGAAAAAAATGTTATTCGAATCCGACTCAAAATCGACTGGTTATCCGAAAGATCCACATTTTATGTAGATGTAATTTGTTTGTTTTTCATAAATATTCACAATTAGAATATAATTTATAAAATACCTTACACAAATTCATTATACTGATTTATAATGTTATATACCACTTAATAAAATTGAAATTTGAATTTTCATGTTTGTAAACATATTTATAGAGATATTTCAAACAATCTCAAAAATTATTATATTTATTCATATTTAATTATTTATAGAAATTAATTCATATAAAAAATTAATGCTCAATAAAAAGAAATATATTATTAAACAAATGAAAGAGTCTCATAATTTCCGGTTATGAGTTTATGATTGCAGTATATAGAGTGTCTATTATATGTATATATATATATATTTTATGATGCTATTTAATTATATTTATAAAATTTTAACACGGAATGTATATAAAAATTATGAACATGCAAAACAAAGATTGTGGTTATTCTAGAATTTGATTTTAGAAAAAGTAATATATTTAATGGTATATAGTTATTTATCAAAAAATAATAAATACAAATATTATTACACAGATTATAAAAAGGAATTATAGAACATAGTTTAAATTTGAGAGAATCAGATAATTATACATTTTATTGAAATATTATAGTATATAAGTGTGTAGAAACCTAACATTTGTAATTAATTTAAAATAATTAAGGAAAAACGTTTTTTAGCAACTAAAAAAAATCAGATCTGTAATTTGAAGTTTGACCATTTACAAATAAAATATGAAACTAATTTGACCATTCCATTTGCTTTTGTTTTGTTTTTATACATTGTCAAACACTTTGAACTTAAACTTCTTAAATGCTATATGGACTATGGGAGACAAGTAACCTGGCAAAATCGATGAATATGACATTTGCTCCTGCGATCGAATCAGAGATTCCATGGGTGGCCTATTCCACATATTTCCTGCCAAATTAAGAACAACGAAGTATAAGATTCTGAGAGAAATAAATTCTTGTAAAGAGAGCAAAATAATGGAAGTTAAAAGAAAGTTGAACAGAAGAGTTTGTTAGCGGTTTGAAAAATCAAATTGAAAACGGCGAGACTTTTTTACCGTGCCGTTTACATAATTGTTTTGAAAACTACATGCTGTTTTTAGTGACAATAAGATTAATTAACTTAGAAATGCTCATTTAAATCATGAACTTTTTGAAATTGCACGTTTTATGCCCCCAACTGCTGATTCCACATATAATAATCGGGTTTTGATTAGTTAACGATTAACATAGAAACAGATTTCTTCAACATTTTATGTTTTAAACTTATAATTTTCCAACTTAAAATCTGAAATTTTTGGCGTCGACAATTTTTAGTAATTTTCAGCAAATTTTGGCGAGAATGCTCATATGCATTTAGAAGCCAATCTTTCCCTGAATACTAATCAAGAGCATATAATGCGTAACTGCTAAAACTCAGGATGCATATTCTTTTTAACCAATAGATGCATCAAATGAAAAGTTGGGATTTGTGATAAATCACCATCCAGTGCGCTAAAGTTCCATTGACTATGTGAGTACCTTAGACAAATGAACTTTTCGAAGAGCACAACGTCACTAAACTATTGATTATCAAACATCAATCATTATCTATAACAAAAACAATATAAACATTAGTAACAATTAGTATTTCGAATTTTCATTTTGCTTCATTATAGAATGAGTGGCCAAACCTATCCTGCGGGAACTTGGTCGTTGTTATGTTGATAGTTCATTAATCTAAACATACTCTTTCAAGAATCACAAAAAGTGGTAGCAAAGCAGAGTAGATACGTTGAGAGTAGAGTTTAAATGGGAACATCATCTCATTACATTGCAAATGACAGTGTTTGTCTAAGCAGTAAGATAAAAATCAAAACTTCATGTCGATCTGTGGTGGGAACAGTCGGCCACGGTGGTTGAATATCATGAAATCCGAGTTATCTGGTAAAGACACCGCCCTGACAAAAGTTTTGAAAGAACCAGTTAGCAGAAGATATTCACTTCATCTAACATCAGACCAGTTCAAGAACCAGAATGGATAGGAAGATAGGTGAGAGAGTTCGTGACATAGATGGAACAATTCCACAATTCAGTTTCGACTAATAAGGTCAAATCTAAACTAGCAGATGCCTATTCCAAGTTAAACAGAGTACTAGTACACAACAACACGAATCTAAAAACATTCTCAGTCAATAGACCACAAAAGTAATAACTAACCACGAAACAAGATTTGAGATTGATTAGCACTGATGTACAACAGAGAGTTCAAGAGAATCATTGATCACAAACCTGTTCTCATCGGAATCTGGGTGGATTGAGAGAAACTTCCCAGGGAAAGTCAAAGCAGCCCACATACAGAGAGCTAGTCCAATGATCAGCTCCAGAACAACCTTAAGAATCAGATCATAAGACATATCAAAAGCATAATCAAGCTGATGAAATTCCAATGACAATTGAAGAAAAGAGAAACCTTTATCGTCTACTCACATTCAACGGCGGTCCGGAGAACTCTTCCTCCGTGATCTTCAACAGTCCTCTATCTGAACCAAATCAGAAAAACCCACATCAAGAGACTAGAAAATGCAATCCCCAAAACCACAGCAAACAAGTAGTAGATCTGTATCTATTGCAACTGGAATTGGATTCGGACGAAGAGGGACATACATTGGATTGTCGAATAAGCGGCGTGGGAAAGAATAAGGACGCCGAGAACTCCAATTAGAAACCCTAAATTCATGTCTTGCGTTTGAAAGGTCTTCTCTTTCCTTTTTCTGAGATGAATCCCGATCTGGTTTTGTCTCCGCCGAGAATTCAAGTAGAAGAGAAGACGATCCAATCGAGTTTGAAAACCGGCAGGTAGTTATAACACGGAACAGCTCAAAGTGACAAACGTCACAGCGTCTAAAATCGAGGAGACTACAAACGGCGCGTAGTTATAGAGTGGGAATTTTTACAGGTGAACGGAATTGAGAATATCCTAAAGCCAAAGGTCGTCACAGATATTTTGATATCTCACGTTATTCTAGGTATTGATAATCTTTTTTTTCTTTAATTTCGATTTAGGTGAGAATTTAGTGTCAAAATCTCTAAGAAATTTAATTTTTATGCAAACAAACATAATGTATGAAATTTCTCTACTTTAATTTATATTGGAGATTAGTACACAGGCTGTTATTTTTTTACCTTTAGGTTATCAAAAAAAATTCGGGCACTCTATCTTTGAGAAAAGAAAATGAATAATAACTTAATAAGATATAAAAATGTCTAACAAAATAAAATATTAAAATGGAAAATTTTAAAACACGTTGCTTGCTTGAGACCTCTACCTAGGCTTCTATTCCTTTCTTCAGTCTGTAATCACGAGAACCAAAGAGGAAAAACATGTTATCCCACCTCTCTAGAATTTTTACTTTCAACCTTGCCTTCTACTTTTTTTAATTCACATTTACATACACTAACCATGGCAGCTTGAGAAAATATAACCTTCAAAACAAAATAAAAACTTGAGAACATATTAGTAAAGACAGAATCATTTTTTTTTCAAATCATAGTCAATACTTATCTATTATTCATAAATAATTATGGTAAACTGATTTGAAAGGCAATCTGGGAGATGATAAGATATAAACATTATGGGAGTGTTTTGGAATAAAACTAAAACTTAGGGGTTATTTACGGATTCGTAAGAGAAAAGGAAAAAGTAAAAAAAGGAAATAAACTCCGCTTCTTTTCCAACAAGAAACACTGATATAAATCCCGAATTCTGCTCTCTCCAGATCCCATTATCTCATCATCAATCGATCTCTCTAGAAACAAATTTCGCAACTTTCTTCGGTTTCTCAGATAACTCTCTTTGGTCAATCTCAGCTCAGCAATCACCATGTCAAAGCAACCTGAATCATCCGACTCGTAAGTCCCCAGATCTCTGACTCTCGTTTTCCGATCATAAAGTTTTTATCTTTCCCTGGGTTTTTCGGTTATGGGATTAGGGTTTTTAGCTGATCTCTCCTCTTGAGCTGATTTTGACTCATGGGTATTGTTTATTTTACTATATTGTTCCAGGAAACCGAAGGATTTCAGTACAGCTATTCTCGAGAGGAAGAAGTCTCCGAACCGACTTGTTGTCGACGAAGCCATTAACGATGACAACTCTGTTGTCTCTATGCATCCTGCCACCATGGAAAAGCTCCAGCTTTTCCGTGGCGATACGATTCTCATCAAGGTTTGGTTTTGTTCCTTTTTTCAGCTCTTAAAGTCTGTATTGCTTGAATTGGAAATTCTGATTGAGTATTTTGTGCTGTGCTAGAAGAGTGAACGTTCAATTTTGTTGCTACCCTGTCCCTTCCCTCTCTTTTAGCGGCTTGAATTATGAAATTGTCTAAGCTTGTTCCTCGTTGAAACCGATCTTTTTATCTCATTGATTTCTTACTTGGTTCTGCTTCTGGCTTTACAGGGTAAGAAGAGGAAAGACACTGTCTGTATTGCCCTTGCTGATGAAACATGCGAGGAGCCTAAGATCAGAATGAACAAGGTCGTAAGGTCTAACTTGAGGGTTAGACTGGGAGATGTTATTTCTGTTCACCAGTGCCCAGATGTCAAGTACGGAAAGCGTGTTCACATCTTGCCAGTTGATGATACTGTTGAAGGAGTCACTGGAAACCTCTTTGATGCTTACCTGAAACGTAAGTTTGCTTGAATCCTTTATTCTCTATCATATCGTAGTCAATCTGTTTTATGGTTTTTGGAGTTGTAATCATAACAAAAATTGGATTTTTTTCAACAGCTTACTTCCTGGAGGCGTACCGCCCAGTGAGGAAGGGTGATCTCTTCCTGGTGAGGGGAGGAATGAGGAGTGTGGAGTTCAAAGTTATCGAGACTGATCCTGCTGAGTACTGTGTGGTGGCTCCAGATACAGAGATTTTCTGCGAGGGTGAACCAATTAAGAGGGAGGATGAAGAAAGGCTTGATGATGTCGGTTATGATGATGTTGGTGGTGTCAGGAAACAGATGGCTCAGATTAGGGAGCTTGTCGAGCTTCCCTTGAGGCATCCACAACTGTTCAAGTCAATTGGTGTGAAGCCACCGAAGGGTATTCTGCTTTATGGACCTCCTGGATCCGGAAAGACTCTGATTGCTCGCGCTGTGGCTAATGAAACCGGAGCGTTTTTCTTCTGTATTAACGGACCGGAGATCATGTCGAAACTGGCTGGTGAGAGTGAGAGCAACCTCAGGAAGGCATTTGAGGAGGCTGAGAAGAACGCTCCTTCAATCATATTTATTGATGAGATAGACTCTATTGCACCAAAAAGAGAGAAGACTAATGGAGAGGTTGAGAGGAGGATTGTCTCTCAGCTCCTTACGCTTATGGACGGACTGAAATCGCGTGCTCATGTTATTGTCATGGGAGCGACAAATCGCCCCAACAGCATCGACCCGGCTTTGAGAAGGTTTGGAAGATTCGACAGGGAAATTGATATCGGTGTTCCTGATGAAATCGGACGTCTTGAAGTTCTTAGGATCCACACCAAGAACATGAAGCTAGCTGAAGATGTAAGATTTCTATACTCTATAGCATTGTAACATGTTTTGTCGATGTTTGTTTCTGGTTGCAATGTTTATTAAAGATCTGCTTTTCTTAACAGGTGGACCTAGAAAGAATCTCCAAGGACACACATGGATATGTTGGTGCTGATCTTGCAGCTCTGTGCACTGAAGCTGCCCTTCAATGTATCAGAGAGAAGATGGACGTGATTGACTTGGAGGATGACTCTATCGACGCTGAAATCCTCAATTCCATGGCTGTTTCTAATGAACACTACCAGACCGCTCTTGGAAACAGCAACCCATCTGCACTTCGTGAAACCGTAAGTGTTGATCCTCTGCTCGTATATGAATCAGAACCTTTTTCTTCAACTAGTTTAGATTCTAATCATTTCATCTCATTAAACAGGTTGTGGAGGTTCCAAATGTCTCATGGGAGGATATTGGAGGTCTTGAGAATGTTAAGCGAGAGCTACAGGAGGTAAAAATTGTTATCACATCCTTTGCTTTTGGTCTAAATTGTTTCAGCTCTTGTAATTTTAATCCATGCTCTTTCTTGCAATGCAGACTGTTCAATACCCTGTGGAGCATCCAGAGAAATTCGAGAAATTTGGGATGTCTCCATCTAAGGGAGTTCTTTTCTACGGTCCTCCTGGTTGCGGGAAGACCCTTTTAGCCAAAGCCATAGCAAACGAGTGCCAAGCAAACTTCATCAGCATCAAGGGACCTGAGCTTCTGACCATGTGGTTTGGAGAGAGTGAAGCCAATGTTCGTGAGATCTTTGACAAGGCTCGTCAATCTGCTCCCTGTGTTCTCTTCTTCGATGAGCTTGACTCCATTGCTACTCAGAGAGGAAGCAGCGTGGGTGACGCAGGCGGCGCAGCTGACAGAGTCTTGAATCAGCTTTTGACGGAGATGGATGGAATGAATGCGAAGAAGACGGTCTTCATTATCGGAGCAACGAACAGGCCCGACATTATTGATCCAGCTCTCCTTCGACCTGGAAGGCTCGACCAGCTTATCTACATTCCTCTGCCCGATGAGGATTCCCGTCTCAACATCTTCAAGGCTTGCTTGAGGAAGTCTCCTGTTGCTAAAGATGTCGATGTGACTGCACTCGCCAAGTACACTCAGGGATTCAGTGGTGCTGATATCACTGAGATTTGCCAGAGAGCTTGCAAGTACGCCATTAGAGAGAACATCGAAAAGGTTAGACACTTTCTCTTTTAGCTTCTGAAGAGAGATTAATGTATGTTAATTCGGCTTAACATTGTCCATTTTTGTTGCTCAGGATATTGAGAAGGAGCGTAGAAGGAGCGCGAATCCAGAGGCCATGGAGGAAGACTTGGTGGATGATGAAGTTGCAGAGATAAGAGCTGCTCACTTCGAAGAGTCGATGAAGTACGCAAGGAGGAGTGTGAGCGATGCTGATATTCGCAAGTACCAAGCTTTTGCTCAGACGCTGCAGCAGTCGAGAGGGTTTGGAACTGAGTTCAGGTTTGACCCAGCCGCACCAGCTGCTGGACCCACCACTGGTGGTGCAGCCGCCGATCCCTTTGCCACTTCTGCAGCTGCTGCCGATGACGACGATCTCTACAGTTAGATTATGCTTGTTTCCGCAAAGTACAATTTTTTATTTGCTTTTCAGTTTTTTTTTTTTTTTTTTTTAAGTTAAAACGTTGTTAACTTTTGAATGCTGTCGAGATGTCAATGCAGAAAACTCCTTCGGGATTGTTACGCTATCATCATCATCACTCATGTATAAGTTGAGCTGATAATTTCGATATTGTTTCATTCGCAAAGCTTTTGATTTGTTTATACGTGAAACAATCAATCTACGAGTTCGGAAAAAGTCGTAAAGTATAAAGTTTTAACTTTGAAGTGTTGGAACTTGGAAATGTTAAAGGATTTAGAATGTCTTCAGTAACTCGAGAAAGCAACGATAGTGTGTATTTTATTAAATTTTGTTAATGCTCTGCGTTTGCAGAAAATTTTCATTCTTTCAAAGAAGAAAATAATATTATTGTAAGACTCTGAAGCTGTGAGCTTTGTTCATCCTCTCTCTCTACTAAGGGACTATTCAAAGGACATCTCTCTCTCTCAAGTCAATAATAAATATTAATAATAGCCCAGCGATGATAATGATGATGATCCCATGCTCTGTCTAGTTTCCGAAACGCCACCATTTTTTCCTCCTCTGTAGCTCTGTTGCAGATGTATCTGAAAACATGAGAAAATAAGAAGAAGATCTCTCTTAATGAATGAAGATGAAGAAAAAAGTAAAAGAGAGTTATGTCAAAGTTAGTTAAGGTTTGTACGATTTACCTCTGTTTAAGTAGATGGAGTTGTAATGAACCTCTGCCCAGAAGCTCAAGAAGATTACTGCAGACAACAAGAGCAAAATAACAGATCACTGTAAGAGAAAACATGAAGAAGACGAGCATAAAGAAATAGTGGACTAAGACTAAACTCTTTACCTCCTTTAGATTCTTGAGAAGTAGGAAGAATTTCAATATAACATGTATTCTTGAATGATGTTAGCACTACTATTTTCACCCGATACTGCAGATTCAAAGTTTCCAGCAAACTGTTTAATAATGGAATTATGAAAAAAAAAGTAGAAGATGTTTCATGAATTTGAGAATATAATATATACCGCATCTGCAGCTGCCTGTAATGTAACGTGATCTCCCCACTCGCCACTCCTGTGTTTCAAATTTGAATACTAAGAGGCTTTAACAAAAGATGAAAGCAGTTATGAAGTTTCCAAGAGAAGAGAGTTTTACCGAGACATCTTCTTTAGATACTCAGAGAAGTCCATAGGAACATATCCTTCATAAGAATCTGGCCGAGACTTGAGCTAAACAAAGAGTTGAAAAATCCGCACAAAAAAAATGAGTTCATGCAACTTGTGAAAGCTTGTAAAAATTCAAGACTCACGAGTAGCAAGAGGATCATCAAACCTGCTTTACAATTTGTCGTCTAACATGTTTATGACGATCTGCGGTTTTGTATAGTTGATCAGCTAAAGCACGGAACTGCAAAACGAGAATTTCAAGGTTCAAAATATGATCAGTAAAGTCTAATAATGGAGATGAAAACGAAGAAGAAGAAGGAAGAAATTTACCTGGCAATTACCATCTCCTGGAACTTTGACCTCGGCGAAGTCAAACATCTCTAACCTGAAAAAACAACAATGGAATCAAGAATGGTTTACAAACATATATGGAACAAAAAGTATACAAACCTATTCCGAAGTCTTTCATGATCTGAAACTGCTTCTTCTTCCGGAGGTATTTCTCCATTTATTTTTGGTACATACTGCATACATATATCTATGTTATGATCGATTTGTCAAATTGATACAACAACAACACATGGTCTTGAGTACTTACAGGAATGGGGACCATTTGATTCAACCTCCTTCCAAATTCACCATCAGCATCACACTGATCTGATTCCCAAGAGTAGACATACTCATCCGTGTCACTCGGACTCGAACACGAAAACAGATTCACCGAATCATCGCTCCTCCCATCTTGATCATTCTCATTCCCTACCCATTCTACAACACCAAAAACACACACACTTTTTTATAATCTAATCCTCCAAAAACATGAAACACATAGGTGAACCAATGAAGAAAGATTCTGTTGTCAATATTAACCTGGAGAGTATTCCACAGCGGATTGATCGTTCCAACCATATTCGTTATTACTGCTATAGTTGTTAGTATAACCTTCTTGTTGATGTTGTTGCTGTTGTGGCTGTTGATTTGAATAATCGTTACTGTCTGCGATCTCAAGCTGCAAAAAATCGTCTTGCAGTGTTCTCGCAATGATCTCATCGTTATCTACATCGCTCCTACTACGATGATCTTCATACTCTCTGTAATACTCACCGCTCTGATGATGATGGGATGATTCGTCTTCCTCATGAATCAGCTCAATCCCATAAGGAGGATACGTAAATGGATGCGGACCAAGAAACCATTCCACAATACCTGTGTTCTCTTCATGTGACACCATCTCTCTGTCAACAAAAAAGGTTCAAAATTTCCATCAAAATCTTATCCATAAACAACTTGTTCAAAACTTAACAAACACTCCAAAATCGATGAATTTGACCGTTTTTAGTTGCGTAAACCGTGGGAGACTTCTCTGGGTTTTTGACGGGAAAGTAAACAACAGAGACTTTTCAACTAAAGAAGAAATGTGACTCCAAAGAAGACATTACAAACTCTAACAATGGTACTCGGAATTTTCCAATCAGCTTCGTTTTCCTAAATTAGACACAGTGACCAAACCTGTGAAATCCCAAATTAGAAACTAAAAGCTTTTGAAATCGCGAAGACGATAAGTCAAAGACAAAGATTTTAGTGTGGACTCGAAGAACCATTTTTCGCTGTGAATCCGGGATTAATTTAGGAAAAATAAATAAAACAAACAATAGAAAGGATTAAAAATCGACCTAGATCTGAGAAGAGAAATGGTGTGGACGGAGAAGAAGTTAGATCAGAAGTTGAAGAAACTCACCTTTCACTTTGCTTAAATCTCTGCAACTTGGAGACGGAACTGATTTTTACTAAAAATAGACAACTTTTAGAATTTCGGGATGAAAGATTGAGGATTTAGGTTGGGAATAAACATAATTCAAATGGGTTTTTTCGCACTTTCTCTTCTAAAAAGACTGGATTTTTTGGCAGGGTGATGAGGAGAAGAGCAAAAAGGATCGAGAATGATTCGAATAAAAATAAAGTTCTTCGCTTTTTATTTTTTCCCTTCGATTCCGAGAAAACCCAGAAAAAAAAATTAAAAAGAAAATGAGAAAACGCGCAAAATGACACTCAATATTTATACGAATTTCTGGGCATTAAACTCTCTTGTCATGAGAACTTGTAGCCGTTGGATCATTAATACGAACGGTCACGCTTTTTTATCAGTCATATATATAATCCTCTTTCGTCGATTCTTTTTCTTTATTCTTTGTTAGTATTGTTTCTTGTGAGATTGCAAAGGACATTTTCCAAATAGGTCTAAATCAACTTGATAGTAAAATATTTTTTCAAACGTAATAAATGAAGGATTTTGGGATTAGAATCAAATCGAATTAGAATCGAGTTTAGTTTTTTACATGTAAAAATTGTTTTATTTTTGCTTGATACAAATCATAAATGAGTCATGGTTTTCTGTTTATTGTTAATTCCGCTCGTTGCCAAATCCCAAGAAGATCCATTTATAGTTAAGCAGCATTAAAGGAATGATTAACATGCAAATGCAATGGTAGAGTTTAAATCTATTTAGTGTTAGGCTTAAATGTTGAAAATTTCTTAATTAGGCAAATGGGTCCAATAACACATGGCTGCATAGTTTGAAGTTTCCCCAATCATATCCGGCGCGAATAAGTAATTTTGTTATTTGTTTTTATTATTCAAAGTAAGAATTCCACGTGGCTTCCACTAGTTTTATCGAATTCCAAAACCATCGAATTCAATTCTTTCAGGCAGCACCCCTCTTCTGATTAATTAAAATTCACGCAATACTCATCGACAAATTGTGCATGTATATAAAATTTAATATTCTTGGGAATGGATAAAAAAAATTGATATCCATTATTTTTTGTAAAGTATCTTTTAGGTTTTATTAAATGAACTAGGTTCTACGTTCTGGCGGTGAATCATATGAATGCTTTTTTGAATTCCTCATTTTCTTTTGAATTTCTTATTTATTTAAACGAATGAATGGAATAATATAAAGTGTAGGCTTCATTCCATGAAGCATAGATTGACAAATTCATGCAATGGGAAATCTAATGAGTTATATAGATAGTAGAGTGAGTCGAAATAAATAAAGTCAAATTGTTTGCAAAAAAACAAGAGAAAAATTGTCAATTTGTTTTGAATCAGCATGTAATATTATAGCATATTTAAATTTTATGGCATGGGTCACGAATGATTTGAGAAACCCAAAAGCCAGTTTTTGTGTAATTTAAATACAAAATATTAATTTGGTTAGGTAAGCAAAAAATAATTAAACGCATACGTAATTATGGTGTGTTTTTACGAACGTTAGTAGTTGTGAAGATTATGCTGATGTTACTCATTAGCTACACTTTCTTGTCAATTATCAGATGTGCATAACATCATCATCATATATTATATGTTACATGTCAATTGTCGAATATTATAGCTATAGTAGTCCATTTCAAAAGGGGTCAATGCATTATTTTCTGGGACTAAAATATGACTAAATGTTACAATTGTTCATAGAGCAAAATCTACCAAACAGCAGCACGCATTCTTTGAACGATCATAATGGAGAACCAAATCCATTATGTATGGCTTCTTATCAACTCTACGTGACTATGTTCAAACTAATCATGCCATATAAATAGATAAACAAAGGTAGTTAATACGTGATTCATTTGTAGTTCTAAAGATAACAGAATAATCAAAAGTGTTGATTTGATAAAATCCTAAACAAAGTACAGTGGGATTAACGTGTTTCTATGAGAGTACGGTTCGTAACTTCGTATCATCCAAGAGATGTAATAAACTGACACATGCTTTCAGGTTCAGGAAGAGTGAGTTTGCATAAAATGCCTAAAATGTAAAAAAATTCTGTAACTAATTTAATCTGAAAATATTCTCAACTTACTAATAGTTGACACATATCATTAGCTCTCAAGTGATTTTTCTTCCTCTGTTCTTCTACACAAAAGCAAGCCGGTTTCTTTAACACCAATCAAGCTATTTATAATTTTATCTGCCTACTACTCGCTTTCCAGGTTACTTTTTCCGATTTTTATTTTCCTAAGAAGCTATGATAATTTTACATTTTTACCTAAAGCTCTATAGTTAATGGCCTCCCCTGTTTTCAGCCAAAATTAATGCTTCAAAAGTCAAATTGTTTGCCATTGTTAGTACACAAGAGTTGAATGCAGTCATATCAAAATTATTCTACCTTTAGTAAAAAAAAATAGTTGATGCCTTTTGGTTCTATTATTTCCATAAGTCTGAATTCTTGCAAGTAAATACAAATCTTTCACCAATTTTTCTTTCAAGTAGAAGAAAGAAGATTTTGTGCCGTTTATTAGTGGGTTAGGTTCTCAACCTATATGGACAACAAGACATACTTATTGGGCCTTCAATCTAAAATGGAACGATTTTCCAATTAAACGCCTTTGTAAATCATACATGGTGTGTTTCTTACAAACGTCAGTCAGTAGTCAAACCTTAGTGGGATTTACATCGTTAGAAGAGAATGTTGAAAAATCATTATTTAACAATCAAAAGCTCAGGAGCTTTACGAGTGTCATTTTATTTATTCAATAGAGCACAAAGAAACAAGTCATAATCATTTTCTTGTTATCATTTTCAGTTTGAATCAAATCAACAAGCTCTCACATTCTTTGGGTTCCACAACTTTTCTAACCAACTTCCTTCGTCACCATCAACAACCTTCTTGTTCTTCCCTTCCTCGCCTCTAGAAAGACTCCTCAGCGGAACGAGCTGCAGCTTCTTGGCACCATTCCCAGGCGAAGAAGACTCCACAATCTTTGTCACCATCTCCAACACCTCACTCATCTTCGGACGTGTCTTGGAGTTCCTAGCAAGGCAAAGATTGGCCACAACCGCTAGTCTCTGGATCGGTTTGATCAAGTACTTGCCTTCGAGCCTCGGGTCTACAATGAGCCTGAACTTCTTGGTGTCGGTTAAGTAAGGTCTCACCCATTCAAGAAGCTTCTGCTCTCCTTTAGGCCTGTTCCTGTCTAACGGCCTCCTTCCTGTAATCAGCTCATAGATGAATACTCCATAGCCCCACACATCGCTTTTCGATGTGAGACGACCCGTCTGGATATACTCTGGAGCTGCGTATCCCATTGTTCCTACTACCTGCTCAACACCAAGAAACAAAAATGATCACTTTCTTTCTCTCGATATGGTGATGAAAGAGTGAAGGAAACTTACACCAGTAGAAACATGAGTTGATCCTGGTGAAGGACCTAACCGAGCCAAACCGAAATCCGAAAGCTTTGCTTTCCAATCCTCATCTAGTAGAATGTTTGAGGACTTGAAATCTCTGAATATTATCTACCAACAAAAAAAAAAGAACGAAAACAGAGGATTTTTAGTTTAACTGATGAGAGAAGCTGAAACAGAGAAGAAAAACAGAGGATTTTTAGTTTTAACTGATGAGAGAAGCTGAAAAACAGAGGAATTATTTGGTTTCATGTTGTTGCTTACTTGAAAGTCCATTTCTTCGTGGAGGTATGTTAAACCGCAAGCTGCGTCTTGCGCTATTCTCAACCTGAGGTCCCAAGTAAGCACCGTCGGTGAGCGAGGCGATAAATGGAACTCGACGCTTTGGTTTGGCATGTATTCGTAAACCAAAAGCCTCTGGATTCCACGCTCGTCGTCTTCTGCACAGTGACCCAACAGTTTCACCAAGTTTGAATGCTCGACTACTCCGAGAAAGTTCACTTCCGTCACCCATTCTTTATGACCCTGTAACCCTCTCTTGCCGAGCTGCTTGACGGCGACTTCGATTTTCTTTGAGGGATCTTCTAAGCTCTTGATTGTTCCCCAGTAGACACAGCCGAAACCGCCTTCCCCGATCATAACGGAACGGCTGAAGTTTCTTGTAGCGGATTTGAGATCAGCGATGGTGAACTCTCTGAGGTTGTTTTCTCTAGCGGACATGCTCGGGTTCGTGTTCCTACCAGTGGATGATGAGACCGTGCTCGTTCCAGAGCCATCCCTGGGACTGAAATCTGAACCGCTTTTGTTTCCTCTACGGTCAGAGAAGTTAGACGTCGGAGAAACCGGTTTAGAGCTCCTCTGTTCGTCTTTCTTGTCCCCGTGAGGGAATAAGAAGCACCTCATTCTCCCAAAACACCCTGCCTTCTCCACTGTTAATCACACAACAAAAAGATCCACAAACTTCTTAGAGTGAGCAAGTTTCTACGAAAATCAAAATAGAGAAGCAAAGTGAAGAACATTCATTTCTAAAATTTCCTAAAATTCTTTGTTCGGCTCATTCTAAATTTGATCTTTGAATCCAACTGATCAGAAGCACAGGATCAAATCAAATACGAAAATTCTGGGACCTGGTAACATCAGCTAACCCGATGACTTGTCGAGTCGATTAGATACGAATCAGAGAATCGAGAAATCCCCAAATTCTCCGACGGAACCCTAAATTTTGTGATGGTGGAAGTTAGGCGAAGCTATAGCAGCTCGAAAGCAATCGCAAGTTTATTCATTTCTACTCAGTAAACAAAAAGGAAATGCTTTCTTCTCTAAACAACAATTTATAAGAAGTATGGATTTCGTGATCACCTTTGAGATCTCTGTGTGCAGAAAAATCAAAACTTTTTCCAGATGTTGAACAAATTGAATCGCCCAAAGTTTTAGTGACAGAAGTGGATTGTAGATTTGGAGAATGTATATGTATGAGTTAATTGGGTTTTGTGATAAGAGAATTCGGAACAAAATGTAGAAAGAAGAAGACGACGACTAAGATGATGAGAAGGGAAAGAAGTCAAAGTAGTTGAGTAGTCTTCACAATGCAAAAGCAAACAAAAAACCAGGGAAACGATTTATATTTTTTAAAAAATATTATCAAAATATATATTGCCGAAAAAATGACTAGGCTAATCTTGTGATTGTAGGGAAATTATGAAAACGGTGGACAATTTGTGGAAAATGTTTTGGATGAGAAATCATAAATTATTTTTAGCAGAAAATCATGGAATTTGATAGGTGGAAAGTTAATAGCAACTTTAAAACGAAATCGCATTTTTGGCAACATATATAAAACGTTTTTGAAGGAGTCATATACTGTATAGAACTTGAACTTAAACGGTTTCGTAAAGTTAGGGTTGTGAATATCCTTTGTACGATTGTCGAAGGAGCTGGAGAGGAGCTGCTTGGAAGTTGCCTTTGCAGCAGCACTACACTGTGCTTACTGCTTAGTGGGCTATGCTCAGTTTAGCCTTCTGTTTATTATTTTTTTAATAAAATACACGAAACCACCAGGAAGGAAACTGATGAATGAATCTTGGTCAAAACTTGAGAGCATGGGAGATTGGTACGTAGATTATGATAAATGTTGTAGGTTTCTGGTTACAATTAAATTGCACGTGGAATAGCAGGAAGTGATAAATCGAGCGGATGTGAATGAAACTAGTTTTCTGATCCAAAGGCTAATTATAATCTCTCGTTTCCTTAAAGAGAGACACAGAAGCAATGGGATTAAGCACCGGCCTGTCTCTGTTTGGTGATGGACCGGTCGTCTCGGAATCTCCAACACAAAAACAAAAATAAAAAACTAAGAAAAAATAACAGACTAGATCTTCTTTCAGTTTTTAGTACGTAATGAACTTCTCTTGTTTTATCTACGCTATGAGATTTGGTGATATGAAAGATGACTACTAGACCAATCAACTGATTGGCACTGAAAACAAGAAAGAACCGTTGATAAAGATACTTTAAAGATCAGTACTTAAGTTGCATTTCCGAATAGGTATTCCGATTTCTATTTGAAGAAACAAAAAAGTGCCAAGTGTACGGAAACGGAATAGTGAAAACTCATGAAAAGGACACGCTTTGGTTACAACTTACACGATACATATCATACTAATAAAACGTATATACACACAGTGCATGTACACAAATTTTATATTCGTATAAAAATTGTCGGTAATACAATTTTCTGGTTTGACAACCAAAAGAAAAGAAAAAATCACGGTTATGCGTAAATGTTAGATATCCACATTCCACCATATTCGTTTTTATTTTATCTAAAAGTAAAAATGGTCGATCACCATAATCTTATTATATGTTTATAATGGTTGACAGCCTTTTTAGCACAATAACGCATGATGTATACAAGACTGTACGTGTATGTTAGGATTTTGGTAATCACCAGCGACACATCACAATAGTGAAATCCAGCATTACAAATCCGTTCGGATTAGATAAACAAATCGGTTCGGATTATTCATGATATTTTAGGTGTATATTGATTCTGGTAATCACCAGTGACAATGCATCACAACGGTGAATGAAATCCATGTCCAGCGTAACAAATCGGCGGTTCGGATTGATTCTGGGATTTTTTTTATCGATGATATTATGAGTAATCTTTTAATGAAATGATCACTTCAAGTATATATACGTACCTTTCAAATACACATTTTTATCTGTTTAAAATTCGATATTTTTCCGAGCGATAATTGTATGACAACTTTACAAACGAGAGTTACATATCGATGTATGGAACATAAGTGGAATTGCACTTTGTCCAAGAATCTTATCCCATTTCTCATCTTTTTTTAGATCTTATCTTACTCCTACATTTAATCAAACATGGGACCCCTCTATTTTCACAACTTTGAACATAATGTATTTCCCTAGGAAAATGATGCATATATAGTTGCATTTTGATTCGGACTCATAACCTTATTGTTCAACGTTTAATCAAAGTGGTGCCAAAATCATACGTTGACAAATTATACTCCTAAAACGAACAAGTGATCCTACCACTAACTGACCACTGTGAAGCATATATATGAATAAATAGAGATACGTGTACAGCATTTACGTCGTGTGTATTATGTATATCAGCATATGGGCACACACACACACACACATCTTTATATTATCTAATTTTGCCCAATAGTTGAGTGCCAATGTGCCATGCCGATAAAGATTGTTTATTTTCATAAGAAATTAAAGAAACCCTAATAATCAAATGAAGCAATTATTAAAGCGAAAGCCAATTGGCGAGGGAAGATGCATGTTCGTACGATTTCGTATGTCAAAGTACAGCATGGCCGTAGTTGACAAAAATTGACATATATATTATTGTTTTGATTTCCAAGTACAAAGTCATATGACTAACCATGTCATAATCAAATCCGATTTAAATTTGTTCTCGCCAAAAAAATATTAGTTAGTTGTTCCTACTGTGAATACGAAAATCAATCACATCTCACCGTCAAGTTCGTACCTACAACAATCAGTTTATCACATTTAATGTACATATAGTCTTCGATCATTTAACGAAATTCATAATGTTCGACATATATACATTAGTCTAATTTTGTTGACAAAAACTTTTTTAGTCTAATATATTTCTTGGTAGTACATTAAATGGAACATATAGTATTTCATGATAACTAATCATGTGTTTATTGCAAAAGAGGACGACATGGTCCAAACTAATCATTCATCCTATATATACAAAAATGAGATAGTGGACCTATGCTTGTGACTGTGTATATATACACGTACGACACTAGTACCTCTCTACATTCTATCTCCCAATAAACCCCAAAAACCTCTCTCTCTCTCTCTCTCTCTCTCTCTCTCTCTCTCTCTCTCTCTCTCTCTCTCCTTCTCTCTCCCAACATCTCTCTCAACGTCTCTCTCATAAACATGATGAAGAAGAGCAAGCTGATCACAAAAGCATGGAAGAAAATGTCAAGCAGAGTCGCTAAGCATCGTGCCGCCGACGAAAAACCTCACATACCACATGACGTACCAAAGGGACACCTAGTGGTGTACGTAGGTAAAGAAGAGGAGAGTTACAAGAGGTTCGTGATCAAGATCACGTTGCTCCACGATCCCATCTTCAGGGCTTTGCTTGATCAATTAAATGACGAAGCTTACGACGATTTCACTTCTGGAGATTCTAAGTTCTGTATCCCTTGCGACGAAAAACTCTTCCTCGAGATCCTCCGTTGTGCTTCTCCTCGTTATTCTTGATCTGATTCTCGATGAGTCTCTAATTTGAGAAGTAAGTTTTAAGGTTTAGAGTTTTGGCCAATGAGATCTATGTAGATTTAAAGAAGAGTGTTGTAATATGAGCCAATTTTAGTTAGTAGCTGTGCTGATATAAATCTTACTGATTGCTTCTACGTGTTTTACGTCAAAAAGTTTCAATCAAGGAGCAAGATATTATTTTTAAAACTATAAAGTAACAGTGGTATTACATATATAAATGAGTATGATAATAAAAGGTGAACAAAACAAAAAGAGGCCAATAAGAAACACTCGAGTAATAATAATCGTGAGAGTTGGTTGAATCAAAGGTTGTTTTATTTAGGAAGATATCACAAAAACTGAGGAAGACCCAATAATTTAGTTGAAGGCGGGCTTCTCAGGGTAAGTGCAGCCAGATCTTTGGATCACCACGTTCGAAGCGTAGCATCCAGCCTTGACGCACTCCTCGATCGATTTCCCTTGCACAAGCTGTGACATGAAACCTCCAACAAATGCATCACCTGTGTGAGAGAGAGAGAGGTCAACAACGATCAGTCCTTATTGTTCTATGATCATGACAATTGCTGTCTATTAAAGCAAGCCTTTGGATGATTATGAAATAAGTACCTGCACCGTTGGTGTCAACGAGCTTCTCCTTAGGGAGAGGGATGACTGGATATTTCTTCACCTTTCCATCTTCAGCAACAACCACTGGGTCTGCGCCCTGTGTGATCACTGTGGTCCTCTTGTATGTTCCTGTCGCCTTGGGAAGCTGTGAAATCTTGATGGCTATTTGTTCCACATCATCGGTCTATATATATATATAAACATGTCAATAATTATTCTCTCTGTTTTACAAAACAGAGCAGCTTGTTGAATTAAGTGGCGCAAGAGAGATGGTACCTCCCAGCCATGAACCCTGGAGAAGGTTCTTGCCTCTGTCTCATTGCCAAAAACAAAGTCCATGTATCTGTCCAAAGCAATGCAGAGTGATTTTGAGTACATTTACGTACTTTCGAAAAAAAAAAATCCGTAAGGGATAAAAAGGTTGGGGATTGCTTACGGCAAGAACTTCTCCTGCGCATCTTTGAAGAACTCACAGATGAATGGAGCAGAGAGGTTCATTGTGAACACCTGAAGCATAAGTGAACATGTGGGGACTGTTAATACAAGAAGCACTCATAAAAGATCTTCTAAAAGAGGGACTCATGAAATGGAGGACCAAAAGTCTTATACCTTGTTGTTGGCAGCAGCGTGCTCAGATACCAACTGGATGGATTCGGGGGATACCGTGAGGAAGAATCCAGCAATGTAGTAGAACTTGGCCTTCTCAACTACCCAAATAGATTTGAATCACATATATCAGATCATGAAGACAACACAGAACTGTTAAAAAAGAATGCAAATATGGGAGAAATCAATTTACCCAATGCCCAGTTTTCAGGCTTCTTAAGGTGATCAACCTTGTAGCAGTTTGCAGCTGAAAGATTGGCAATAAGCGACCTTTCTCCACCAACAACACAGACACCACAAGTTCCTGTAGGTGCTGACTCATCTTCATAATAGTGGACCTGATACAGAGAGAAACACAATCATTTTCTTGCACCTTGATTACAAATTCTGCATTCAGTATCAAAAAAGGACAAACTGAACACACAGCTTACATTGACACCAGCTGCAGTAGCATCCTTCTTCATTGCCTCTCCGTACTTGTCCTTTCCAATGGATCCCATGTAACTGGTTGCTCCAGGAATTTGAAGCATCCACTGCAGCCATCAAGTAAAAATCACCCATGATTTAGAAGTTTATTCATAACTTTAAACCCCAATAAGCTCAAAAAGAAAGGCAAAATAATCTACCTGAGCCACTTTGATGGAGTTCTGAGTAGCACCTGAGAAAGGATTAAAATATCATAATCTTGTCAACGCATATGCGATTAAAAGGTTTCAAGATCGTCAAAGAGCACAAAAGATGAATTACCTCCGGCAATGTATTCAACATTGAACTTGCTACTCATCTCATCATACCTAAAAAAAAGAAAAATATCATTTTGCAAGTGAGTTTTCTATTTAATAACCCATCAACTACGTGTCTAACAACGAAGAGAGATAAGATATCATTTCGTTTTTCTGAAAGCGCCAGACTTATGAACCATTCAAATTACATAAACATGATCAACATTCTCGATTAACAATACTTAATTTCACCCCTTAGTAAACAAAATTATGAAAATCCTTGCGTTGCCATTCTCAATTCATAAAACTAAACAAATCGTTCGATACAGGACTTGTAGCGAACCCATTTCAGGAAACAAAGTTTCAAATTCAAATTCCGACGAGGTTAAGTGCAGCCTCTAATCAGAAAACTAACAAGAGAGCAAAAGCAAATCCTTACATGGGCAAATGTTTTTCCTCCGCGAGGATCGCATTGTTCAACTTGATGTCGTATCTGTCACGATAACATAAGAAAACATAAATCAGAAAAGGAAGACCGAAACGAAAGCGAAATACCGCACACGTTGAAGATTCAAAACAATCAATCTGGATTCAAACGAAACGCAGAGAAAGAGGACTGCGATACGAAAACGCTGAAGAAGATAAACATTTGAAAAAAAAAGAGGGATCTGAAGGTTATCTTACTTGGTGAGAAAATCCTCGTCGACGACGGCAGAGATGTCGAGGAGTGGGTTACCCATTCCGAGAAGGATCCCATCGTAGTTAGTGGAAGAAGCCATGACGACGAATCTGTGAAGAGATTTGAGAGGTTAAGATTCAGATCTGGTTTATTGGAGTTGGAGGAGGCAAGTTTAGTGGTGAGTGAAGCCGCGAGTTTATAAATTAGAGCTCAGCGGAAGTTGGTATACCAACGACATATTCTCTTTTTAGGTCTTTTTAATTATTCTCTTAACTCGATAAATAAATTACGTTTAGAATCGTTTTAATGTTTAATTTGTCGGTAGACTCTGTTTTCTTTTTGTAGATTAATTATGACTATGATGCTATCATGTCGTCATTTTACATAATTAATTACTTACATATTACAGTATAACGATGAGAAAGTTCCAAGTTTGTAGCGATCAATTGAGGTGACGAAGCCACAAAGAAATGTTTGGATGTTTTACAACTTTAGAAACTAGAACAAATTCAAGCAAGAAAAACAAAACTCTTCTGATGGATTTCAGAAAAAACATCACTTTTCCTGTGTTATGAATCTTGCCTTACGGCAGAAAGACGATTTGGAGGCAGAAACAAGAACTTCAAAAGTAATCAAACTCATGAAGAGAGAAAAGCCAGCCCATGCCTGTTTTTTTTTTATTCTAATCGTAAAAGAGAAAAACAAGAAGAATTTCAGAGGACTTAAAAGCCTCAAAAGGAAGATTTCCATAAAGAATTGAGATTTTACGATGATGTTCAGAGGTGATCACAGATTGCCTTTGTGAATTCCGTGGTAGTCGAAGAACCTCCAAGATCCGCGGTTCTGTATTTGCCCTCGGCTATGGTGTTGATGATTGCGCTGTGGATCTGTTCTGCTTGTTCGTTGAGCTTCAGGTGACGTAACATCATCACTCCACTCAGAAGCAAAGCCGTTGGGTTCGCCAAGTTCTTACATCAACAAGAGATTTGAGTTTAGTAAATTGCTCAAAGTTTACTTTCTATGAATGATCAAGTGTTCCAAGGACTAACCTTTCCAGCAATATCAGGTGCAGAACCGTGAACTGCTTCAGCAAGAGCTACACCATCTTCTCCGATATTACAACTGCGTTAAAGATAATGAAGGCCTTAATATAATTGGCTCATAATCATGACTAAACAACTATTATTCAAGATGAAGGAACCAATGTTTCACCTTGGAGTCAATCCTAGTCCTCCAACCAATCCAGCGCAGAGATCGCTGATAATGTCACCGTAAAGGTTTGGCATCACCAATACATCAAAAAGTGCTGGGTTTTTCACAAGCTGCAAGCATTTCCAGATTATCATATTCACATTCCTAAAAACAATAATGGAAATTTTCCCAAATTACAACAATGGGAAAACAGAACTCTAGTAACTCACCATCATGCAGCAATTGTCAATAACAACCTCCTCGTAAGTTATCTCAGGATACTTCTCAGCGACCTCACGACAACACTGAAGAACAGGAAGTAAATGAAACAATTGTCTATCTCAGAACAAACGGCAAAAAAACTATAAGAAAACGTTAAATGCATTATGGAGCTGTGAAGTGAGCAGACCTTGAGAAAGAGACCATCAGTTTTCTGCATAATGTTGGCTTTGTGAATCGCAGAGACTCTCTCTCTTCCATGAGTCTTAGCATAGTGAAAAGCATACTCTGCAACTCTCAAGCTCGCCTGACGAGTAATGATTTTAAGACTCTCCACCACACCTCTAACAACCTATCATTATAAAACAAGAATCAGAAACACTTCTTAGAAGAAAAAGTAACCTGAGAAATTTCGATCATTAGACTCAACAAAACAAAGTTAACCTGATGTTCGAGGCCACTGTATTCTCCTTCGGTGTTCTCTCTGATGGTGATGAGATTGACATCATCGTAACGAGTTTTGTAACCAGGAAGACTGTAGCAAGGTCTAACATTGGCGTACAGATTCAGCTCTTTCCTAAGAGTCAGGTTCAACGAACGGTGACCTTTCCCAATCGGAGTCGCCATTGGACCTTTCAAACCAACTTTGTTTCTACGCACAGATTCGAGACTCTCCCAGGTCAGGAAACTCTGTGTTCTCGGATCAATCTCAGTCCCAACATAGTGTTCTTCCCAATCAATTGGCACACCAGCCGTTGTAAACACCTGGATCACCAGAAATGACATAAATCACCCACGAAATTGAACAATTCTGTATGCCGAATTCCCACAAATCGTAAAACAATCCACAATTCTGTCGTCACTATTCAGAACTCGAAAGTCAGTGAAGAAAAGAGTTTAGGATGAAGGACCTTTTTGACGGATTCAGCGATCTCGGGACCGATCCCATCGCCAGGGAATAAGGTTGCGGTGATTGGAGTGGAGGACGAGCAGAAAGCCCTAGCGACGGAAGTAGCCACGCCTGAGCTAGAGTTCACAGCCCCAAGGATCTGGCTCGATCGGCTTCCGATCAGCCGTTTCGCGAAGTTTGCTGCCATGGTCATCTCTTCAAGCACCAAAAGGACGCAGCCAGCAAAATATTCGATAGCGAATAGAGAGAGAGAGAGAAATTTCTGCGTTGGGACAAAACTTTACAAGTTTGCAAGACTATTTATTAGTTTACAGGAATAATAATAATTCATCTTCCGTTAAAACGCCGCGTAGTTAGTGTCTCAGTTTTAAGGACTAAAGTAAAACGGCATGAAGTGTCTTTTTGAAAACACACAATAAAGAGACTACTCTTTTTGTACCAGCATCGGCCCAATAAAAGAGTCACGAAAGCCCGTACTTAATAGTACGTCATCATCATACACAAGTTTACAACAGTAACATCTTATTGAACGTAATACTACGTCATCATACACAAGCTCACAACAGTCAAACAGAACCGGCGGTATTGCTAAACCTCCGGTGGCTTTTCCATAGCTTTTTGCGGCGGTGCAGGAGCCGGCAAACCAGACAACTGAGGTCCGTAGTGAAACTGAGATGCAATACCTTCTCGACGGCCGATTTTCCTGCCGATGAGATAAAACGCGATAGCTACGATCAAGAGGAGAAGAATTGCCGGAAACGATATGAAGATCACATAACCCATTGCTTTAGTTACTACGCTGCTGGTTTCTTTTCCCCATAGAAGGAATTAAAGGAACCAGAAGACGATTCGAGAAGAAGATTGGTAATAATTGCCTCATAAGTGTACACGTGTCCGCGTAACTGTTAGCGATGTGTGATGCCACGTAATGAGGCTGGGTTAAGGAAATTTCATTCAACCATTCAAAACCGACGATTTTTTTTATTTGGTATGATTCCGCCCGCATCAAATTACACAAACCGGATTCGGTTTGCAGCGATGGGTCGTATTTAAACGGATTCAAATCTCGAATTCGTTTGCCCTCGGCTTCTTCTCGACGTCGCGGTGTCTTACTTAATTAGCTTGTTAAATCTCTCGGAAACCCTAAGTTTCGCGCCGCTGATTCCTCTTCCTTTTTTCCTATATCAATCTCTTTCTCTCGCAACTTACCGATTTGATCTCAGTCCAAGTTACCGGTTTTCCATCAGAATCGGATATCTGCTTGTGGAGAATGTGGAGAGTATCTGGTTGGACAGGAGTCGAGGCTCGTCCTCCTGCCTCTATTGTAGAAATCGGAATTATGCTGGAGCAATTTCGCTCAAAACACGAGGAGATTGCAAATCTGGAGCAACTGATTATCGAAGATCTAAAGACTGAAGAGACGTGCCCGATGAGGCAATTGTTGCAAGGCCACCGTCTCCAAAGCATGGCGAATTCTATCATTCTTAAGTCTAAGAAGCTTGTAAGTTTTTTCATTTGTTTCTTATTAGTCCAGATGCCGCTTTAGTCTCGACTCTAAACGAATTGCTTAGTTCGCATGTGTATCAGAGAAGCAAAACATGAAACTTAAATTGGGCCATAGATGAAGTTATGCTACTTACTAACGTTTGATTCTCTTGTTAGTCTTTAAGGTTGAAACCTATGAGAAGATTGTGTCGATTAAAGATGTTGCTGCTCAGATTTCATCAAGCATAAGCGTGTCTAGTGCCTTTTCCTTGTGTTTAGCAGAGGTTTGTTTCTCTCCCTTTTGGCATCTTCTTTTTGTGTTTCTTGGTTTTGTCAATCACCAATTGTTTGACTTCTGTTAAGCTACTTGAATATCATCGAAAGCATCCTTGTGCACCTCTCCTAGACAATGAAGCAGTCCTCAAGGAAGATCCAGTCATTGCCTTCACCGGAGAGGTAAGCATCTTTTTTTTATGATTGAGAGCATGTCTTTGGTCCAATGGTTAAATCTTCTTTGTCTGCTGCTGCAGGAGTGCTTTGGTCGGTACTTGGACTTGCATGATCTGCATAACCAATACATCAACTCTAGTTTTGGGGAAAGAGTTGACTACTCTGCTTACCTTGATGTTTTCTCTCAACCAGAGAAAATATCTCCTGAGCTTAAGATGTCTAGGTAAAAACATATCATAAGAAATCTCCATTTTTTTTGTTTACTTCTACCTCCTGCTGAATCCTTCCTTTTGTTTTTTTTTTTTTTTGGCTTTCCATCTCTCCTTGAAGTCAATACACAGAGTATATGGAAGCTCTGCTAGGGTATTTAATCGACTTTTTCCAGCGAACCCGGCCGCTGCATGATCTAAACGGAAAACTTTCCAAGGTTTGAGCTCCTTTTCTCTTTCAACTGTTTTTACTGGTCAACAAAAGTCGTTTCTTTTAAGAGTTGGTTCATAACTAGATGATGCTTGTATTGAAAATTCCAAAGTGTACTTCTCATATGCTAACATTACGATTTGCGTACAGCAAGCAACAATAACTATTTTGTTGGATGTTGCAGGTTGAAGCCGATTTAGAAGAGCAGTACGGAGACGGGAAAGTGAAAGGCTTGGCGATACATGGCCAAGAAAATGAGCTGATTCCATCTCAACATGCTGTTACGGATCGTGTTTACGTTGAGGAACTGATAGATTTGGAGCCTGAAAACCTAACGGAGGTAATGAACTATACCTCAACCCCTAATATGTTTCTTGAAGAAATATTCCCTTAGTTATATGTCATCCAGGCGTTGGCGGCATTAGGACTGAACACTGGGGGTACTCAGCAGAAGCGTGCCGCGAGACTTTTCCTGACAAAGGTATTAATCTCCTCGCAGCAACAACGCATTTATAATTCATTCAGTCCGAGTGTGCATCTTCTACTTGTTATTAAAAGGAATGGGTCTTGCTTGAAGCTTTGTGCTATTAATTATTGCCTCGTCTTGCACTTCTGTCTCAGCATGCACGTTTGGATAGGAAACAATTACTAATGGAGGCCAAAGTGAAGAAACTCTGCAGTCTACTTGATGAGGTTTGTCGACCGAAGTTTGCATTTACCTTTCCCTCACTAGTCACTAAGCATGTCAGATGTTTTTCAGTTGTGCTTGAACCTATCATGTTGTCACCTTTGTGCAGACAATCGCAAGGACAAAACAAAACAGAGGAAAAAATGAGGCTTTGGCACTTGAAGAGCTGGAGGGTGAGCAAGGTCATACAGAGTCAGAGAGTGGCGACGGTTACAAGAGTGCGCTGAAACGCTCAACGGGTTGGGATGGGATGCCTATACCATACTGGCTCGACAAAGTTGGCCTTGGCCAGGTAATGGCCCTTTGAATCATTTGATGTTGTTGTAGAGGAAGAGAGTAAGTCTGGTGTTTTTGCTTTGTGTGTTTTGTAGGAGTATAAATGCGCGCTATGTAGGGGATATCCCTGTCCGGGGAAAAGGGCTTTTGAGAGACATATTAGCGAAAGGCTTCACCAAGGTCGCTTAAAGGCCGGCTGGAATCTCGGACCACTTGGTACTTGCTCGCAATCAACGGGAACTGAAGGGAATAGTTCAAATGAAGCTCCGGCGGGTGTAGCAGTTCCACCTCCAGAGATCAGAATAGTGCTGGAAGAAGCCGCGGGTATCATTTCAAAAACAAGGTTGGAGATTGAGAGGAAGATCACAGACACGTATAGCAAGGTAGCAGGATTCGAGTTTTTGAAAAGCTCTGACGAATATCACCCATTTTACAAGATCCGTCTTGCTACATACCGAGCTCGTGCCTCGGATGGTGCGGGGGCAGCTAAACGTGACTACGTGCAGGTTTCCGAGTTCAAGAGGGCTCCTCCTGCGCCTCGCAAGTTTACATGCGGAGGAGTCCCTGAAGGGATCACGGGCAGGGAGCTTGATATCATTAAGCTCGCTGCGCAGTTTTGGGCGCTGTATGGTGGGACACGTTTCTGGAAGGCTTGTAGTGAAAGAAAAAACAAGGATCCTCAGTTTGAGTTTATGATGAAGCCAGGTGATGGCAGGTTCGATCTTTTTGGTCGACTTGTTATAGAGTATTTGGAAGTAGTATCATATAGTTATTCGAAAAGAAAGCTGAGAAAGAATCTCACTGCTGATATGGAGACGGTTCTTGAGAATTGTTTCAATCATCTTCAGTGGGATCGATACTCGTATGAAGCAATGGTGGAGGAGGAGAGAGCAATGGAGGAGGAGGAGAGAGCAAGGGAAAGGGACCGCAGTAGAACTTCATTGATATCACTAGTAGTGCAAGCACACCTGTGTCGGATGGCGCACATTGCTTTTGACCCACCACCAAAACCAGACCTAAAGAGACCAAAGATTGACGAGTCAGACCTTGTTCCAGAAGACCTGTTCCTTGCTCAAAATCGTCAGGTAATGTTTTCTTCCACAAGAGTCTTAAAATATATATATATATATATATATATACTCTCCTTTTCTTTCATCTGACTTGTAGTGTGTGTATAATGCATTGTCAGGGCTGTGCAAAATGAAGTTAAGTGGAAAATCCGGGATATTAAAGGACAACATGTCACTTGCCTACTACAATGTCGGAGAACAAGACATTCTAACTTGTCTGTATTAATGGATTCTGGTTTTTTTTATAATTAGTAGTATTAAAATACTCTGGTGATTACTACCCGACTTAAGTTTGTGTGTTTGGCTCTGTAATAATCTTAAAACAGCTCTTTAATATTTGTAATCATCTCAAAACAACTCTTTGTTTGTCTTCTCAATTTAATTGATGACACTATTGCTTCATCGATTTATATTAGATACAATTTTGTTTCCAAGTTTCATCAGCCCAATAACATACACAGAGAACCAATTTTGTTATCAATGTTTGCAAACCATGTGCATAGCACCTACACTGTTAACCATGTGCACGGCACGTAACGAGAGACTGGGTTAACGAGATTTCCATTTAACCATTCAAACCGACGATTTTTTTTATATGATTCCGCATCAAATTACACAAACCGGATTCGGTTCGTAGCTATGGTTCCTATATGATATATGTATATAAACATAATAACATTACAACCAAATTAAGACAGAACAAGACAAGAAGAAAAAAGAGCGAAAAATTCTGAAGCAACAAAAATCCTTTTTTTTTGTTTCCCTTCTTTTTCTTAATACACAATAACGAAGCAGAGGAGCAACCAAAAGCAGAAGTTTTGATTCTTCGGCTTCCTCTTCGACGTCTCTTTTGACCATATGAGATTCAAAATGTTCTGCTTCTTCTTCAACCCAATGATCCGTACACTGACGCTGCAGACAAGTTCTTTCTCGAACCAGGTCCATCTTGATTTACACCCGGTTTATTTGATAACCGACGCTTATACCGCTTCAAAACCGAAGCCAAGTTCTCTTTCCCCTTTGGGAAAGCTACGTCTCCTGCAGCTGTACCTGTCCTGCCTTTCCTACAAGAGATTGACATTTCAACGTCTTTGATCAGATCAAGAAGTGTGACTGCTGTTGTGCATTTGCCTTTGGCCGGTTTTGCAGCCGGAGGTAACATTCCGTTCGAAGCTGAAGGCGGACTTGCTCTCTGGTGACTCGCCGGAATTTGTAGACAGAAGCATGGTGTCATCGGTGTCCGCAGCTTTGAAAACGCCGGATCTATTACTCCCTGTTGAAGTATCCATAAATGTTATAAACACAACAAGCTTTCGTTTCGAAAAGCAAACTGTGTGGTTTCAGTTAAAGAGAAAATTAACCTGAAGGCGGTTGAGAACGTAAGTGTACTTTCCCCAGAGCTCAGGCCGACTCTCCATGAGAGACAAGTCAAGAACACGGTGAATGCACCAAACTCCAAAGCTCACAATCAAATCAGCTCTCCAAACGCAACCTTCTCCGCAATTAGGAACCGATGAAATCTGAGGCTCGCCCATGTGACCTACTTTGTTTATTTCTCGAGCTTCAGCGTCATAGATAAACTTCTCTCTTGCAGCTACCTTGTCAATCAGCTCTTCATCAACTCCGTCGCTTTGTCCAAACAACCATTCTGATCCTTCCAGTTTTATAAGCTTCAGAATACAGTGCCTGAAAGACTGGAGAAGCTTAGCCTCTGCCTCAACAGTAGAAGCGTTGTTGTCTATACTTATCGGATTCGATCTATTCCTAAGCTCCTCACCGACAGCACCATTCCTCTCTGCTACACCAAACTGCTCGAAAGGCTGTCTAGACCAAAGAGATCCGGTCCCTGTTGTTGCACTCTGTGGCAGAGTATATGCATCTCTGTAGCTTCCTCTTGATTGAGAAATGTCATCATAACCAGAGGGTACACCAACCCGTGACCCCAAATTCGAATATAGCGATGATTCGTTGCTTAACCGACCATAAGACGAGCTATACCCTCCTCCTCCTCCTCCACTTGACGGTTCCCAATATCCACTCTTATTGTTCGGCAAATGCATATTCCTTGCGGACATAGACAATCCGGATATATCTGGCATGCTACTGTACTTCTTCTCATTGGCAACTGCTACACCTACAGTGTCTGTATTTCCAGAAGATGGAACACCGTAAAAAGATCTCTCAGATTGTCGTGATATGCTTCTAGACCCAGCAAAATTCTCAAACCCTGGAGCTGGTCCAGGGGTTACACCATTCTGGGACTTCTGTTTCAAGGCTAAAGCCAGTTGCTGTGTATAGCTCATCGAACCGACGGCCATTGGTCTCGTTGTCGGGATCTCTCCACGGGATTGTAAGGTTTCAAGCCTTTCTTTTGCCAAACTGTTCATATATGATTTAAGCTGGTACCCGTGGACTGTAGCCGGTTGTTGGTGTTCCCAACCCTCTGAAGATGATGGAGCACGAAGGCTAGAGTATCTTCTCTCGCTCAATTCATAAGCATTACTATTAGCGGTGTTACCATATGCACTCAACATCTGCATACGGTTGACCAATGGTGAGCCTGACGGCGACGAGCCCTTTTGTAATCCATACAAGGAATCGATACTCCCAGGTGTCCTCTGCTGATTCAGTGAATCATATAGATTTGAATTCATCTGTGATTCCAGTCCCTTTGAAGTTGGTGACATGCCATATCCACTGCTCATGTCCTTGACAAACGAATCCACTCTCACAGAAGAGGCTGACTTTTGATCAGCAGCGGCAAACAATTGATCTATTTTCTTTGCTCTGGCTTCAGCAACCAACTGCCCATGAAAATCATATAAATGTCCCCAGAACTCATCAAGGATCGCAGATAAGTGTCGTCGAGCAGCACGACCCAAACCTTGCAACCGTGAAAGGCTTCCAGTACCACTTCCCCCTTCCTCGCTTCTTAAGCTGCGGAATGAAGGCGGACCATCAGATACAACGGTAAAGTTGCTTGCAGGAGGAGTTTTGGTAGCTTCTTCTGTTTCCCATGAAACTCCTTCAATATCATTTTCAATGAACTTGCTGTTAATCTCCATGCTAACAGTCTTCTCCACAGGACTCGTCGGTTCAATCTTGACCATCTTTGTCTCAACAACCAAATCCTTATCACTAACCTCATTAACCACCGTAGACTGAGCTACAGAATGTTCCCTTATCTCAGAGTCTTCCTTAAGACTACTAACTTGAGGGGGAGAAAATTTGACATCGAACTCGCTTTCCTCTCGAGGGCTCGAACGGATTTCTTGATCTGTCATTAGAATGTTATCTGGCAAATCATAGACCGAGCTAGAAACAGACGTAGTTTCTAATTGATCCTTTACCCTGCTTTCCAGCCGCACTATAGATTCTTCTTCACTTCGCCTTGTCTCTATCCTTCCAGTTTTCTCTTCTTGAACAGGTGTATAAGATAAAGTATTTTGGACATCCATGTTCCATATTTGAGCTTCTACTGCTCTGTTACTCGCAGATTTCAGTGGCGTAGCTGCAAGCCAGAGCATCAAGCATAAGGACGCGCAAGATGATACAAGCAGAGTGGTATACTGAACCGAGGTGCCCATGACGGTATTCCATCTCAAACCAGCAGCCCAGTCAGTGTTCCCAAACACCATTTCAACAACGAAAACAACATTCAAACCCAGAAACCCCAAAAACGTCGTAAGCGCAAGGAACTCGCCAACCTGAGGTATTTTATGGACACCCATGATTTGTCTTGACGAGGCAATACGGAACAGTGGTATCACAGAGGAAGGAAGCATCATCGCCACCAGGACCTGAGTGAATATAAGCAACTGGTATATCCCGTCTGCACCAGATGTCCACACACAGTAAAGGGCAGGAGCAACTGCAAGAATTCTGATTGTGGCACGATGGAGCCAACTGGGTATTTCTATCTTCAGGAAGTCATGCAAGACGACCTCTCCACCGTAAGCCCAAGCTAGTGCTGTAATTTGGCTTGAGAAGAACAAGAGCATCAAAAAGACCAGTGGAATGAGCGGACTCCTAAATACCTGCACCCAACAATCAAGAACCAGAGAGTAAATAACCAGGAGATGTTTCCAACACTGTCTCCTCAAAAATGAATTCTAGCCTAAAAGAAACATAAATTCATCAGAACAAACCTGCTCCATAAGTGACATGGCGTCCTGAAAAGTCAATACCACAAGGCCAGTACTGTGGAACACATTTGCTGCTGAATTCATCATTACATAATTTACAAGTGAGAGTCCGCTGAAGACACCAAAGATGGCGAACAAATGGTCTTGACACAATCTGCTCTTGTCGACATCTGACGAAGATGTACTTTCCTGCAATAAAGAGTCCACTACTTAGTAGGATTATTGCTTCTTAATCAAAAACGAGAGATGAATAGAAAGAGAGAGAAGTACCCCAGCAAAATAAGAATGGATATAAAAATTGTGAGGGACGATGCTTGCGCCAAGAAGACCCATCAGTGCGAAGGCGCTCTCTCCATTTAACCGAGTGAACAATCCGTTCATAGAGAATGGGATCTCAGACTGACTCATCAAGACGCCAGAAACATAGAGAAACAAAACCAGGCCCGCCGAGCAAATGGATACTGTATTTGCCATCCCATTTTCCTGTAAAATTTGTATGCGTGTCAGCTAGTTTCTGACGATGCTATTTCAAGAACACTGAATAAAAAGATAAAGACAGGAAGACTAGTCATACAAGGAAAGAGGCGAAAACAGGAAACAAAAATGCATCGGTGGCGGCCAAAAACACTCCAGTGGATAAATCCACCCCAATAAGAAGGTTAAGCGCATGTGCAACACCCACAACCTATATAATGGAGAAGCTCAAGTCAGAGGAATGGAATCATTTTTCTCATCAAATGTAATTAATAGTTTTCAGAACGGATAAAATTGTAAGTAAGTAACTACCATGGTAAGGTCAAGCAGGATTGCTGAGAACTCCGCCTGAACGCCCAAGAACATGCACGTCCACTTGTCATATTCTTCACTGCAGATCTGTAAAGAACATAGAAACAGAGAAGTTGGTTCCACTTACCAAAAGCCAAAACACAAATACGGGCAATACAATCTAAGAAAAGGGAGCAAGAATACCTGAGCCAAGTTTCTACCAG